TCAGGCTAGTCAGGTGCTGTTGCATCGGCGAAATGCATGTCATTGTCGATCCTTAAGGCTCTGATTTCTCGTAGGCTAGAAGAACTGGCCTTGTGGGATAACCAATAAATGACGTTGCGAGGAATGTGAGACACCGCAAGGAGATGATGCGCATACAGCTCCACCTCCCGCAGCAACATTGAACAGGGGTTCGAGAATCAAGATAGGGTTTGTTATCTATTGAACGATCATCAAGAATAGGAAACCGTTGAGTGTTATTGGCGGGTCATTGGAAGGGGGCGCACGAGGGCATCGAAGGAAGCGGTGGTAGTTGGAGAATCGCCAACAAAAGCCGCTGGGGTTTAACCCCGGGGTTACCACACCATGGCGGCTGTCATGCAATGTAACTGGATTTGGATTTTTCATGGATGAGACGTTGCAAGACAGCCACCGTGACTCCGATTCCATTTCACCGATTGGACACTGCGGAAGATGGGCAAAGGGAACTTGGAAGGGAAATCGGCAGGACGCAAGGGGCCCAACTGGGCACCCACCTCTCATATCCCGATTACTGGCTCTTGTCCACACCGTGATCAACGAAAGGGAAAAGGGCTTGTGTACGAGTAATAATATCGACCGTGCCCTGCATCTAATCTGGTGAAAGAAGATAGACCGCCAATAGTAGACGGACGGCGTTTGGGCACGTGAAACACATGCTATTCTACTTCTGCAAATAACGCAAATGGCGGGCGATTCCTCCGGTTCCTTTGGAGGCTGAACATCTCGAAGCTAAGATGGAGGCAAATTTGATTGTCGAATATGGTGATTCGGAAAAAGGGAAATGTGCGAGCAAGTGAGGGCCAGGTACAGCGCTTGGATCTTCGGGTATGGATGGACCTGCAGTAGTGATAGCGGCAAGGTTTGGATGGAAAATGGGCATTGATTCCAGACTTGCATGTTCTCGAATGAATCAAAGTTTTTTCAAGATCTTGACTACTATGACCAAGGCCCTGAGTGTGAAATGATGTCCAAGCGCACGCTCCGTGTATTAATGAACCTTGACCGAGCTATACGAGCTTAGCGAGGATGAAGCTCAGATCAGACCTTTGCCACCAAATCTTGAATTGGAGATTGATGGATTGGGAGATTGGTGTTCCCTTGATGAGCCGGCAAGCTCATTCCAAATGCGGCTTGTGTACGAACCTGTTGAAGCTTAGTGTTTTAAAGCTAAAGCATTGTATCTCAACGAGACCGACTAACTGCACAGCTGGACCATTGAGAGCTCATTCTGCAAATGAAGATGAGTTAATTAGACATAGCTGAGGCTGGAGAAACCTCCTTACTGTGGACAGGCTTTAGCCTAAAACACATCCTGAGAGCACTATTAGTTTTACTATTCGAATTTATGGAACAAGGACAACACCAGCCCAGCCAAATAGTTGTTTTGGCGCCAAAGTGAAGACGAACATTCGAAAAGGCCAAAAATAATACAGGGACCGATGCCTGATGCCAAGATTTGCGCACGTTGAGGACACCTAGATCGGATAATAGTAATTTGGATCTCAATCGCAGAGCCCGATAAGTGAGGTGTTCTTTGAAAAGCCGTTTAGATACCTTTTTTGGCCGAAGTATCGATATATTTGCCTCAAAATACGCGTTTTCGCTGGCGGCGAGGAACTATAACAAGATGCTTATCCGCAAAACCTGGTTCAGTTGCCAATATATTGGCGAAAAACTTGAAATGATAAGACTTTCGCCAGTCGATACAATGCCCTTGCGAAAGCCTATCGGCTTCATCAGGAGGGGGAAAGCGGTCATCGCACAGTAGGGGCGCGGCTACCCTGGTGGCAATCTGGGGATGACCCTGAAATCTGAATAGCCCGGTAAACCCCTTGCGGCATACTTCCCCGTGCTGCAGGGGCCTGGGCGGAAAATAAATTTATTATGTCGAAGCGCAAACCAAATGACAATGAATTGTTCCCGGGAATCAGCCAACCAGCACGAGTTCGCATATCGAAGGACCCGATTGCCTGCTTCAATGTCGATGAAGAAGCTTTGGCGAGAGATTGCTCTGCATGTGGTCTGGTGGCTGGCTGAGACTTTTGATGTGCAGCTGGCCAACACTTGGATGCTGAATCATGAATAGTCTAAGTTAAACTGGCTCAGTTGAGCTCAGGCCTTTACCTAGGTCCCCTAAAGGAATAGGATCGAACGCGGGACGTGTTGCAGCTCCGCGAAAGCACGTCTTATTTGAGAGCATGTATTGTATACCTTTCTCCCGCTTCGTCATTCACTCAGCGGCATTGGAAAGAAAGCGCAGAGTTGGATTGAGAACAGTGGAGAGCGTAGGAATGTATCTTGCCCTTCTTGATCACTTAACGAGTCACGACTCACGGCGCTATTGCGCTTAGACGATCATTAATGCGGCGTGAGCTTGAACGTTGAGAAAACACGCCAATCAAGCCAATGGCTGAATTTGGACGATCGGCCCAGGATCGACACGTCAATAGTGGCTAGCCATGGTTGGCAACACCTTCGAGAATGTTTGTGGCCGGCTCGACAAAAATGAACTAGAGAGTAGTGCAGCACGTAGTCTTATTAATTGGGCTCGCAGCTGGTGTAAAGAATATTAAGATAGGTAGTTGAGGATCCACGGCCTCGATCGTCAGGAGAGAAAGTTGGTGCCCGGAACAGTGCGTCCTGGGGGTGGCTTTCAGAGTGGCTTTGCAGTTGTGGCGCAGAGCATTCGCGGCAGTGCGGCACTGCCGGCAATCTGCAGTAGTATCGATTACGAAACAATTTATTATTATTGCCCTCTGGTGGTTGCAATATGGCGCACTGAGAATTCCCATACGAGTCATGGTGCTTCACCTCGGGGTTTGCGTTTCATTGGTTTTGAGATGCGGGATCGCCCGTTCAATAGTACCAACAGGACAGGCCCAGACGAGAGTAGGGCAAGATACCAAAGGGTTTCAATAATACATCAGTTTGTGAAGGCAGAAGAGGTAAATGGCACTGGTACGTGCAATGTCTGTGCCAGGTCCGGGCGATGAGTCAGTTGTGCAACTTGAGGTCACGAACAGGCAGTGGGACACTGCCGAGGTATTTTGTGGCCCGAGTCAGAGCGTCGGGAGCAATCCATCATTCCTCGATGAAATCGAAAGGTCTCAAGCCACAGCTGGCAGCTGAGCCGACGAAGAGCCCGTTTCGCACGAATCGAATCCCGGTGGATTGGTGACAGGTCAGACGCTCAGGAAGAGTTGTTGTACCTAGTACGAGTCCGTAATCAACCCAGAGTCAGTACAACGGGAGTGCGGATGGCGAAAGGTAGCTAACGGTCGAGGGAGATAATAGAAGCCCCCAAGTCAATGAATAATTGCAGCCTTGCTGTTGCTGCCATGGGAAACAGTGCAGCCGTTGGGGAGATGGACTGGAACGAAGGCGGTGTAGGCAGCAGCAGAGAGCGGGCTCCACAGCGTCGATCGTGACGCGAGTCCAGCGCCGGCTCCTGTTTCCTCGATTGGGGAAATTTAAGCAATCTCCATCAGGTCCACATTCCAGAACAAATGGAGACCGGGCGCTAGAGTCAAAGCGTCGCTGCGACGCCGAGGGCCCGAGCTGAAGGCCCAAGTGGCTCCTGGAAAGAAAGTTGTGACTTGGAGAGAGGAGCTCATGGACCCAACGCCAGTCCCTGAGCCTTGACTCCTTGGGGAACCTGGGGCTGCTCATTCAACACCACTGTGGCTTTGATGATTGGGCAGCCGTGGCGACGCTAACAAATAAGCCCTGATGATGTGCAGCAAAGGCAAACTAAGACACTATAATGATCCTGGTCGCACTGGATCCAGCCACGAACCTCCAGCCAAGAGTCTTGGGCCCTGCCCGAGCCCTGTTTTTGCATCATACCAGACAGTGGACACCGTCGATCGCTGAGACGCTGACAGAGGATCTGCCGTACTTTTGTACCCTACTGAGCGTGTCACGAAGAACGTCCCAGCCGGTGGGAGGATTCGGGGAAGAGGAGGGGGTGAGAACAGGTTGCGTCTGGCGACTGCAGTCTCCCGGGCTGTTGCACAACGGGGACCGGCTAGTCGAGTCCACGGGGCTCGGGGGACAAGTGGAGGGGAAGAACCCAGGCGCCCAGGAAGACTCAAGAACTAAGTTCAAGCCGCATCCTCGGTGCTACTCCCTTTTTGGCAATTCGTTCTGATCACCGTCGTCTTTTTAGTCTCCGATTTTCCTCAGCCCTGTGGATCTTGATCTAGGATGAGAGCTGTTCTCACTTCTCGCGTGTCAGCAGAAGGAAACAACCGGTGAAAGAAGGAATAATTCAACGACTGGGATCTGACTTGGCGCGGCCGGGTCGACCGGTCAGAATCAAGATGTGCAGGCCGTCCTAAATTTATTAGCAGTTAGCAGAAGCTGTCGAGGTACCAAGTTGACCCGCCCCAGCTACGTTGGCTGGACCTCTCCTGCAGTGGGAACCGGGTTCGCACAGACCGTGACCCAGCAAACGCCCTCTCACTCAACCGTGGAATGACAGGCGGTGGGAACCAAGTTTGCGACGAGGGACGTACTCGTTACTCGAGTAGCCCTCGGCTTGTTTACTTTCGGAATTGTTTGTGGTCCTCTGCTCCAAAGATCCCATCAACCTCGACCCGGCCCCAGGACAGCTCTCATCATACCCCGGAAAGAAATAAAAGTACAGATACAAATAAAAATCTGAATCATGTGCGACAACTCTCGTGATTCGCATTTCAAGTCGGCGGTGGCGTCACTCGGCACTTGGCGGTCGTATTGGCTCTCGACCGTTTCAGGGCACCCTGCCTTATCAGTCAAGTAGAATGAAGATCTGGTGCTTGAAGAGGAATGAGGCGAAAGTCAACATCGCATTGCTTTCGAACTCACACTGGTGACCAAGCGCGAAGTAGGTTGAAAGTTGGAATTTTTTTTTTTTTTTTTTTGAGCGATACCATCGGCAGACCGATTGGTCGCGGTTTATGCATATTCGACCAAGGCACAGGAGGCAATATTGAATGGAGCCAGCCAAATGCGACCTCCGGGCTCTGGTCGCGGTAGTTGGCCTCTGCGTGGTGCTGTTGGCGAGTCGCCATCACGTTCGGCCTGAGCGCTCCAGATCGCCTTTGCTTGGTTTAATTAAATTGATCTTCGATCATCGCTGGATTTTCCCCTCTACCCAGTCGGTGCGCACTGGCTATGTTTCATCGAGGCAGAAAGCCCCCATCCCCACTGTTCGTCAATCTTCGCCGATCATATACTGCCCTGCAGGTTGGCAATCGTGGAACAGGGTCGGTCAATGGACCCAGACGAAGATCCCGAGGCGCGCGACGACTGACAATAATATTAATGATTATTACGATTCAGGTTCGCTCCCCAGGATCGTCATTGAAGTCTAACTGGCCAGGGAGCTTCGACCTCCAGGCTAGTTTCAGGCGACACTACAAACGTACAAAGTAGGTATTCTGACGTCGAAGCATTCCTTTGTCTCCGGCAGCCCGCTGGGTCTGTTTCGGGCGAATTCTGAATGGCTCGGATGTCTTCCTGGAACCGCATTCCTCAGCAACTGGAGCGATAAAAATAAATGATCTGGTGGTCAGGATATCAAGAAATGCAGGTCCGATATCAGCGAAACAGCGAGAGCACCGGCCCACTTGCAGAGGGCAGGAAAAAGGAAAATGGAGAGCAAAAGAACAAAAATATTGGCGATAAATTAGCCAGGAGAATTAAAATCAAGGTAAATCAAAATAGATTAAGATTTGGAAATAATAATCAGAATAATCACTCCCTCAGGCACACCCCCAGGCTTGAGACGTGAGGGATGGGTCCGAGTCCTTCTCGCACCTAACGCTGCCAGCTGCTTTCCACCTCGAGATCCAGTCCCTTTTACTGCTTTGGGCGACGACGCTCTGGCGGCTTCTCTCCAGCGCCAGCTCGTTCCTATATTATCTTGATTCGGTCCCGGCTTCTCCATGCTTCATCGCCAGCAGCCTCTCTTTCGACCCTGACACCACCAGCCAGACACCAGCCTGAGACATCTGGCCGCAACCTGCCCCGTTGATTCAATTTGCCCCCCATCGTCCCTTGCTGGCCCTGCCTGCTCTGATTATCTATAATCTCATCATCCCTCTGCCACTGAGACACGACCTGCGCTCCGTCCATTCAGCCCTCTGCATCTCCTCGAACGCCCCCCCTCCGATCTACCGTGCCGCCTGGAACCTAGGATCTAGACATCGCGTCTAAGGGCGGATCTATTGATCCCCTTCGATCTCGTTCCTCTCGTTCCCTCCGCCCCTCTGCGGTCTAGCACACCACACTGTCTTTGATCTCCAGAGACATCCAGCGCTTCCCAGGAAACCATTCGCCCGGGAACCCCCAGCCTTTCCCTCTCGAGCGTCCAGGACCAGACAAGCGCTGGTGGTTACTCGAGGAACTCCATAGCGTGCATTCCTGGCCTTGCTCGGGACTCCGAAAGGAACGCGACGCGCCCCTCCTTCTGGCCTCTTGTCTTGCTCTTTTTGCTCTTTGACTCTCGTCGGCACTTCTCCTTCGGGGAAAAGTAATGACTTCTCATTGTGAGTAGGATCGTCCTCTTCTTGCCTGCCTCCATTTATGCTCTGGAGATTTGTTTATTTCATCTCGTCCTCCTCCATTCCCGTTCCCCAACCTTCCTTCTCACTCTCATACTCACTCATTCTCTCACTCTCATTCTCTTACTCTTACTCTCACTCTCACTCTCTTTCTCCTTGCAACCCACTCCAACCTTCCTTCATTCTTTATTTTGTCATTGCTGTCTACAGTCATTCACTATCACTGTGACTGCCTCTCTTTGCCGTCCCTCACTGGTCTTGACCCCACTGGCCTTCGCTCTTTGTTATTCAATAACTTCGACTCTCTCAACTCTCGTTTCCAATTGCTACTCTATACGCAATTTATTCCTATCACTAAACGGTGCTCTTGACAGGTGATCCGGTCACAGCACCTCTTCAAAAACACCGCAGCGCTCAGTCGCTCGAAGATATGCGACACCAGCACAACCTCTCGGATCGTCTCACGGTTGAGGTTGACTGTTCTTCCCTAGGCTCCAACGAGTGCCCGTCTATGACCTCGAGCTTTTCGCCTCTCGAATCGCCCACACCTACTCCGACCAGCTTATACAGCCACGGTTCCTTGGAATCTCCCCGTTGGCACGAAGCGGGATCACTTCCCAGCAGCTACGAACGTCATAACACCGGGGCTCCCCCGATGCGGAGCGCCTTTCGCCTGGCCGGCATGGCTTCAACGGAGAGCTTGGGATTGCCTTATGGCAACGTGGAAACGCAGGAGCGGATGCCCATGAGTGACTTCCTCTCTGGGTATGACGAGAATATTGAACAATTGTGGATGCCGTCGGATGCCCCGAAGTCCTATGAGCATGTCACTCAAGGGCTCGCGTACCCTCACAACATGCATCAGTACCCAACCATGCCGCGAAACAACAGCAGCAACAACAACAGCAACAACTACCGTCATCAGCCGGCAGCTTATCTTCCAGAGTCCACAACAAACCCATGCTTGTCAAGGTCAATATTCCATCAACCCGAGCGTGTTCCTACCTCGATGTCCATGGGCAACATGATGCCTTGGATGCCCATGGCCGACTCAATTGCGCCGCAGACCATTGCGCCATCACAAGTTGCCCCAGTCACTCCGCCCCCATCGTACACAGACTTTCCGACCTCTCTTAGTGCATTCAAACAACACAGCCCCGCCACGCCAGTCCGGTCCTGCTCCCTTGGGACAGGTTCCGGGGCAGATACCCCAATGAGCCGCCTGTCAGGTGGGGCCTGCGAGTACATGGACGAATTCCAGCCGTCTCCAGTGTACCGGGACGGGTTTCGGGGGCCCCACCGTATGGGGTCTAGAAAGACGCTCAGACGGCAGACCTCCAAGCAGAACTTGATGCTCGAGAACCTTCCTCCGATCATCAAGCAGGTCCAATTCAAGTGCAAAGAGCCTGGCTGCAATGGACGATTCAAGCGTCAGGAGCACTTGAAGAGACACATGAAGAGCCATTCAAAGGAGAAGCCTCATGTCTGCTGGGTCCCCGGCTGCCACCGCGCCTTCTCACGGAGCGACAACCTGAATGCCCACTATACCAAAACACATAGCAAGCGGGGCGGCCGTAACCGATACGTCGCAACATTGGACGAAAACAGCCCTGACTATGATCCCGACTTCCGTGGACAGCTGACGCCAGATGGACGTCCGGTCTACGGGTCCAAGCTCGAAGACGCCATTCCGGGCGCTGGAGACATGGGCCTGGACGCGTGGGACGAGTGAAAGGAACTGGAAGAGCTGATCTGCATGGAATCTCATATGATACCCGCTGGCTCAATGCGATGCCAAAAATTTCCTTATGTCTCTGATTCAGGCAGATCCGGCGCTCCACGGCGTTTCTTGGGCCCCGGTTCGGTGTTCATTCCAACAAATTTTTTAATCCATTTTTCTGTAGAACATTACTTGTTATATTGGTTTCGAGTTTCTTCAATTTTTTTTTTTTTTTTTCCTTTTTATTTTTTATATCTTGGATCATCTATATTACTGTGCTCTGGAAGTGGCTGTTTACAAAAAAAAAAAGTCACACAGGATCATATAATACATCAAACCGAATGGGCGACCAAGGAGAGGGGAGTCGAGTTCTGTACAATTGACAGTGACTTTGTTCAACTTTTTTTTTTAACAAAAATCATTTCCACAGATGATCTATCGATATGTCAACCCCAGACGGGATTAATAATAGTTAGGCATATTATACGTGTTAGTTTTAGAAGAATAGACGCAGACCAAAAAAGCCACCTTTGGAGCGGTTCCCTGGTTGAAGAATCAATGGCAGTGATTTTTGTTTCTGACGCGTCGCATTGGGCGAACCCTCCGCGGGCGATCAGGTAGCAGACTGCGACGCCCAACACGCAGCAGTTCGCAGTTCTCGGTTCGCCCATTGCCAGGACGAGTACTACTGGGGCGAGGGGAGTCTATTCCAAGGACTATTCGGGCGCTATCGAGCGATGTATCAGCTCAACAGTGAGCATTGACACCGACTCCAAGGAACCAGTCAGCCAACCCACCAAAAGACCAAGTGTGCCGTCTGAGCACTCTGGATAACCTCCCTAATTACCTAGACGGGCGTACCACCGCCCGGATATTCCACCCGTGAGATCGAAGCGAACGTTTCACTCGGTCATTCCTCACGCCCGCCATGCGCAGGTTGCGCTGCTGCGTTCCCGGTGCTTGGAATTTGGATTGCAGTCAGGGCTTGGGCTAGTCTAGTCTGGCCTGGCATTTTGCTCTCTCTCAGAGTTATCCATGCGGGTCCGTCTCGGGTGTTGAACCAAGAACAATGCCGATGTCGAGGCCATACCAGACAGGGCCTGGAATAGCACGGTCGGTCCCCGGTGCTTCCAAGCGGTCTGGCCTCGAAAATAATCGTGCTGACGGATCCTCGCCAGGGTTGGCGGGTTTGGGGTTGCACGACATGAGACAATTGAGACAATCACACATTTCCTCTTCGAACCATCTGGGCGAATGTTCGCCCATCACGGCTGGATCTCTCACTGGTGCTCTGTTGTTGTTCTGGGTCGGGCGCTGTCTGGGCATTCTCTCACCGGGCCAGTGTTGAGTTTTTGTGTATAGACAGACAGGGTGGTATCGAGCCAGCCCCGTAAGAAGATCTACAGTGATGTGATTGTGATGACTTGAAGTCGTCGACATCGACTGAGATAACTCTCTCTCTCTCTCTGCATTTACCCAACTCTGCTAGAGGTCTTTTTCAGCCAATGTAGTAGCACTAGTATAGACTTTATCATCGTTATTTCCGGAATTTAACCGCAATAACAACAATAATCAGAAATGCAGTCTTCTTCTTCACTCCCCACACACACCTGCGCCCGCCCAACGCCCTCACATACCGAAGCCTCCACATCCATCCATCCTTCCTTCCTCAGCCCAAAGTACCAATGGATTAACCAAGGACTAGATTATGCCCCTGCGGAGTCCTGTACTTTCTCTTTCTCTCTCTCTTTCTTCGTCTTTTCTTCAGGTGGTATGCATGCCCATCCATAGAATAAATCTAAATGCGCAAGGCGGGTATGTCGCCCGATACAGCCACGCCGGGCACCTGGGCAAGTGACCGGGCCCGGTATCGGTAGGACATTCCGAGGCGTCAAGTCAACTGGGATTGAACCGTTGGGGTTAGGCTAAAGATATTCTCGATGGTGGAGTGTATAACCTGGGTGACAGTGACAGGGGCAATCCGTGTGGAAGAGTTCCAATTATATATATAAAGCCTACTCGCCAGAACGTGCAAACGCAGCCTTGGTGGTTGTTGGGTATCTCCTGGTTAAACGGTAGACACGGTTAAAGCGTTAAAGTGGCAGCAGGATGAATTAGGGCTCGGTACGGCATCCCGACCAACAATGGAACATCCTTGCACATCCATGATCTCCGCGACATGACTAGATAGAATACAAAATTGAAACATACATCATAGTCTAATTAGTAAATAATCGATTTACTGTCTATCAGTGAGCAAATCAAGTCTATAATCTATACAAATATAAAACACTCAAAGCACCATCCTGCTCCTCGCTCTAATCCTGGCGCCGTACACGTAGAGAACAACAGGGATGGGAACTAGACATGCCGCAACGCATCCTAGGAGCGTCAATGCCCATTCCACGCCGAGGGCGTTGAACTAAAGAAGCAGAATCAGTATTAATCGCAATACATCGAATACGACAAGCGAAACGTACCATATACGTTGCAAAGAGAGGAAACCCCGACCCGGCCAGCGAGCGAAGGAAAGTATGTGCCGCAATGGCCGAGGCGGCCCTGTTCCGTCTCGACTGCACGACGTACTGAATAGACGGGAGAAACATGGTTATCAGGCCGAACCCTGTGAGTAAACCGGAGAGGGTAGGGACGATCCAATGGATATCGCGGCGGTATCCGGACCAGCCGAGCCAGAAGAGACCGGCAGAGAACGCTGCGGATCCCGGTATCGCTGGCAGGAGTAGCCACTCCGGTACTAATTGTCCGTTATTGGCTTCGATTTTGCGGCCTAGAGACGGCTGCTGGAGGTACATTGCAAGACCGGCTATGTGTTGGCCGACGATAACGGCTAGGAATGGGAGGCCGCCTACGCCTGGGTTCATGCCGTAGGTCTGCTGGAAGACTATCGGGTACGCGGTGAGGAAGAGATAAAGCAAGCCGTAAACGAAAGAGCCGAAAATGCACATGCACAGGATTATGGGGTCCAGGGCTAGCATTTTGAGTGGTGTCATGAGGAAGTTATGGAAGATTGCAGAGAGATGCATCTCGAGCTCTTCGTGCTTTGCATGGATGGCCCAGTTCTGCGTTTCATGGCGGAGGCGGTTTGCTTTGGTGGTCAGTATTACAGGCGCGTAGGATTCGTCGAGGAAGAAAAGCATCGACGCGAATGATATCGCCCCAAGGATTCCTGCGATATAGTGCGTCCATCGCCAGCCGAGATGCTCATTCATGACAGTAAACCCACCGATAACGGGAGCTATTAGAGGTCCCATGAAGACTGCTACACAGAAACCAACCATGCCAACCGTGTAGGTCTTGGGACTGAGCATGTCGCTACAAACGGCACCGGAAAGCGTCAACGAACAAGCGCCGAAAAATCCGGCAAAGAAGCGGCAGATGAAAATACTCTGCAGATCTTTCGCTACGGCCGTGGCGAAACAGAACACGCTGAAACCGAACATGCTCAGGGTAAAGGGTATTCGGCGGCCCTTCAACTCGGAGAAAGGCGCCCAAATGAGAGGGCCAGTTGCGAATCCGAGGATATATAGCGACACCCCGAGCGTCACAACCTCCCTGGAGATTCCATATATGTTTGATAGTATGGGGATCGCCGTTGAGAAGATACTGCTTGTCATTGAAACAACCATAGTTGCGAAGCTAACAATGGTGAAAGTATAGAACCTGGGTTTCAAAGGTAAGTATGGCTTCATATATCAAAGCTAGATGGGCAACTGACTTCTTCAAGTTGGACCAGTTGTGGGGATTGAGCTTATCGTCAGGAGCACTGAAATCAACGAGGATAGAGCTCTTCTCAGTGACCTCTGGGTGGATGCTAGGTGTAGGCGTGTCATTTGGCAACTCCATGGGTTCACTCGAAATCGCAAATGTTTCGTTCGCACCTGCAGTGGTTAGCCTTTAGGCGAGCCATCTTAGGATCGATTAGATAGATTAGCGTACTGTTTCTCGTGTTTGGATGAGAAGAACCAGTTTCCGTGGCCATCTTGGTGCTCTGATAGCGCGGGCACCAAGAATATTTGGGTGGAAAGCATCATTTTGCCGCAGGAAAAGGTTGCAGGTTTAGTTTATAAGCTGCACTGCTTCCGAAGACCCAGAAAAGTGGGATGGCAGTAGGCTAGATTAATGGCGAGCTTTGTTGGGCCCATCGTTATCTGGATTCCTTCGGGGCGATCAGTAATCACGATGGACGAGAAAGTATTCCTCCATGCATCAGCTAAACTGCTTTGGGTGATAAAGATGCCAAGATTAAGAGGCAGCAATGGTTTTGCTTCTGTTAACTCGAGAGTCAACATTATTTTTCACTTTTATTGGCATTTATATGCCTGAACAGGTTATTTGCCCTGTCTGTTACACAGATTGAGTCAAGATCGAAGAGATGGGCCGGTGATAGTGTCGGTACGGTACCTCGGCCGATTTCGTAGACCAGCTTGATTAGTCGTAAAGAACTCGCAACTCGATGTCGTGATGGCTCAGCTCAAGCTCAATACATAACTGGCCGGTCAGCCAGTCAGCTGGACAATTAATTAGAAATAAAAAAAAATTCCAAGTCCTCTTAGGAAATAATATAACTAAATGTATAGTTAACTAGCTAGCTAACATCGCTAGTACACGCTTAGGTAAGCAGCGACTTGGTTAAAAACACACAAACCGAAAAAGTTCCTGCAGGATTTTCTCAGTCTCCATCTTCAACAAAACAATGTTACTCCGTAGAACCAAACAATTTCCAAACCGACAGCTTGGTTATGTGCAAGCTCCGATCACATTCGTCTCTCGACTATGATGACACTTTTTCGGCCACGAGGCAATCAAACTGCCATGGGTGCTCCGAAATCAAAAGTTCAAGCTCAACAGTCTGAGTCGGGAGACAGTGAATCGCGATTACTTTTTTCTTGCATTCGCCCTCATAATACCCCCTTTTAATCCCGGTTATTGTGTAAGGTCGAGCATGAGGAAGATTGTTTCCTCCATGGGAGTCTCGTAGTAAGGATGTGTCTCGACGAAGCCTGCCCGGGTATACAATTGGATAGCACCTTGCATCCTGGAAGGGAGCGTATCCAGCCTCATCTCTGTGTATCCCAGTTCCTTTGCGCGCTGCACAATCGCAGCTATCAGGGCCTTCCCCAGCCCCATGCCTCGTGCTTCGGGGCAAACGTACAGCCGTTTCATTTCGCAAGCCGGTCCCTTATCTTCGTCGCTGAGAGAACGGACAGCGACACAGCCTAGAGGGGTGTTGTCTGGGCTGTAAGCAAGAAGAAGCTCTCCATGAGGAGCTCCATACTTCCCCGGCAGCGAGGCCAGTTCGGACTGGAAGCTCTGGAAGCTAAGGTCGATATTCAGCCATTCGACGTAGGCTGTGAACAGTTCTCTAGCCGTAGCGATATGCTCTGGTGTCTGCGCTGGAACGATGCGAAAGTTGCTGGTTGCCATTGTTTGAGGAAATGCATATCGATACTCGATTGTTGCGCGGAGAAGATATTTTGTCTACTCGATGGCTGATCAACCGATGTCGGATGAGAATGACTCACAACTCATCGAGTTGAAGCAATACAGACTGGCAACACAAATTGGCAATCCAGACTTTGGCAGCCTGAGGCAGGAATCTTCAGTCCGCGCATTTCAGGTTATTTCAGGTTATCTGCAGCGTCGTATTTTGGATTTCAGTTGAATATCTATGCCTTTGTAGGATACGAAAGCGTTTCAGCCAGCGTCGATCTGACGACTTGATTTGCCGGGCTGCTGTGTAGTCTGACAGGAACAATTTGCAGCCCGGACCAGGAACAGGCGATCGCCTCCCCTATCACAGTCCGCAACAGAGGCCATGCCACAGCCAATGCAACGTTCTGATAGACCGATGCGCCGTTCATCTGCAGGGCAAAGCTGGCCCCTCCCAGTCCATTGGCCCTGCTTGGTTTTAGTGCGACGGCCTTGTCCGACCAGTCTGGGCGCTGGGGCTAGCGGCCCCTGATCTATGGCGTCTGCCAAATCAGCAGGCTGCTCTCGGCACATGGGCCGCGATCTCCAGCACATCAGGTTACAATCGATCGTCCATTGTTGATGTCCTTGCCTCCATCGTCCTGCTATATAATATGGCCTCCATACCGGAGAGCCCTGGCCCTTTTGCTTTCCAAACCCCAAGTCTCTGCCTTAATCCATCAAATCTACCCTCGCAATGGCCTTCAACAAGAAGTCGGTTTCCTCCGCAGGCATGCTGGCCCTGTCTGCCATGCAGTTTGCACCCAGCGTCCTCGCTGATGCTAAGACCTGCCCCAACGACTCCCCTCTCAGCTGCTCGGGCTCCCAGGAGGCCTCCTGCTGCTTCAACAGCCCCGGCGGAGCTCTCCTCCTGACCCAGTTCTGGGACTACGATCCTTCCACTGGCCCCAGCGACTCGTGGACCCTCCACGGTCTTTGGTATGTCTCATCACACATAGTCGCAGATCCATGCATTACTGACAGTCCGCGACTAGGCCTGACAACTGCGATGGCACGTACGAGGCAAACTGCGACGAGTCGCGCGAGTACTCCAACATCTCAGCCATCGTCGAGGAGTCGGGCAGCTCTGAGCTCCTCGCCGACATGAACAAGTACTGGAAGGACTATCAGGGCGATGACGAGTCGTTCTGGGAGCACGAGTGGGGCAAGCACGGTATTTCCTCTTACATTTAATTTAATTCCAAGTAGAATCTGAGTACGTATTGACTTGTGTTGCCAGGAACCTGCATCAACACCATCGAGCCAGACTGCTACGATGACTACACCCCACAGGAGGAGGTCGTCGATTACTTCCAGAAGGCCGTTGACCTGTTCAAGAAGCTCGACAGCTACAAGGTATGTTTATCCCTGGCAGCGAATGACAATAGGGTCCCTAACCTGGTATGATGTCCAGGCCCTCGCCGACGCCGGAATCACCCCCTCCGAGTCAAAGACTTACACCCTAGACGCCATCCACAAAGCCCTCGGCAACGTCCACGACGGCTACGCCCCCTACGTCTCCTGCGACGGTGACAACCTGAACGAGCTCTGGTACTTCTACTACGTCCGCGGCAACCTGATTTCCGGGTCCTTTGAGCCTGCTGAGAAGCGTAGGTTTAACCATATCATTCCCTATCACTATACCAGTGCGCTAATGAAGGTATAGTCACCGACTCCAAGTGCCCCGACTCCGGTATCAAGTATGTGCCTAAGGAGGGCGCTAAAGCCACTGGCTCTTCTACCGCTACCCCGTCTGGAACTCCTACCGGGTCTCCTACTGGGTCTCCTACCGGGTCTCCCACTGGATCTCCCACTGGATCCCCCACTGGATCCCCCACTGGAGCACCAGCCACGATGACCATCTTTGGTCACTAGATGCCTAGATGGGGTAGGCTCAAGGATGGTTACGAGCGAGGCTTTGATGTTTGTAGACTGTTTAACGTGTGCGGAAGTCGGGGCTACACCCCGTTATTCAGAGTTTGTTTCTATGTACATCCGTTACTATAGACAATAGTAAATATGTCCAGTTGCTGGCACAATTCATGGCCCTTTGCCATATGACCAACCAGACTAGCTCATCTGGTTGTGGTGCTGTATGCTCTCCAGTTAGGTACTGTAGGTTACTTGGTACTATCTCGATTGGTACCAGTAGTGAATCGGTCGAGATAGGATTCTGGCTCAAGTGCAGTGCTCGGAGAGCGGAGCCGCTTGTTGTGTCCTTGGTGGCCCCGCATCATCGTGCTCATCGGCTCTTCGTGAAACTAGGCGAACCCGCCGATTCCAAGGCAATGCTGTGGTGTATTCTGCCGCTCACGGCAGTAGTATCAATGTGGTAAAGAAGCAGGCAGATTTCACATCCCCTTCAACCTTGCATTCCTCCTTTCCTCCTCCCTCGCAGCATCGACGCGATCCAAGAAATCCATACGGCCGAGGAAGCCCTCCTTCGCCTTACTATGGACTCTCAGTTCGTCGCTGATACCAGCACGGTCAACATATGCAGCCCAATCCAGCCGCGACTTCTCGACAGTATTGATCTTCGGTCCGCGGGCGTTCTCCTGGCCAGCTTCGGTGACAGGCTGTTTCTCCCAGCTCTTCTTGATCGCCCCCGTCGGGTTAGGGTCAAATCGGGAGACTTTGCGCAGCGGGCGGCGGAGTCTGATAGTATGACGTGCAGCAGCGTCGCCCGTCGCAATGTCTTCTTCTGTAGCTTCTACGACTTCGCCGTCTTGGCCGCCCGAAAAGAATAGTTTCGCTTCCGCCGAGTCTCGAGGGACGACTTTTTCTTCGGTGATGATTTCGCCGGCAAACTTGTATTTGCGTTTGATTTTGACCATCTCGTCGGGGTACTTAGTTTGCGATTGTTTCTCTTGTCCTGCGGCACTTGGTTGCGTGGCGTTCTCCTGGTCGCGCATCTCGACGTCGTTCGTCGGTGGCGCTTCATCTTGCTTCGTTGTGTCTTGCGGTGTTGAAGCGAGTCCTTCTGAACTGGGCGCGTTCATCTGAGCCCATAGCGCATCGACATCAACTGTAGCTCCGTCGATTCTCGCTAGTGGCTTCCGCTCTTCCTGTCTAAAAAACATCGTCAGATCCATACTCTTTCCCTAGGTTTCATCGAGGGTTAAGGACAACGTACATCCGCATCTTCATCGCCCTCGTCCTCACAAACCCCCCAGTACCCCCTTCATCGTCATCAAAATCCTCATCATCCACATCATCCGCAGCGCCCTTCTTCCCAGCCTTCTTCTTCCTCTTCCTCTTCTCCGCCTTCCGAATCATCGCCTCATCACCAGAATCCAGCTCCGCGTCTTCAGCACCTGCCGCCGCATCGCCCGTCTTAGCTTTCGTCTTTCTCTTTTTCGCCGCGGGCTCGCCTGTCGCCGTTTCGCCCTCATCGTCTGAAGACGAGAGCTCCGCGTCGTCTTCGTCGGCCGCTTGGTCGAGGGTGAAGTCCTCGTCGTCGGAAGAGTCGTATTGCTCGTCGTCAAGGTCAACCTCGGCGTCGGCCATTGTGACCGTTGAATCAGGAGGCATGGTTTTATTTTGGTTATCTTGTATCGAGGGCGATGTAGGTAGAGAGATGCGATGAGATGAGATGGTTTCTAGTAAAGGTGTTATTCTGCCGGGCGGTGGATAATATTCGACTGTATGTTACATAATTACATAATATTGTTATGCTTTGCATGCTTTTATGCACTGCTCTCCTGCCTTGATTGTTGACTCTGGTAGTCTAATGGCGGTTTAAATGCCCATTAACTGTCAAGGTATCCTCTTTCATTTCGCAGTTGACTAGAGGGTGGCCGTGACCGCAAACCTGGGCATTGATTAAGAATTAGGGCATCATTGTTTGTATAGAGTTGTCCCTCGAAATGAGTATGCATAGTTTTCGTGAACATATTTCATATATTACTGCATATCCACCCACGATATAATCAAAGACTATGAAGACAAATACTTATATACAATACCCATATCGCCAACCCGAACCCAAATCAAACCCAACAAGCCGAAGCAGGGCTAGGTGCTTGATCACCCGGACCAAGCTAGATGAAGCCATCAACGCGTCCAGTAGCTGTTCTTTCTTTCCCTTTTTTTCACCTCGAATACTTAAACGTCGTCTCAACCTTCTCAAGCTGATACTGATCATTCGCACGCTGCCTCGCAACACTCAACTCAAGCCAAGTTCCCACGCCTGCAGCAACGCCCATGATAACCTCAAGCCCTATGAGGAATCCAAGCAGAACAAACGCCGCATACGTGGCAGAGCAATCTCGAGCAAAGTTCGCCGGCGCCGGCGAGACTGTCTCGTTTGCGGCGTCGGAGAACCCTAAAGGGAGGTTGTGAGAGACCTTCCACTTACAGGTCCAGGAGTGGAGGGTCTCGACGCCGTCGAAGTCTACCGGGTATGAGGAGCCTGGAAGGTAGATGGCGAAGACTAGACCGACGAGGGAGGCGATGAAGCCCGCTGCGGATGTTGTTACTGCGGCCAGGTTGACGCGTCTGATGTGGGAGTGTGGCTGGGGTAGTTGTGTTAGTTGATGCTCAGTACATATACGAATAAGCAGAGGCGTACTGATGGTAGGAGAGCTACAACGATAAAAACCAAGCTCAGAAATGCAATAACGCAGCCGCATGCGAGGATTGCGATTGTCGGGCGCAAGTCAAAGTTCAAGGGCCATAGGTATAGCCCGACGCTCTCAAAGGAGGATGTGTGTCGGTAATGGAGGTAAGGCACCGCTTCACAAGCGATGATAGAGATGGAAATTCCCAGGGCAAGGAATGAAAGTCCGAGTCGGACCCAGTGGAGGAGGCGGATTCGCTTGAGGAAGCTCGACTCTTCCTCATTAGATGCACATGATGCGTGGTAAGATCCTGCTAGCGACGGTGCAGAGGCCATGTTGACAGTAATAAGTAAGTATAAGGCAGTCCGATCAACAGCACTATGAAAAGAGAGGCGATGAAGAAAAGAAGTCTTTCCAGAAGACAAGAAGTAGAGGTGTAAAGAACGAAAAGAGGGGAGAGATCGTACGTCAGAAGGAACGAAATATTAAGCTGCTGCAGAAACGACAAAAAAAAAAGAGCACAACAATGAGCATTAAGTATCTGATCCACAGTCCTCATGGAGGGCAGCTAATAACCTCTGGTCCAAGCGCTGGTTTCCAAAAGATTGCCGATTCATCTTCAGCAAACACCAGACTGGGGGCATTTCGTGCGGAAAGCCACTGATAGGAGTCCTGTAGCCGCCTTCTTCACCCCTCATTGTCGATATCCAGTAGCGATCGTTGCCCGGAGGAGGACAAGTATCCAGGCTGACGGCTTGCAGGGCTGTTTCTAATCTCGTACCTCAGGGCGCTTAGCGATCTGGGTGGGTGCGTTGGGTGTGACGAATAATAGGGAGCTGGCCCTGAAGAAAAGAAACCCCCCACTAACCTGCAGGAACGGGGGTTGCACGGATCATTTCCTCAAAGCTCGCTCGATCCTGACTCTGATCGTCGATTGGCCTGGTGGTGGTTGACAGAGCGCCACTGAAAAGAGCCCGGCGGCTACAGCAGATGCACGCCCAGAAAACGGCCATTATTGGCTGGGCTCCAGTCGAGGCTGGCTATTTCTAATATTTGTATTTTCTATCTTGGAGCAATGCTCAAATATTATCTCCCAAAATCTGATGTAGCACATTGCGCGCTGTCTATAATAAAGTCCAAAGTGATCTTCCAATCGTGGCCGCAACTCGCTTCACTCCCAACACCAAAAATGGTTCAGGACATCGAACCCAGTCCAGACTAGAACTTAGATTTCACATCCATGTCGCTGAATCTCTTCGTTTTCGTCCTTAGCATCTCCGCCTTCTCATCCAAAGTCATGTCGACCTGGTCTCCCATCGGAACCAAGCACTTGGCAAGATACTTATAGTCCTTGCGCATCAACCGAATCGTGATCATGATGTAGTCGATATTGCGAAACACGAGTGCATGTTCCTCCGCGTAGCGATCCTTCTGCTGGAGAAGTGAAACAGGGTGATCGCGCCAGTGTCGCAGCGGGTTCAAGTGGTGCGACGTGTGGTAGCCGTCGTTGTAGCAGAAGCGGTTGCTCTGTGGCATGATCAGTATACAGCGCCATATCTGGTTATACTTATATATTCAGCTACACTCACCGGTACATCTATCAGGGTAATGCTTGAACGAAAGTCGGAGTTCGGGTCGACCTCGTCAACAAAGGCATGCTGGCCCCAGTTCCCGACCATCAAGCCCACGCGCAGCTGCAATAGGGGCAGCAGGAAGACAAACAGTGTAGCCTTCCAGTTAACGTAGTTCCAGAGGACATAGAGGGCAAGGTAGTTGCCCAACTCCCAGAACGCGGCTTTGGCAGCCATGGCTGTTTTCCCTTTCCGGAAGAAGTAAAGCGGTAGTTCCAGCCAAATGAAAAAGAAGAAGCGACCGACGTAGCACAGAAAATCGCCGAGCTCATCGCGCTGATACCGGATCGTCGAGGAGAGATCATCTGGTCCGTTCCCTTCAACGTGGTGGTGCTTGACGTGGTGATAGTAATAGGAGTTCCAGGTATGTCCCATCAATGGGTTTGTGATGTACGGGAAAACCCCGTCGAACCACCAGAGGCCCTTCTTTAAAATGCCCCCCATGTGGATATGCTGGTGCATCATGAGTGTATAAGTCCCGACATAGTAGGTCTGCATGATCCAGTGGGCAACACCGTGTGCCCAATGGAAATTTCGGAAAAGAAGAATTGCACTCGGGACAGATGTCGTGAAATAGAGAATCAGATGTGTGAGCATAACCACATCCGTCTCAACACGGACGAGCTGCCTTGCGACCCTCACGTAGGACTGCAGGATCGATTTAACTACTTTAGGGAGCTTTTCAAGGTCTTTCACATCCCACGTCACGAAGACGGTGGGCTCAAACTCGGCATTCTGAGCATTATTGAGAGCCTTCAGTTTCTGTATTGTGTCTTCATCGGGACTCTGGCCGGTCCCATTTTGTGTAGCTAATCAAGTCAGCACGGAGATCCTTGAGATCTTTAGCTGCACTTCGGGGTACATGGCCGAGGAGCGTGGGCCATACGTTTTTTTGTCCGGTTCCGCGCACCCAAGACGGAGTTCTTTTCCTCCGGCTTAGCGTGCTCGGCATCGTGCAGGAGATTCTTCAGAACCAGTAGATCCGGTTCGGTTAAGTTCGGGTCTATAAAATTCGAGGGATCCATGATGGAAGCATGGAGTGTAGCGACGGGGAGTAATGAAAGGAAGTGCTGTCAAAATGCTAAGGGGAAATCTACGGAAATGGGCCCATCCGCTCAGGGGCCAGAATCCATTAGTGCGGCTCAACAAAGAGGGCCTCTTGACGCGCCGTTTGCAATGATCTAAGCACTTTAATTCTCGAGTATATCAATGAGGAATATCTATACCAAGACGCCGTCTGTACAACAGTTCCCCAAACAGACCAATTAGAAGCTGAAACGGGCTGAAGGCAGGGTTCCCTTGCTTTTCTCCTAGTATAACCCGACCGAGCCGGTGCTTAGTAATATCTACATGCCACTGTATGATCGACCTCAACTTCAAATTAGGAATTCATGCAATATCAGCAGGAGAACATTGGGATGTGCTCAGAGGAGACTCCTACAGAAGCAAACTAATCTAGAACTGAGGTTCATATGAGAGAGGTGGATGCCTCATGGACATCCAAAGCCAGTGACATCACGGGCATTGCACATGACACAACCAATCAGAACTCCGATACGGATCTCCCCCACGCCGATAAAAAAAATTGGCGGGGAAGAAAAAGCTCGAGAATTGCAATCAAACAAACGCAAACACGAGCATTGAATTGCGAGGGAGTCACCTAAATCAATTCAATTCGACTCCCACTCCTTGCGCCAAATTCTAATTCTTGAACCTCAAACACGGGCCACTACCTCCCCCATTATGCCCCTCTCAAACCTGCAAGGGGTCAAGCTCCCCGCTTCGGCCGACTTCCACGGTGCGTATAGGTAGTCAAACACCCGCTGTCATCCTGGGCTATAGACTGACGAGTTTGCCAAGTCCATCTTCGCGATGGCGACATGATGGAGCTGGTTACTCCCACCATCAGACAAGGTGGTGTCAACACTGTTTTTGTCATGGTAAGGAAGATAACTTAAGGAGGGAGAATGATGATGATGAACAGTTGCATTGAGAACGCCAAATAACATGCTATAGCCCAATCTTGTACCGCCAATTACTACGGTTGACCGCGCGCTCGAATACAAGCAGCGTTTACAGGCTATTGAGCCCAACGTAAATTTCCTCATGTCTCTTTACCTCCACGAGACTATTACGCCAGAAACCATCATCCATGCCAAGAAGCGCGGTATCACCGGCGTTAAGAGTTACCCGGCGGGTGTAACTACCAACTCCTCTGCTGGTGTCATCGACTACGCGCAGTTCTATCCCGTATTTGCGGAGATGGAGCGTCAGGGCATAATCCTTAACCTGCACGGAGAGGTCCCCTCCCAGGGCGATGTGACCGTGCTGTCGGCAGAGGAGCGCTTCCTTCCCACCCTTCTGCAGCTGCACGAGAAGTTCCCCAAACTTCGGATTATCTTGGAGCATTGTACCACCGCCGCTGCAGTCGAGGCTGTCAAGAAATGCGGTCCGACTGTTGCAGGAACAAGTAACTCAAACCTCCCACCGCATATATCATCTTTGTGAATATTGTCTAACCACCACCGTAGTAACTGCTCACCACCTGTCGATTATCATTGACTCATGGGCTGGTGACCCTTTCTGCTTCTGCAAGCCTGTTGCCAAAACACCGGCCGATCGAGACGCCCTTCTGCGCGCCGCAGCCTCCGGCAACCCTAAGTTCTTTTTTGGCTCAGATAGTGCACCACACCCCGCAGCATCCAAGCGAGGAGGTGAGAAGATAGCTGCCGGTGTGTTCACTCAGCCATATACGACTCAGCTCGTGGTCGACGCCTTCGAGCAGGCCTGCGAAAATGGTGTCTTGAAAGAGCAAGATATCACGCCCGAGATTGTCGAAGGTTTCATGAGCAAATATGGCCGCGCATTCTATGGCCTCGAGAGTGAGAAAAAGGAGTTCATCACCCTCGAGAAGAAAGACGAGAAGGTAGTAAACATCCTAAAATCGGACAAGGTGGATGTTGTCCCCTTTAGAAGGGATCAGCAGACATGGAGCGTGACTTGGTCTGCATAGTTGGAGCAATTTTGTCGCTTCTCCTAGTTCAACCACTATAGACCTCAAAAGAAAAGGTTCTTGTACTTGTCTAGTCCTCCTTGTTATCCGCCTGCGTAAGCATACCCGTAACAGCCTCGAGAGCTTGTGCTTCGAAAATATCCATCTTGCGTCCCGTAACAGTCGGGTTCCCATCATTGCCAACCGGGAGCTGGCCGGATCGTTCAAGGTGAAGCTTAATTCTGCTGTCAATGTACTCCCGTCGTTCATCCGATTTGGATTCCGTGTCATTCGCAATCTTCGATTTCGGCAAGGTGGCCAGCTTGGGACGGAGCTCCTTCAACAACGCCTGCAAAGCAGGAAGCTGGGACAAGATGAATGTAGTGTTTGTCGTTAGAGGGGTATGCTGGATGTTTGAGCCTGTCGTGATACCAACTCGTAGCTTCTGTGCGGCGGCGCTAGATGTCAAGAACGACAAGTCCACGTCCATTTTCCTAGCAGGCGCGGTAGTAGGCTCGCCCTCGCCCTTGGTGTCATCTGCAGAATCTTTTGTTGGCGCTGCCGACAGAATTGTTTTCAACTGCGAGATCATCACTTCGTTTCTCGCGCTCTCTTGCTTCAATGCGCGGTTTAGTTTCTTCGTTTCTTGTAACTTTTGGCGCAGTGCGAGAATCATTTCAACAGTCGGCGCATCCGGAGAAGGATTTAGAGAAATGTTCTGCAAGAAATAAAAGTCAGATCTAAAAGGACGGGAGGGGTTTGAAAGACGAGTGTATTGCCCACCTCGTAATGTTTAAGTCTGATCCAACCCATCAGATCATCGGGCACTCGGAAGATGTTGCGCAGCACGAAGATCTCGAATTTATCAAAGGCCTTATCAACTGTCGCCTCGAGCAGAGTCTCCAATTGATGTAATCCATTTTCTATTTCGAGTTGCGCCTCGGGGTAAATAACGTTCCCATCCTCGTCGGTGTCAGGGATTGTCGAGCCATTGTTGGCATGCGCAAAGCCCAATCGTTCGGGAGGGGTAGAAAGCAAGCCAGACTCCAGACTGGATATAGCTTGATAGATTAAGTTGTTGATTGAGTTGATAATGTCATCTATGAGCGACTGTACCTGCGTTAGTAACTGGTCGCGAAGAGACCGACCACGGAGCCCGAACTAACCAGAGGGGTATAGCTGAAATGCTCAGTGAGAAGAGAAGTAGCAAGGTCATCCATTGTATCGGCAAGTTATCGATTGGCCCATCACCTAGTCAGACTTTGAAGCTTGAGCGGCGTGGAGGCTTGCAGAGCCAAAGTCCGCACGCGTCGCGTGGGTTCCAAGTTATTCTGCGCGAGGGGAAGAAATGCCAAGACCCGGGTAGCCAAGCCTTGACAACAACCACAGCGAAGCACGCTCCCTGCTACAGTAATTTCTTCGAATCTTTCAAAGAAGCGAGCTCCCTCGGCGGTCATTGGATCGGCCGGGTCCCAATGAAACCCAGGCACATCTCGGAACGCAGATTGGTGGCTGTCAAAGATTCAGTCTGTTCCCCATCCTAGGCCTATCGTGACTCATGAATTCCAAAGCCACAACTGCCCTGACTCAACGCTCGGCTGTGCACAGCTCTTTTACCAATCGCAGATTTCAGGGGAATACCTACTGTGGCTTTGATGCTCTCCAATTACCCTTGGATCGTAATTGACTCATAATGGATACATTTTTAGAATTGAAAGATGGATGGTGAAAGGAAAGCACTCTCTTTATGCGCCGGTGGCAGCTGGGGGCCTTAGCAGTTGAGGAATATGTATATATACAGATGTAACACTTCCAATATCCTAGGTCTGTTCAGTTCTGATCAATACTCTCCTTCACATTCAAAATAATTTTCAAGCTGGGTCTCTTCATTGAATTCAACATGGCGGACGACAAACAAACCTTTGAAACCAAATCCCCTAACGTTGGAAAAGAAGACTCGCCGGAGAGGAGTCCTACACCTCCAGCTGACGAAACCTCCTCACCGGCCTTTCTGACTTCGAAGGACTCACAGTCAGGAGAGAACAGACTCCGACCAGCCTCCGGTAAGTATTATCATTCTACCTTCATTCGTGTCTATTCTAACCTTTGTAAAATAGATATACTTAACCGCCTCGTCTGGGATGAAAACTACGATAGCACGGACTTTGTTATCGGGTACGAGGATCGATTTGAGGGACGCCTGGAGGCGAGTGTCAACTCGTGGAAGAGAGAGTCGACGGACGAAGAATTTATCCCTCAACACCGCATCCTCTATATCAAGCGGAAGTCAGACTCCGAGATTGTGTGGGATAGACGTCGGAGGATTGATCAAATCTTTAAGAGCGGGAATTCTGCCTTTGATTATCTTGCTTTTCTCCATTGAATGCCTTCCGGGCATCTTTTTAGCTTATTTCGAGTCTCTTTTTCATATTACCCCTTCAAGTTCCTTTTTGATCTCTTCAATTCTCTCTTCAATATATCTACTAATATTATATTCCAGTGATTATGAGAATAATAGTACACGATAGTAGCATCTTACTATCTATTAGCGGGCATTGCCAATTCTGGACGCCGGGTGCTCCTTCCTCATATAGATCCGTATATTTATGCCTCGCAGCGGAAACAAGGAAAGCCGAAACATACAACATCTGCCATGGCATCCCAATATTGGTGCTCCATTACTTAGTTATCCTTTCCAGGGGCTTGTGATCTCAAGTCCCCGCCGCTGCAAGCAAGATGCCTCAGAAACACCATCGTATCGATTTCACGCTTCTCAGACGGCGCCGGAACCTCTCGTCGACCTCGTCGTCTGATCTGTCTCCCACTGTTCCTGTCCTCGAGTCACCAATTACCTTTCACGCCATAGCGTCACAGAGTGTCTCCGAGGCAACACTAAAGCAGAGCGGACTAAACAGAGCCCCAGTTAAGCCGTCCATGTTCTTTGAAGACAGGGAAGAAGACGACGATGGATCAGCTCCTAATCTCACGTCCGTTGACCACAAGGACGTTAGATCACCACGTGCAGTACATAGGAGCAGTGACGAGGACAGGCCGTTGACTCAACCAAAGAGTCAATTCTTCGACAATTCATTCAGCTCTCGTAGCCCTTGGGTGTCCCCGAGTGCTCGAATAAACCAAGATTCCTTCGTCGTGATCGAAATCAAGTTGAATATAGGTGTATGTGGACACTTAGATATCTAACGCAAGTTTGAGACTGACACCAACCCAGGTCAAAGACGAGGAGTCCGTTGTCTCGAAGATCACCACTAAAATGGCACAGATTTACCAGAGATCTGAGTCTTTTATGATAGTCACCATACAGCAAATTCCAACCCTCCGGTTTGGCAGTTCAGCACTACCATCATACTCAATGAAGCTCTATGCCCTTCCCTATCTCATTGCACCCATCACAAATCTTCGCAGCACGATACTCATTCAAGCAGCATTAGATGACATCCTACATATCGCGCCATCGCGAGGAATCATTCTCTATATTCCAATTCCAGAGGAGAATATGGCAACGAATAGCACAACGATGATGGGTGAAATTGCCCGTCTAGAGCGCGATATTGGAGCCCGGGAGCCTCGAATTTTCAAGTCTCTCTCTCGATCCTTGAGCAGGAGGAAGAAATCTAGTAGCGGCGTGAGCGCACCTTTATCTGTTGCCACAACATCGTCATGGGCTGCCACAAGCGATGTACAAGAGCCAAAACCAGTTACAGCCTCAGAGTCCGAGGGTGCCAATGCCTCTGGCGAAGGTAATTCGAGGCCTGGAAAGACTGGAAGGACTTTGCGACTCTTTGTTTCCCGTCGAAGTCCGGAGCGTTCGCGTTCAGGTGATGATGAGTAGAAGTCCATTCATCACATTCCTTCTTGATGCCTATCTCATCTTTACCACTTGCCTCTCGTTTTGCAATACCCCTCTTGGGGAGCCCAGGGCTCCATTTGTTAACTATCGAGGCCAGGTATAGACTGTGAGCGACCCAATTTTTTGATCGGTGCTGGAGAATGCGAATGTTTGAACTATCTTTTCTTTTTGATTTGGGACCATTGCGTTTGCTTATTTTATTGCTTGTATGTTTACATTGGGTGTTGCGCTTGTGGCTCTCTACTAGGATCACCGTCAATTCAGCTGCTGCCAATGAATTGGTACTCGATAAACACCGGTCAAAGCTTCAATTTTCAGTCTCCTGCTTAATGGCACCGAATAGACGGTAATTATGGGACCTCCTTTGGTACCTTAGTAGATGACTGTACGGATAATTATGCTTTTAACAGTTGAATATCGCACGCCTTCCTCCCTTGAAGCTTTAAAGACTGAATGGGTCAAATAAGCCATGTTCACTCTCCGTGCGCGCTTCCAAGTTTTGACTCATAACCTCGTATTTAGGGGGGCAGTGACGAGGGGCGGTTCATCCCTTATGCTTTTAAGAGCTTCCATCAACGAATCCAACTTCTCCCCGTAACACTTTTTTAGGGAAGCCCTCACACAATCACAATGGAGATGAACACTGCCAACAGCAACATAGTAGAGTTGGAAGGTGACCTCTTCGACGCCCCTGATGGGGCCGCCTTGATCCGTTAGTTCACCACTTGTTATATACACAGAGATACTTCCAGCTAACCTTACCTTAATAGATGCTTGCAATTGCCTTGGATCTTGGGGCGGTGGCATAGCCTTGGCTTTTCGAAAGAAGGCACGCCACTTCATTAAGTGCCCTTGACATTACTGAAGCCGATAACTGACTGCCCCCGCCCAGTACCCTGCCGCGTTTGAAGTATATCAATCACACTGCCACACTTACCGCGATAACCCAAAATATCTCGATACCACCAAAGCTGCTATTAGCTTGGGCCCGATAACCCGCAGTGTCCGGCTACCAGAGGGCTCTGCCTTAATAATCCCACCCCAGAGGAAGGATTACGAAAGGCGCCAGGGAAAGAAACACTGGATAATATGCCTATTCACGTCGCGAGCGTATGGACGCAACGTGAGCAGTCCTGATGTGATCCTGCAGAATACCGAGCTGGCTCTTGCAGATCTCAAGGAACAGCTCAACCTATTGCGGTCCAAGGAGTTTGGGCCGGAGGAAGTGGGAATCTTGGAGCTTCGCTCGTGTCGGTTCAACTCTGGGCTATTTGGCGTGGAGTGGAAGCACACGAGGGAGTTATTGCATAAGTTGGGGCACGAAGTTACTGTTGTTCGCCCGCCTGGCGAGTGAAGAAAAGTAGTTTTGTTGCCGTTTGCTCGATTTCAAGCGTTGATACTGTGTATGCATCGACAAGCACGTAAAAGTACATGGATACAAGTTTAATGAATTTACTAGGGCCGAGTATTCGGTCAAATACTGTTAATGAGAAACACAAATGCATCTCTAATCAAACCAAAAAAGGAAAGTGGTTAGTATGGATCAGCTGACTTCGTGACTTTCGAGGCGCGAACACGCGCCAGGTCTTAACCACCAACATCATCTTCGGCCTCACGCCCTCTAAGTGTGGAGGAAAGCCCATTGAGCTTCCAGAAATATGCCTCCAGAGCGCCAGCCCACCCAAAAACGCCGGCATCTCCCCTTTAAGCCACCCAGCCGCGCAACAGGATCCCCGTCTGCCTCTGCCTCAACAACAGCGGGCCCATCCAAAGCCAAACCCTCAAAACCACCAACGAAGGCCCCGAAAGTCAATGCAACGGCCTCATCCTCGAAATCAAGACCGAAACCTAAGCCCGCCAAGGCCTCCTCATCCCGCCAGAGACCGTCTCCATCGCCGCCGAACGAAAGCTCAACAAACTCCGATGCCCCCCCAGACGACCGCGCCTCCGCGGAGCCTTCGGGCTCGGGCTCGGGCTCGGGCTCAGACGACGAAACCGAAGCGAACTACATCCTTGCCGAAATAACGCACGGCGAGCCCGCAAGTGAAGACGTTCTTTCCTCAGACCCGCTTATTCCTCCGAAACTATTAACGAAGCTCGTCCACCACCATTTCCGGAATGAGAAGACGAAGATGGCGAAGGACGCGAATGGGGTCGTTGCGAAGTATATTGATGTCTTTGTGAGAGAGGCTGTGGCTAGGGCTGCGTTTGAAAGGGCTGAGGGCGGCGGTGGAGGTGGTGTGGCGGATGGATTTTTGGAGGTTCGTATATCTTTTCCATGCCTCTACCCACTCTTTCCTTTCTCCTACCATTGTGCGCCTTTGTGTGATTGGATATTGGACTAACGTGTTTGGTTGCGAGTATAGGTTGAGGATCTTGAGAAGATGGGTCCGCAACTTGCTATGGATTTTTAGGTGCTCCTATTTCGCATCTTGTCGTATCTTACTTGGGAGTATGGTTGGGCTGGATTTTAGGAGTTGGGTGTTTAATTTAGGCTCTTTAAGCGGCCTTGCTCTTGATACCAGTTATGCGAATAACGATGATTGGGATGGAAGCCCCGGTATGTCATACTGGACTATATAGATATTTAGGGATTGGCTTGCAGCGGACATGCATTCATTGGTAACATTGATCTTGGGGCGCTATGCATCAGGATATATGCTCTATTCTATGTACAAATTGTTAGACAGTAAACCGGTTTATTTCCCTTGTTCTCTTTCTTTTTTCTTCAGCGAGCTTATGACAAGGGACGTCCATCCAATCTAACCACTCAGCAAGGCATCTTTTGCTGCTGTTGTAGGTGTATCGACGGAGTCCGCTGGGGTATCTGGTTTCTCCTCGGTATTTTGCCCATCCTCAGAGTTCTTCTGTTTCTCGCCCTTTTTAACCTGAAGCGCACCAGCCTCCATCGCTTCTTCTGGAGTTGGTCGAATGTGCGGCTGGCAAATCCACCATGGCCGGCCATATTGGGCAATTGTAGCCTTTGACCCTGTAAGTGTCGAGTCGGATTGTTGCTCGAAGCGTTCAGGGAATTGCTCGTATTCCTTCAACCCTTTCTTGACCTCCTGTTCAAGGATGGAAAGGGTGTTTTCGAAGGAGGTCATATCACCCGCTGACGATCTTGCGAGCGCGTCTCGAACATTCGTATGTGTGGCGATCAATGGGCGGAAGAGCTGGAAAAGATGGCTTTGCATGTACTTCGTGCTGGGGTTGTTGGGGTTGCCGTGTCTGAATTTGTGACCGGCTTTATATTCCTTCACTCTCTCCTTCTTCTGCTGTTTCTTCAGTTTCTTTTTCGGCGGGCCTTCTTCTTCTCCCTCGTCCCCTTCTCGTTTTTGGGTCTCTGGTGCTGTGGCGGTGTTTGTGTCTAGCTCTGATTGTTGTGGTTCGTCTTCCAGGTCGGACGGGAGGTAGAGGGGTTTCCGTTCCGGTACGGGCTGCTCCAGGACGTACTTGTAGATGATGTCCAAGTACCGTCGGAATACTGCGTCGAGACGATACCCTCCTTTGCCATCTCGGCCTCTCCAGTATTCTCTGCCCTCTCTGCCTATTGGAGGAGGCTTGGCGAAGATTGAAGGATCCGACAGGTTCCCTTCAGCACTCATCACACCGTCCGCTCCAGTGGCTTCAAGGCACCGTTCCAAGTCATCGTGGTTTAGATTGTTTCCGTTCGCAAAAATCACGGTGTCCGGTGGTAGGTTATCTCGAAGATACCGAATATAGCTCCAATCGGCCAGCCCCGTATTATGGCCCTTCTGCTCCCTTGTGCGCCCATGGAGTGTAATTATACTTGCGCCTGCAGATAGTATCATCTTTGCATATTCCAACGTCCTCTCCTTCGATTCCTGAATTCTGAACTTCGCCGTCACCGGGACCGACAATTGTGCGTGAAGTCGGCTAATAAGTTTATGAATCAAATCCCAGTCCTCCTGCAAGAAGGCACCGTAATGTCCCCTCCGCGCGATACCTTGCGGGCAACCGAGGTTCAAGTCAACAGCATCGCAGTAAGGCGCAACGTAGCGCGCCGCCTCAAGAAAGTCATCCGGATCATTCGCGCAAAACTGCACAAACAGTGGCCGATCAATCGCGGGGCTTCCGTCTAGGTATAGAGCCTCTCCGTTCTCTTTGTGGCCAATCGAGGCGCGAGTGGGGTGGAACATTTTCCCGCGGTACCCCGCCTCTTCGCGGAACAGGCGTGCATGGAACATGGGTGAATATGCGAGGACAGATTTCGAGTCTTCTGGGGGCATGAAGGAGCGAGTGAGCATGCGCCATGCCTAATATCAACCATTATTCGTCAGTCTTTGAAGCCTGCAGAGGTCGGGGTTAGTCGCACTCACGAATTCAGAACTATCCACCATAGGCGCAACGATGTATTTCGGGCTGCCTATGCTTTTGTAGAATTCTCGCCCGTGGAGTTTCGTCTTGGGCGCCGGCTCTGGCTTCTCAGGTGCGGTTTGCGCCGCGCCGTTGGAGACGGCCGGTGTTGTCTCGGACACAGCCATCTTGATCGGGTATGAGCGCACGAAACTAAGGAAATTTCGCCCCAACCACGGGGTCAGAAAGCGTGTGATCCCTATAATGACTGATGGGATAAGAAGTGATCGCCAGTGTCTAAAGAGCGACCGATAAACGTTTTCGATATCTACTGCGGAGTACTGAAATGGGGGCGACTTTTTTTTGGCAATAGTATCTCGGAGCGCAGGAATGTTGTTCCGTTTATCTTTTTTTATCTCTTATCGATTGTTGATGTCTTGGCGTTCCATAAGCGGAAACTTAGTTTACATCCCGTCCATCCCGCTTCGAAGTGAAGGATGTTGTCTGATGAACTAGATATTCACGAAGGAAGTGTCATGGGTATGCAGTAGGACACGGTCTTCTCCCAAAATGTCGCGAATATGCCCCACCCCAACCTCGATGGATACTGGTAGCACTGCTAGTGAGTCTGTTGTTCGCTTGAAGATATCACCCGCTAACCATTCGATATAGCCTCCTCTTCGATCTCATTATCAGATGACGGGGAATATGCTGCTCAACTGAATGGAAAAGACCTTATTGTTTATCTAAACCCAACCTCCTCCGGGTTTAAAGAGGTACAGATTGTCAAAGTTAAAGACACCGGGTATAAGTTTCTAAAGTACTCGCGCTCAAAGCAAGACGCTGGAAGACCACGCCGCTTGCTCTGCGCCAACGATTCTCGCATCATTATTTGGGATCTTGACCCCCTGCAGCAGCATGCAGAAATTGAGAACATCGAACCCGGAGCCCTGAACATTGAGTTTGGGGGTGATGGAAATGAAGTCCTCGTCTTCCATGCTTTCAGCACAAAACTTAGTGTTTTCGGTTTGGACTCTGGCCGCAGCCATGTCATCAAATCCCCTAAGTTTGCTCATCAGAATGGCTTTGGATATCGACCGACGACTGGACAACTCGCAATTTTATTGAAACCCGATGCTTCAGATCTACTGACAGTCCATGAGTCTCGATCGCAAGAGCTCATCGGTAGGGAGGTTCTCCCAACAGTTGATGCCCAAGGGCTGAAATGGAGCCCCGATGGACACTGGATAGCTGTATGGGAAGCTGCTAGCGCGGGAACAAAGATCCTTATCTTCACTGCGGATGGACAACTCTTCAGGACTTATACAGGCTTACCCGAGTCCGATGATTCCTTCGACTTGGGCGTTCGAAGTATTGAATGGAGCCCGGCTCTGCACAATGGCGCATCCCAAATCTTGTCTGTTGGGAAGGTCGATGGGACAGTGGAATTGCTTGGAACTAAAACGGTACCTCCTCGTCCAAGCCATTTTTTCCTCTTACTGACAGATGAAGTTTTCCTGTTCTACGACGCTTTCACATGTCTTTCAAATCGATGAATACCCTTCTAGTATATGGAGGGAACGTTATGCTGCCGGGGGTATGAGCTTAGAATACGCCGAGTCATTGAGCTCCTCCGCATTTATCACAACTACCGAACCTACAAGTGGGCCTCGAGGGGTATCATTAATGGGATTTAGCCATGATGGGAACCTCTTCAGTACCGTGGACCAAGCACGGCCGAATATTGTTTGGATATGGAACTTGGAGGGCGCCCCGGTGTTGGTATCAGCACTAGTTCATGAGCACGCCGTCAGGCAAGTCATTTGGCATCCTTCGACAACACAATTGCTCATTACTACGGCCAATAATGCCCTTCCTACTGTGCGGCATTGGAGTCCGCACCAACCCCCATGCATTGTTCGCATTCCTGTTTCGAGGAGTGAGAGTGGAAGGTATGACGTACGATGGGTACCTGCCGATAAGGATGAGTTATCAAGACTTTGGTTTGGCTCACCAGATGACTATGTCTTGGGACTCATTGAATCGGATGATCATGCGGCAGCCGAGTTTAGGTGCTTAAATACCCTTGGCGGAAAAGTATCTTCAGGTAGTCAGGGCACGATAATGAATCGATGAGAGCGAAATACTGCTACTGGGCCATGATGGAATTATATGTTAGCGATCTAGTTATATACCATAAACTTATGCTATTTTGGCTTTGTGTTTCACTGTTCATGCCTCATTATTGAGGCATCATTAGTATAGTTGGCGGTAGCCAATCAAATGTAGCCTATGTAACCGAGCCTGCGCCCGTGACCAGCCAGGGCTTAGGGTTATCCTTCACGTGATTCCCGTCATCCCCACTCGAATTTTGCACTTGGGCTCAACTTCAGACGCTTCAGTCTCGCAGCTCTCCAACAACCATACAGACAGTCAAAATGGTGAGTAACTTGTCATTGCTGAACAACACAATATTTTCGTCCAGACAGACACTAATAATAAAAAATAGGCTCCTGCAGGCAAGCAAAAGAAGAAGTGGTCCAAGGGCAAGGGTATGCTTCCACCGTCCTCATCATCTCCCATTACCGAATGATCCTCGATTTCGCGATATCCGGGAAACCAGAATATTGGCTCCTTTCGAACCCTCACGCACAAATAAACGGGTTTTCCAGGGACAACTGAACTAACGTGATGTTTCTGCTATAGTCAAGGACAAGGCCCAGCACGCCGTCGTCCTCGAGAAGCAGACCGCTGAGAGACTCAACAAGGACGTCCAGTCCTACCGTCTCATCACTGTCGCCACTCTCGTCGACCGTCTCAAGATCAACGGCAGCTTGGCCCGCCAGGCCCTTGCTGATCTCGAGGAGAAGGGACAGATCAAGAAGGTTGTCGGTCACTCCAAGATGAACATCTACAGTACGTTCTTTCCTCGACTTATGGGAGACTCAGCCAAGGATACTAATACCGACTCTTTACAGCCCGCGCCGTTACCGCTGAGTAAACGCTTTCTTATAACGAATGATTTTTCTCGCGGTGCTTATGATACCTTTGCTACGAATGATATCTTTAAAATCCGGAATTCGGCTGGGCGAATGATGTTGGTGGTACGATGAATCGACCTCGCACGCATTGCATGGAATGAAAAGTCGCGCTACTGGACGTGTCAAGTACATTGCAGTGACTCAATCAAATCAACCTGATCAATCTGTTCAATTCAAGTTCTCGCTAAATACCGTAAGAAGCGCAAGCATAAGGAAAAGCAAACGTATTGGTTAGATGCCATGCGAATGTAAAGGAATCGAGATGTCATTCTCCACACCCTCCAGTAGTTGTACCTGATCTCAGGCACTCTTCTTGTTAGCCTTGTCTCCCTTATTCTTGTTCCTCTTGGGCCTCTGCTTCTTAGCCGCCTCGCAGAGCTCCCTCTTCTCCTTCGTCTCATCCTCAGGTCCCTTGACAACCTTCCCAACCGCAAAATACTTCTGATGGTTCCCAAAGAAACCCGACCAATGCGCAATCGTACTCTCCACCCTCTTCCGCGCAAGTCTAAGATCCTGCTCCCTTCTCTTCTTCCTCTCCCCGCTACTCAACCCCTCCAAATCCTCGGGCTCATCAATCGGTATAAACATCTCCTCAACCCCAGTAAGATCATCCGTGAGATCCTCGGCAAAACAACCCGTCACAAAAGCGCGGCTTGCGTCGCGCCCGGCGAAGAAGTGGTATCCGCCGCCGGGACCGTACATGCCCGGGTTTGCGGACACATCGAAGATGGTTCCATTCACTGCGACATAGATTGGGAGGGCCGGGTCGGTGCCGTCGTGGAGGGAGAGTTCGGTCGGGGTTAGGATCACGGGGCCTTTCTGTTTTGGGAGCACTTTTGTTAGACTCACTCGACTGGGTTGCGGATGCATGAATGCATGGGATGGACATAAAGAAGAAGGGGGTGGGGGGGTTGATGCAAGGAACGTACAATATATTGTACGAGCTGAGGCCAGTTCGTGAACCATGGCTTATAGCCCCAGAGCAGAGACTGGGAGTCGGTGAGGTAGTATGAGAGACCGCAGGACACGACGACAAGAGTAAGCAGGACCCGGAAGATGTCGAGGATGCTAATGCCGCCGCCGCCGCGAGCGCTGGATTGCGTTTCCTTGCGGCTTGTTGCCGGGGAGGATTTTGATGTGCCCTTGGAGGCAACCGGTCTTTGTCGGACTTCACCAGACATTGTTAGGCGGGTGTCTGGGATGCAGGTGTTGGAATCGGGGGGATGGGATAAAGAAGGTAGAAGGAATATGAAAATGCGCCAGTAGAAGGACAGATATTTCCAATGGTGTCTGAAACTCTGCGGGGTGATCACTTGCTTGGTATGGACTGACGCCCGTGAAGGCCGAATATTAAATTGCTAATACAGCCGACCCTGTGAAGATGCAGGGCTCGAGTTTCAGCTCAGCGGTCTTCCTAGTTGGTATCGCTATATGTCGGTAACGGCTGCTGATGCGGCCTAGTATTTGCTAAGGTTTTCTAGTCCAAATGCGAGGAGCGGTGATCGGGACCGCCACTAAAATTCTACAGAGATCCTCTACAATGTACTGAGGTGGTAAATATACTGCGAAATATAAATTCATTGGTCATTGATAACGCTAACTATCGGTGACCGAGGGTGAAAACCCAACACCCGAGATTGTTCTAACCCAAGTTGCCGGTTGTGCCAGCACTATCTACCCTCGAGTATACGTCGTGTATAAAAAGGCTACCTAGAAATCTTGGACAAGTTAGCAAAGCCCTTGGAAAACTCTGTAAACTTGAAAGCAATGCGTGAATAGACAATCTCAGTCAGACATCCAAGGAAGTACATGCGCACAGAGCACGTCTATATGATGGGTTCAAGGCGACGGCTAGCGTGGAAACTGCGAATGTGGAAAAGTTTTTCATCATCGAGATTGGGGGGAGGGGAAATAATAGAAAGTGAAAGGTAATTTGCGTACAGCTGAGTAGCGACAATCAGGACTTACCATAAGTTCGCAAAATGGAGGAAGATAATAAAGTCGTGCCAGTAATATACGCATCCCAGATTCTACATTTTGAATCTGCAGACGGCATAAAAAACAGGAAGTTCCTTGAATACTGGAGGAAATCTTCGAGTTGTGTGTTTGGGAGAGAAGGAAGAGAAACTTTTTTTCGAGTCGGTCTTTTCTAGCAGTTTCGGGGAAATGTCGTTCCGCCCTCCGGTATCCATCGAGTGGATGTTTTTCTTTTTTCGGCATTTCATTGGCACATTCTACCACAATTCACAAATACGCCATTATTATTGAACTAGATACTTAGTGAATTGGTCCGCATTTCGCTTTTTCTTTTTAAGTGTAGTTTACCTTTAGTATTCACTATTTACCCCCAGTTCAGTTACGCCTACCCTCATGTTTCCAGAGTTTCGCCAATTCAATCCATCACTCCGCCGGCTATCAAGCCCAAGTAGACGAATAGCTCGGGAAATACCGAGCCGGAGGCTCTCTTATCAGAAGTAGAGATAAGTAACATGGAAGCATTTTAGTAATGGTAATCATAAGGTCAAAAAGTTGTTTGTGGGCGGCTCGCCCACATGCGGTTGTTCCACTGAATCCTGGCTGTGTTCTGCTTCCTGCTCCTGTTCCCAGCTGCGAGAAAACACATCATTCAGGGCTTGTTGGAATGTGCGACAGTTCATATCAATTAGACCCTTCTTTTCCCTGGCCTCGGGATTGCGGATGACAGAGACGAGGCAGAGATACCTAAACGGATTAATAAGGTCACGCACGACAAGTTAAAATCAAGACAACAAACATACTTGTTCATTTCCATTAGATGGATCATAGTTTCATCATGTAGTGCAACATGACTCTCAGCTTCCTGGTTCTGGTCGCCTTTTGGCTTGCGGTCAGGGTGATCCCAAGAGTAAAGCTCAGAGATGTCTACGATTACATCGATATAATCCGAACACATCTCGTAACAGGACATATCGACAGGTCGAGTATCAGAGGCAATATATATCTTGCTCAGGACGTCAAACAAATAACTCTTCTCAAAGCCGCAATTGTTTGATAAGGTGTTGATCAGGTTCTCCAGAGTAGACAGGTTGGGGATGAGTTTCTGAATGACTTTGCTGAAAGCTTCAAAAACCGAGTAGTCGTAGATTGAGGTTAAATAGTAGTGGACAGGTGCATTCTCATATCCAGCATCGCTGAGCTCATCAGAGATAAGCTGGACAATGTCTTGGAATGTGTCCGTGCGGTACTCTTCGGAGAGTCCGTCCACCTTGTGAATGAATACTTCGATGTTAATATTGGGATAATACTGCTGGACTGTCAGGATGGTGCGGTTGAGCCGAGCAACAGACTCTAGGTAGTCATCTTGAGCATCGATAACCCAAACAAGAGCACCGTGGCTTCCGAATATTTCCTCGAGATCGAATGACGACTCAAGATATTCGAACTGGCCAGGGAAATCCCACACCTGAAAGTCCATAAACGAGCTAGTGGCACCAGGTTAGAACAAAATCAATAAAGCCAAAACGCAGGCGAGCTCACTGGACTGAATCTTTCTGGATGCGTGTGGTGGATTCTAGGAATAGGGTTTCGTTCGGGGGCATCTTATGAAAGACAACGCTAGCAATAGATGACTTTCCGCTCCTACATATAGTTAGACGTGTCGAAATGTGATAAATACCCGAACAAAATCGTACCGACGGAGTCCCATCAAAAGAAGTCGGGGTTTAAAATCTTGGGGCTTATTTGATTTAACCCGCGTAGGCTGTCCGGAAGGGGTATTCGTGACCTATAGAAGTTCGTTAAGTTTCAGCTCGGGTCTGGTTTTGATTACTAGCAGCCATCCTTGCAAGATAATAGTGCTTGTAAATAGATGATGACTTTCTGGGCCTGGTTTAATCCGCGGTCCTCGAAAACAAACAGCCCTCCCGCAATCTGATAGAGGCATAGAAACGTTGAGTAGGCTTGTTGGATTGAGGTTGGGCAAGGATAATTGGATGGGACGTTATCGCAACAAACAATATCCAAGGCCAAAAATATCAAGTGTTCGAAGGAAAGAGCAAATAATGGAACGAGCTTTCCTTACCTCCATGGTGTCCCAATTATCACCAGTCTCAGTAGAGGTGTCACAAAATTATTACACCGTTCCCTGTTAGTTATTGTGAGTAAATCGACTTCCGAAGTACAAGGCATAAAGTGAGCCAATTCAAAAGACAAAAAGGAAAACCCACCAGAAGATTTGCTGTCCTCCAGCAGAGATAGTTAGAGCCAGCCCAAAGACAGAGGGTTTGTTCAGTGTGTTGACCCGATTGTTATAAGTTATATATCAACAATGCTCGGGACTGAATCTCAAAAAATCGATAATGCGGGAGTATTCAATCTCGCAGCCACCACAGGATTAAATACAGACCATCCAGACAATTCAATGTCTCTGCAAAGGAGGTGGCCCGCGCTTTTCAGTGGGTCGCTGCAGGTGAACAAAGACGGGCGGGGGGATCAGAGCATGACACCCATGTTGGGCACAAGACAGTTGGGTCAGTTTAAAGGGGATGGCGGGATATGAATAAATATCTTATGTTCGTTGCCTAAGTACACATCGAGGTACAAGGGAACATCCATACAACGTTAGGCGGAGTTGGTGCGGAGAAAGAAGACGGCGATTATTTGCCGATGGCGGCTCTCTTTTCAAAGAGACTGGTTTCTGAGGGGAAGGAGTATCTGAGTTGGCAAGACTATCGTCATCCAGGCAACAGTTCAATTGGCTGGGTAGGAGAGGAGAGACGAGGGGTGAAGGAGATAGACCCGTTGATGTTGAAGTCGTGGGCTTTGGCGATAAGCCGGGGAAGAAGGCTTGGCGTTTGAGAGTCGCACCTAGTGCTGTCCGCTTTGGGAGGTTATGTACATAACTTGCTTGTTTGTGTTTTGGGCGGGCGTCAATTCCCTTGGTGCAGACATTACTGGGAATTGCAAGTTCGCATCACCCTGTCAGTGAAGAATCAACAACAAAATAATTCGGCACTCGAAAAGAAATGCGCCCTTTATACCGCGCTGGCAGGTGATGGCTGCTGGTCAGCTGATTGGCTGCTGCTTCTGCGTCATCACCGCCCATTGTTCAACTCACCCGCGGCCTTGGAGACTTCTCCAACTCAAGTCTCTAGGGGACTTTCTTCTTTTTCTTCACATTCTCTTCGATTCTGGTGCTCTGGAACCCTTCACGCGATATGACGACCCTTACCCCCCGTGAACCTTACTCCCAGGAGGAAATCAACAAGCTCTACCCAAAGGAATTGAAGCTCCAGTTGGTTCAAGTTGTACGTGCCGATCTCTCGCTCTCCAAAAGGCACCCCCTCGAGAGAACTCCCAGCTAATCTCTGCTCAGTTTTTGCGACATGGTACGGAGTAACTCTCTTCGGCCGCAATCTTACGCAAATTGAGCGACTAACTCTAACCTTTCAGGCGAGCGCACACCGGTATCTTCACGGTTTGAGAGTGTACGTACCCGATTTGTATTCATAATAGAGATAGGGATTCCGGAGCTAATTCCTTCTAGGCAGGGCTTTCACCATGTACTTGATCCTATAACCCCGATCCTCGTTGTTCGAAATTACCCGCTGACCCCTCCCTCCCCCCACCTAAGACTGGCCTTACTGCAATGTTGCCCGCCGCATGGTCCAGATGGCCGGCAGTAATGAGGACCTCTCATCCTGGAACGGCTTTCAATGGCGAAGGAAGATGGAAACGTTTGGTGACAATGATGAAACAATAGTTACTGTCGGTGCAGGTGGTAACATTGAAGGCATTTGGCAAGTTACGGCCTAGAGGCTCTGTGTAGAGGGGTACATCTCATTCTAATGGATATTTGAATAGTCAACACGGTGAGTTGACGGATAAAGGACGTGAGACGACCTACCAGCTCGGCCAGCGCCTGCGGAATCTCTATGTGAACCAACTCGGGTTCATGCCGAAGATCAAGGCTGACACGGAAGACATGTATCTCCGTGCGACGACCATTCCAAGAGCTCTGGAGTCCCTTCAACAAGCATTCTGGGGAATGTACCCTCCTAATGCCCGTACGGAAGACCTTAAACCACCCGTTATTGTGGCTCGATCTGTGTCCGAGGAGACTCTTTTCCCCAACGAAAGCAATTGCCGGCGATTCAGGCAGCTTGCTAGACTTTTTGCCGATAGGGCTGCGCAAAAGTGTATGTACCAGCCAACCCGAAAGTCCTGTTTGGTGCTAAATTCCATTTCTCACCAGGGAACGACTCCAAAGAAATGGACTATATCAATAGTGTTTATGGCAAATGGATGCCTGAGCATTCACCCCGAGTGGCTGTAGACTCTCACCCACGTCTATCAGGTATTCAGGATACAATCAACGCAACGGATGCCCACGGAGCCGCTACAAGGCTCCCTTCGGAGTTCTACAACAAGAAGGCTCGAGCATACATGGAGGATATCGCCGTCGATGAATGGTTCACTGGATACAACGAGAGCACAGAGTACCGCAAGCTCGGCATCGGCGCTCTTATGGGCGACGTCGTCGACCGCATGGTCACCACCGCTGTGGATGGTGGCTGGCGCAGCGAAACCGCCGCCTCTGGATCTTCTGCGGAGAAGGGCAAAGCGATCAAGTTTGCCATGAGCGGATGCCACGACACGACCCTCGCAGCCATTCTCGGCAGTCTCGGTGCCTCCGATGGCAGATGGCCTCCTTTCACCTCCTCTCTCGCCGTCGAGCTCTTCTCGCCTGCAAACTCATCGGCCGAGCCTAGCACAAACACTGGGCCGACTGCATCCAAACAAGGCGGTGGTCTTTTCTCTTTCCTGTCCGGGTCATCTTCATCGACGCCTAGCAAATCTCACCTCCCGCCTTCTCCGACAGCCCGCGCACCCCTCCCGTCCCTCCCAGATTCTGCACGCCAGTCCCTCCAAAAACACTACGTTCGCGTCCGCTACAACGACGAGGTGGTTCGTATCCCCGGCTGTGCTGCAAAGCCCCAGAATCATCTACCCGGCGACGACACATTCTGTACTCTAGACGCGTTCAAGGAGATTGTCGACAAGTTCACGCCGAAGAGCTGGAGGAACGAGTGCGTTCAGAACTTGGGCGAGGGGATATACGGAAAGGATGATAGTGAGAAGGCTGTTTCTGGGTTCTAGATTCACTTCAACCTTTGGGTGTGAGCGCCATATTACTAGTATACATTGTAATACGTAATAGAGCGGCGAGGCTTATAGCTAGCATGTATATACCTTATACCGGCTTATGCAAATACAATCTGATGATTTATATAAGTCATGTTTTCCCCAGGGCTCTTTAATTTACTTCCTTATTAGTTAAGTACCTGCATCACTGGAAGAAGACATGGTGGTTGCATAGAATACTAAGAAGCACTATCCAGAAAGAACGGGGTATATATATGGTTATTATACAAGCTTTCTAGGTGTATATACGCTATCCGCACTCTAATATAGACGTGTAGCATCTTTATCCCAAACAAACATGAGGGAGGAGAATCGTAAAGAATAAAATCGCACATGTCCCCAACAAAACCCCCTCAGGCTGAGACTAGAGCTTTAGCTGCTGCACTCCAGTTAATCAGAGGCTCTTGTGTTGCCGCAGATACCAGGGCTATCAGAACGAAGCACCCTTTCCAGAGTCACTCGAACTCCAACCGCTCTCGCTTTCAGGGGCATACCAGATAGAAGGCGGTGGTTCAAAAAGTTCACGAGATGGAGACGGGCTTTTGCTGGCCCTGTTTTTCCCGTTTGGCGAAGAGCCGCTATTTTGATTCTTGTTCTTGTTCTTATTCTTGTTTTTGTTCTTCCCCTGTTTCTTGGATTCGTGCTGCTGTCTTAGGCTGGTTAATCGGGCATCTTGTACCCCGGCGCGCTCAATAACGGCGAAAAGCCTTTCGGTTGCAGGTGCGTATGCCCCGAGCGTATACATATCGCGCACACGCACGCGCATGAGGTCAAATGCCGTAACGATGGGGACGACAGCCGGTCCTGGCTTTTTAGATTCCGTTGTGTAGCGGGGCCAGGGGTGGTCTGGCTTTAGGTCCTCTTGGGTGTCGTTATCAAGAGGGATGTCCGGAACTGCTGTTGTCGTTGGAGTCCCTTGTTGAGGAGCTTCAGTCGCTTTAGGTTTTTCGTTTGCATCAAGTTGCTCAACCTCAGCTATCTTTTGGTATCGCTGGCTGAAGTGGGTGAGGAGAATTGCGCGAGCGCGCATCTGACGCCCGATCTGAACAGCCTCGCCAGTGGTGGAGTGCTTTTTCGCAATGGCGGAGCCGGCCATACTATCGTGGAAAGTGGCTTCGTGGATCAGGACGGTAGAGTCTTCTCCGATTTCCGCGAAAGTGCTCGAGGGTCGGCAGTCGCCTGAGAATGAGACTTTGAAGCCACTGTGAAAGACGAGCGAGACAGCCATGGCGCCACGGCAGTGAGAGACGTACGTTGTTAAAAGGTCTGCAAGACCCGTGGCCTTGCGAAGCAGAAAGGTGGTCGAATCGTCCTTGTTGTACCTCAGCTCAGATTGAGCAGGTTTTGACTCTGGAAGTTCCCGTTTGGGATAGGAGCCGTCCGCGCGACAGTGGCGATAGATGAGACTTGTCTTGAGCTTACCATCCTCCTGTCGGAATGGGCTGGCGCATAAAGGTACGAGCTTTGAGAAGCCGAAATCCTCGACACCGGCATATTCCTCCAGCCATTCAACCATCATGCCGTCAGACACGACGAACAGACGCTTTTCCTCCAAAATCTTATTAATAGAAGGCTCAATCGCGTTCGAGAGCGGAACTCCGTCTGGGTAGTTCTCCTGGTACCACGCCTTAAGGACTGAAACAATACCAAGGTGATGGTCCGCATGAAGGTGGCTAATCCAGACCATTCGTAGGTTTTGAAGAACCTCACGAAGCTCTTTGGGGTTGAACAGACGCTGAAGCTGGCCAAGTGTGCTCTCGCCACAGTCAAGCAGGTAGTATCCCGAGCCCGGAACGTGGACCAGAGTACTCGAGACATTTCGATACTTGGATGGTGCAGACGACCCCGTCCCAAGCGTGAAAATCTCCGCATCGGCACCTGGCAGGTCCTTTTGGAATTGCTCAAGCCTTTTCTGCTGCTCTGGTGCTCCTAACCGTCGGCTGATGATACCTGCGCGGCGTACAGCGGATACGGGCATTTTTTGTATGAAAGAGGCAGTGTTCAACCGGGGTATTATTTGGGAAGTATCGATTTTAAATTCGGGTTCCATGTTCACGATAAGTCCGGGCTCCGCAGGCAGGAATGGAGACGGGGACAGTTGGCTCTCGGTGGATATAGGGTTTATAGAAGACCGCGTCTGCAGAAAGCGGGTGTCGTTGTTATGTTCGGGGATTGCATAATTGTCGGGCCTTAACCGGGCCAAGCGAATTGCCGATCCAGCAGCACTTTGCAGGGCTAGGTAGTTTGGGCAATAATCCTTGCTCGAAACGATGTGCTTGCAGTTTGGCATCGAGGCAACGAACTTTTGAAGACGAGGATCGTCCCCGACGCCCGGGCCTAATATCCAAATGAAAGCTTCTAGGTTGCTCATCACGGATGGTGACTTCCACTCTGGCCGACTTAAGAGGCTCTGGATATACTCCGGGGTGGGCAAGTCCATCACTGCAAGACCTTTCCCGGGTCTTGCTGGCTCCATGACCATTTCAGGTGTAACCAACTTTCCATCTTTGGACTCCACACTTTCACCCATGGTAAGCATACCGAACTTGCGCCCCTTTTCGACACCCAAAGCCATAGCCCTCTTCGGATCAAACTTTCCTCTGAGGTTGTGGTTTTTGACGATGTAACATAGACTTTCGTCGCATCTTTGCGCTGTAGGAATCTTCTCGATGGAGGCGCCAGGCCAGGGTTTTCGGACAAGCACGTTCATTTCGGGAACCTCTACGCCATTGCCAGGAAGGGGCCCCGTGTACTTCTCCAGATCTTTCGTCTCCGGATTACGCACAAATATTTGCGCGGGCAAATTGACATCCGCAAGACGAGTCTCTTCTAGGGCATCAAGATGCCAGTCTGAGTTGAACATGTTGGCAACGACGGCCTCCCTCGCGAGTTGATCCTGGCTCTTCCGATCCACTTCCACCACCTGAGTAGCATCCTCCCGGAACTCGTCGAGGCTTCTCTTCCTTGGGCTTGAAAATCCCGACGTCGACGACGGTTTTATAGGCAAAACCCAGGCCTTAATGTTCTCATCGAACCAGGTCGGTGTCTCAAAAGGGTCGTCTGCATTAGAACCCAGACCATCCCATACACCTTCAGTATCGTATTCCTTCGTATACACCGGCAATCCCTTTCTGAAGACAAACCTCCGAGCAGTCGCCAGAGTATGAGCAAGATTCCGAGGCCCGTGAACAGTCAAATCATGCTGCTCTTCTCCATCTCCGAACTGAGCCCGCTCCTGTAGCCTCACTCCAGACTTCCCAGTCTGCTGCTGCCCGCCATGTTTCTGTCGATTCGCCTCCTTCTCGCGCTCAACGGCCTCTTGCGCACTCACGGAGGTGGTGACTCCATCAGCCTTCGTAAGGATCACCCCAATCAAGCCTCCGGAGTTATTCCAACTCATGGGGCCCGTGAGGAAGACCTGAGAGACACCGCTCAACTTTGTCCCATTTTCCGTCATAGCCCGCTGGGTCCCCTCTGAAACCCGGCCGAACAGGTATCGCTTATTCGGGAAATGGAGGAGGGCCACCGTCCCTGGCGTATCCGCCGTCGGGGTGGTCACGATCTGGTAGTAGAACTTCATGGGGAGGATTCCCGCCGCGGGGACTTTGCGCCGTTTCGAGGGGGGTGTTTTATCGAGGATATATTGTCGTTTTAGGCCTTTTGCTTGGGCAGTGCGAGGGATGCGCAGCGCACGAGTTGTGATCGCGGTGGGAATTGCTGGTTTGTTCTGGGCGGGGTGGGTATGACGAAGAACCTGTTCACGGATGGCTCGTGTGAACGGCCTTGCTAGTAATCGGAAGGAATCCAACTTGGCAGGCGGATTGGATGGACCTAGAAAAGAACTGACGCGGAGTCATACGAAGAGTCATAAGGGTGACGCGAACAAAATGCGCTGTCGGCAAAAAAAATCAAAGATCAAATGAAATGGCTGCACAGGCCATCCAATAAGAAATTATAGATCAAAATCGAGACAACAATAAACAATCACAGGAATAAAAGCATTTGAAAATATCTGGGGGTCTGAAAAGGGAGTGGTTGGATTGGGAGGACTTGAGAAGGTCCGAGTTGTTAACAGCGTTTGATTATTTTTTTGACACCAGAGCCGCCGGCCCGCCACTCGATCTTTCGAAGACCAGAGCTTCGCCAGCCAACACCATTCATACTATGTGACAACCACAATTGTTGCGTTCATTCAATTAATTTATTACTACCAACCAAAGCGCAAAATTATAATAATCATTTGGTTAAATTTTCCATTGCTTTCTATAGTCATCCAGGTCCCTGACCAGGGTTGATCGCTACCAGTTACCCAAGACAAATTTGATAAACCCAGCCCAAAACGCACCGGACCATTCCCAACACCAGAATATAAGAGAAAAGTAACAAAACGGCGGTAACAGAGCAGAATAGAAAAGTATTTTCGAGAATAACTCGAATCGTTGACAAAGGAAACGTATTGGTCTACATGTCGAAGCAGTGCTGAGGACTGGAAGCACGAACGGGGAAGTGGGACAAAGAGAATAAATCCAAGAACAGGGCATTTTACAATCTCAAGTGAATATGCAATGCAATATGGGGAATCATTGAAGATGAGCGGTGAGCATGGAAACGCGTTGGAATGCATCTTCCATGCTACTGCAGAGGGAAGTAAGTCGGTTGGCATCAGCCTTGGAGTCGCTCTCAACGACAATCTCGTAGGCGGGCGGTTTGCTAGACTCGATACCGTTGAAAGATGAGTCTTCGGGGATTTGTGACACGGACTGCTTGGGCTGGTCGGCAAAAAGTGCAAGAACGGGGTCAGATTCATCAACCTCCACGTTCAAGTCCCCAGCATCGACGGTGGGTTGTTCTTCGGGGAAGCGGTCGGCGAGCGGAACATCCTTGGTACTAGGAGCTTCGGCGTAATTCAGGCCGTCCAGGCCGGTCGATTTGCCAGAAAGGATCTCAGTGTCGACAGGAGGCTCAGGGACTTCCAGGACAGCAAAAACCGGGGCGTTGGCGAAGTTGACATCAATTCCAGTGTTCCAGCCACCGTTGTTCATGTTCATTGAAGACACATCAAGACCTTGGCTAGGGACCATCATCATTCCCATCTGAGAGTTTTGTTGTTGCATTTGAAATTCCTGCTGGCCATGGTTGGCAGCTGGCTCTTTGGGAATGTTCCCTTGCTGCATCGGAGCTTGCGACATGGCCGGAGGCTGCGGCTGCTGGACTTGCTGCTGCTGTACCTGCGGCTGCGATTGCTGAGGCTGTTGCGATAGCTGCGCTTGGCCGCTGGGAAGACCATTGGTGTTCATCTCGTCGAGAAACTGGGAGAAGTTTGGCGACGACAAAAGTGTACGAGCAAGATCGGTAAGACGAGCGTTTTCCTCATAGAGAGCACGGTTCTGAACTCGTAGTTGGTTGGCTTCATCAGTTCTCTGGGCCACTTCGCTTTCCAGCTGGCCGATGTATTCTATATAATTATATTAGTATACACCATCAACTTGGCATTATGGTGACGGGGAGGTTTGGGGGGTGTACCTTTTCTCCGAGACCTGAAGGCACGAGCAGAAACCTTGTTGCGGAGCTGCCGGCGCTCCTTGCTGCTCAGTTTCTTGCCCTCCTCGCTAGCGAGAAGTCTCTCATCCTCATCCATGTCCTGCTCATCCTTCTTGGACTTTGACAAATGACCACCGGCAGACGGAGAGGGAGACTCTGAGGGGCTTCCAGAAGCCGACTTCATTTGTTGCAAGAGGCGCGAGATCCGTTCCTCAACCACGGCGTTTGAGGCCTGGGGCTGTTGTGCCTGGGGAGTGGCGTTGTTGCGTTGCTGTTGGAGTTGTTCCTGTTGTTGCTGCTGTTGGCGGAGCATGTCGTGCTGTCTCTGCTGTTGAGCTGCCTTCGCCATGGCAGCTTGCTGGTGCATACCAGGGTACATGCGTCCAACTTGGGTGGACGATCCCATGGGAACGACCTCTTGTCCCCCAAGGGCATTAGGGTCCACAAATTGGTTCTTGTTGGCATTTGGTGAAACAAAATATCCAGCCACAGTGTTCATGTTGCCGTCAGCCTCAAGGTCCATCTCTGATAGGTTTCGAGTTGGGGTGGAGTTGAAGTCAAGGGGCGCTTCGTCACGCTTGATCTGAGGTTGGAACATGTCGCCGTTCATAGCGAAACCGGGGCTTGCACCACCATATCCCATCTGAGGCATTTGGCTGAAGGGGATGGCTTGTGCCAGGGCACCTGGTGGGAGACCTGTCTGTTGCTTGTGCTCGTCATATTGATGACTAGGGGCGGGAAATGCGACCGGTGATTGACTGGACGAGGCAAAGCTGGCACTTCGTGCATCGCTAGAAACCAACTCCGAATTAGGCAAAGACGGCTGTGATGTTAAACCAATTTTCGATCGGGCTGGTTCTGAAGGAGTGTAGCTGAGTTGGTCGAGGTTGATGAAGGTGTCGAGGTCTTGGTCGTAAGACGTCTGAGCGACAACCGGATGTTCCGCGAGGGCGGCCATGTCGAGGATAGGCTGTAGCCTCTAGAGATTATGAACTGTGAATTATATAACCGCTTAGTAGCGTCCGAATCTTTTTTGACGAGAATCAGAATAGGATTCTCGTCGAGGTTGGATGAAGAAGTCGGTCGTAGGGGGATGCACGGGTAAAGCGAGCGACCGAGTTGGACAGGGGTGAGCGAGGTCGAAGAAAGGGAGAAAGAGGGGGTGTTTCGAGTTGTGTGAGGTTCAACGAAAGAATGAACCAAATCGAGGAGAAAATGAGTCGAGACCGAAGTAGACAGGAGAGATGGATAATAATAAAGGGTCGATGGGAAGGCAAGATGGAGAAACAAACAGGGCCAGGTGGTGGGAATTGCTTGAAGATCAACCAAGGATGGTCGGGCGCTGGGATGGATGAGCGAACGGAAGGCGGTGGAGTCAAGTGGGGAGCCGCCAGGGGAAATGGCGTTACTGGTATCTTACAGTTAGAATAGAAACAGGTAAAGCAGGCTTGCGCGTCCTCTGCTGATTCAGCGGGATTGTGTCCTCCGGTTGGGTCTGGCGCCTCAAACTAGGGCTCCTGGGTCAACACCCTAATCCGTAGACTCCACTTTGCATTCCTACGGTAATGCGATACAAAATCAATTGAAATCTTGTTTTCTCGAGTCCCAAGTCTCCTGCCATCAAAAATTGCAATGACGATGGTCTTGATCGTTCTTATCCTATGTCACCACAGGAGGAAATTCCAATGAGAATGGAACCAATTTACATGCTCAATCACTACTAATATTCACTGCACATTATATCAGATCTCGGCTCAGCTGCGCAGTGCTATATTTATTCGCCTCCAGGCAGCAGAATACAAAAGGCGATTGGCGAACCGGCGAATTCCTGCAAAGGGTAAGGCGTTCCCAATTCGGAAATACCCATCCTTGAAGTCGGGATTAATGGTGCGTGGGCTTTGCACAGACAAGCTTGTGGGTACGGACTATCAACCTGCCTGTTCTTCGAGAATTCCCTCCTCCTCGGCGATATCGCAGGGATATTCACAGGGTCACGGTGCTCCGTGGTGCGAAAAGAGTCTCAGTCGTAATTTTTGTTTAACTTTCCATGGGAATGGTCTATCGTGTTCTATCATGCTGTTCCCGGTCCAACTCAAGGATAACCTACCCTTTTTGAACTCTAACGGCTGAAGGAAGAATGTGATGACGGCATGATATACTTATCTAGACCTAAAAGTCAAAATTAGGGGCCTTAAATTCAATTCGCTCGCATGGCTTAGTTGGTAAAGCGCATGACTAGTAATCATGAGATCCTCGGTTCGAATCCGAGTGTGAGCAAATTTTTTGTCAATCAAGATTTCTTGTCAATCAAGATTCTTTTCAATCAAGATTCTTTCCACGGAGTATCCACGAACAGTCAAGCGAGGAAATAGAAACTCCGATTGGTTTTGATTGAAACTGCTTTTTTTACTGTTTCTGTCCCACTTTTCAGGTATACAGCCCAAGACCGAAGGAGGTCGGAGTTATCGTATACGACCTACGCCCACCTTGGGCATCAACTCCGATACAGGCAGAAATACGAATTATTTTTATACCGGACGAGGCTGTGTAGTCCGCGGAGCAATAATGTGGCAATTGAGTCCAGTACGGCCTGCGGAGCCAGTATTCAAATACCAGACAATCCAAGCTTTGATCTGTCTCTGATAACTTCACCGTACTAGCCGAGATAGGAAAACGCACCATTCGGGCTGGGGCTTCTGCTCTTTCGTTCTTTGGTTCCCATCGACTTGATCAGGTGGATTGTCTTGAAATCTCTCCTCAACACAACCACGGACTCTTACCGGCAGCAATTGCCAATTGTCAAACATCAGTCAGACTGATGGTGGGGTGATAAGATGATGCAAACTGCAACAATGACCCAGAAGATGAACCAAGTCGTGAAACAGTAAGCTGCAGAAAAGACCATGCCGTGCGCCCACCCGAACCCAAAAAAATACCTTATTCTCTAAGCCACTCTGCTCGAACCATGGCGATCAGGTCATGCTGAAATGCTAAATGCCTTTCCTTGAAAACGCGGGTCAAATCAACTGCCAGTAAATAGGGCTGCCTAAAAAGGTGGCTGATGCAGAACTGGAGAGTGAGGACAACAACTTTTCTGCGAGACAAGAATAGTTAGCCGGCGGGATCCAACGGCAGCACTGCGCCTAGCACTGCTACTAATGGACTACTGGATGTTTGAGGCGTGCTTCGTTGCCTGTCACTGCCACTGCCACGATAATACGCAGGCCGTACACCGTAGACCGACACGGATATCGGTCACTTGGGTGTAGTGTGGGCCTGGGGGTTATTTACAGGAGAGCGAGGGGGTAAGAGGTTGGAACAGTCTGGCTCTGAGGTGAGTCGAGACCGATGAGGGGACTGTACGAGAAAAGTGGTTCCAGTTCGAATTTTGTTTTGAAGTTTTGGACGTTCGTCTCAAGTCTAGACCGTACCGGGCGATCTCGCCGTTCATAGTGGTAGGTTCAGTTTCTGGCAACGCGACAACCCTATGTGTTTCAGTCTGGATGGTTCGGCATTGAATCTTATCCAAAGAACGGTGCCAGAAAAGAGGAAGTATACGTGGCCTTGCAGAAGACACGAGTGGTCGCTTGGTTTCGTGGTAAAAATAGTTCTCGACCGTTCGGTTTAGGGGTCATCCATGGTAAGGCTCAAGTTTATCGGAATTAAGCTATGAAAAAAATTTATATAATCCCGATATATGGAGACTGTGGGAGAACCAACCAAAATGACAATTGCCAATTAATGTCGGAATTGTTTTACTCTATACTGCGCTGTTTCAAAATAATTCATAAAAATTAAAGCATTAAATCGCCAAACCCTAATTCAAAGATGTGCACTGCTCTTCAGCTTAGCAGCTACCATTTCCGAGATACGAGGGTCAACCTTGCTGAACATTTGGAGAACGGCTTCCTTCAGTCCAGGAGGCACAGACTCTAGCGTCTCAGACATATTCGCAACCCAGACATTCTTTTCCTTCTCATCGAAGACTTTGTTCCATAGATCCCGAGGCTGGATGTAATCATAATCATCGACATGAATCTCGTTCTGGCCAAGGAATGCATTTTGCTCGATGCGCTCGGTATGTCGCACGTCCGAAAGCACCTGGCTGGGGATTCCCGGGGTTAATGCACTACGCACGTAATTGGGATCGCCGCCGTAGTTCTTGGTGATGGTCCCCATGCCGTCGCGTTCGTAGGGTGCATAAACGGGGCAGATTGCGCGGTTGGGAGGGAGCTGGGTGTAGTTGACTCCGAGACGATATCGTTGGGCATCGGGGTAGGCGAACATGCGGGCTTGCAGCACTATTAAACAGGAGATGTTAGTGTTTGGTCGGACTCAAATCTTTGGGCAAGCTCAGGTATGTGCTTACTAGGATCCGGGGTCATCGCAATTCCAGGGACCATGTTTGACGGCGAGAATGCTGCTTGCTCGATCTCTGCAAAGTAGTTCTCCGGCTGCACTTCTTATCAGCATATTTTCCTCTACTCTGTTCTATAAAGTGCAACCGTACATTCTTGTTGAGGGTCATTTTGCCAACCTCAATCAAGGGAAACTCCTTATGAGGCCAGACTTTGGTGATATCGAAAAGAGCACGGCCGTACGTCTCGGCCTGCTCAGGTTCCATCACCTGCACATATAACTTCCAGACCGGGAACTGCTTGCGGGCGATGGCATCCCACAAATCCTGGTTATGCCAGTCAGGGTTTACCCCGGCCATACGGCCCGCGTCTTGCTCCGAGAAATGAGTAATAGGCGCCATCGGTCGGAAGTGGAACTTGCAGTAGCGGAATCGACCGTCGGCTGCCACTAGTTTGAAGGTGTGCACGCCGAATCCTGTTACTCGACGGATAGAATCAGGTAGACCGCGAGAACCGAATAAGTGCATCAAGGCGTGCACACTCTCTGGCTGGTTGACATGGAAGTCCCAGAACTAAAGGATTAGCATCATTGGTAAGATGGATATTTCAATAGTAGAACTTACCATAGTTGGATCCATCCGGTTGGTGGCAGGGTGTTTCTTGTGACTTCGGTTCAGGGACGGGAATCTGATCGGGTCACGGACGAAGAAAACCGGCTTTGAGGGGATTAGAACTAAACTTGCAAGCTGGTCCCAAGGACTGAAGACTTACAACGTGATTTCCAACAATGTCATGGTTGCCCTCCTCGGTGAAGAACTTGACAGAGAAGCCTCTCACATCACGAACGGTGTCTGCACTGCCCTTCTCGCCACCAGTGGTGCTAAGACGGAAGAGCACCGGAGTCTTTTTGCCAATACCGTTGAGAAACTTGGCCGAGGTGAGGGAGGATACGTCGTTGGTGACTTCGAATTCACCCCAGGCACCGGAAGCCTTCGCATGAACAACTCTACTCGACATTAGCTCACTCTGACTTCCATAAGACGAGTCCATAGGGTATATATGTGCTGACCTTTCAGGGATACGCTCACGGTTAAAATGCGTAAGGGTCTCAATGAGCAGTGTATCACCCAATGTTGTATGAGCTCCGCCGCCAAAGGTAGGCAGCGTTTGGCTGACAGCTGGGTCTGAGACTGGCTGACCCTCAGCCCGCGTAAATACAGGTTTCGACATTATGAGTTATTAATTGAGTGTCACAAATATGTACGATATTGATGTTCTGTCCCCAGGGGAGTGTGCAGCCTTATATTAATTCGTATCCAGAGACTCGGCGAAGACATATTGAGCGACCGAAATAATTCCGACATAGTTCTTCGTGAGGGGGAGAAAACATAGCAAAGACCTCGCAGAGTGGAACGCGAACATGGTATGCCGTGAGGGGTAGAACTACTGGAATCGTGATAGCATCCACGATGGAGAGTGTTGATGAACGCGATTTGGAACAGCATCGATGTCAGTGGCTGGACCTTTGGACTGCAACACTCGGCCCGAGAGCTTGTTTGAATCTTGAATCTGTCAAAAATAGCGTGGGCCGAGCGATCGCCGAGTCTTCGCCGGGCTGGACACCACACCGACACGCAAAGGGATCAATAATGGATGATGACACAGGCAGAGAAGCTCACAAAATGCAGTTGGAGAAGAATTCCCCTCATGAGGGGGTAAGCTCAGCCGTCAGAACCGTCATGGATCCTCTATCAAACCCACACTGTAGATGTTTTTGTTTAGCCAGACTAACCTCATCCAGTAGCACTACCAAGCCTGGGGTGCGCATTTGTCGTCTGCATCCATCCATCAACGTTGTCATCACTCGGAATCCGGCAAAGATGAAGACTCAGTCAGATATGGAGGCATCGCAATATAAAATCGACGTTGTATCTCGTCCACTTCTGCTGGGAATCAACACATCAGGTCTTCGAATCTTCAAGTCTTCAAGACATTGAAGCAATCTTATAATTTCATCTTCTATCTTCCATCAAATACAACCTCGATCCAGCCATGGCAACTGTTTCTAACGGCGCTGAGTACGACTTTGTCGTCGTCGGCGGTGGTACTGCTGGTAATGCCATTGCGGGTCGCCTCGCTGAGAACCCCAACGTCCGCATTCTCGTTGTCGAAGCTGGTATCCCCAACCCCGACCAGATCGAACAAATATCCACGCCATCAAAGGCGTTTACTCTCCGTGGAAGCCAGTATGACTGGGCCTACAAGACAACTATGATCAAGCGTGATGACTACGAACGTATCGAAAAGCCCAACACCCGTGGAAAGGCTCTTGGTGGAAGTACATGTGCCAACTACTTCACCTGGATCCCTGGATCAAAACCTACCTTTGACGACTGGGAAGCCTTTGGCGGCAAGGACTGGACCTGGGATGGCTGCGTGGACTACCTGCGCAAGTGTGCTACCTATCACGATGATGAGAAGCTCTACTCGGCTGATCTCAAGAAGATCGGTACCGGCGGCCCCGTGCAGATATCCCATGCCGACTTGGTCCCTGAGATGGCTGGATTCCGTGATGCTCTTACTCAGGCTTGGGTCTCTAAGGGCCAGCCTCTGACTGAGGACATCTTTGAGGGCGAGATGCGAGGCCTCACCCACTGTGTTGACACCATCCACAAGGGTGAACGCCAGGGCTCTTTCCTTTATCTGCGAAACAAGCCCAATGTGACTATCCTCTATGGAGTTCAGTCCAAGAACCTTATCATTGACCCAGAAACCCGCGTTTGCTCTGGGGTTACTGTCATCAGCCAGGCCTACAACACCGAGATCAGTGTCTACGCCAGCCGCGAGGTCATTCTCTCTCAGGGTGTGTTCGAAACCCCCAAGCTTCTCATGTTGAGCGGTGTCGGCCCCGCAGCTGAACTGGCTAAGCATGGAATTAACGCTGTTATCGACTCTCCCCATGTTGGTCAGCATCTTCTTGACCACCCAATTGTGCCCTTCGTGCTCCAGGTCAAGGATGGATATGGTTTAGATGACCATGTCCTCCGCCCTGGCCCTCTTAACGACCAGGCTATCGACACATACAAGCGCGACAAAACCGGCCCTATCAGCTCTGGATTCCTCGAGCTAGTTGGATTCCCCCGTATCGATGAACGCTTGGAGAAATACCCTGCCTACCGCGAGGCCAAGGCTGCTAATGGTGGACTCGACCCCTTTGGTCCCGCAGGCCAGCCTCACTTCGAACTTGACTTCGTCGGCCTGTTCAGTACTGCCTTCCAGTGGCACTACCCCCTTCCCGAGAAGGGTAACTATATGACCACCATTGTCGATCTGCTCCGACCCCTGTCCGAGGGTGAGGTCACCCTGAACAGCTCGAACGCCCTTGTCCAGCCTAACATCAACCTCAACTTCTTCGGCAATGATCTTGATATCCTGGCCATGCGCGAAGGTGTTCGCTGGACTTACGATGTTCTGACCAACGGTGCTGGATTCAAGGATATCGTTGTAGCCGAATACCCATGGAAGATGCCTCTACACTCCGATGAGGAGATGAACAAGGCTGTTCTCGACCGAAGCCAGACTGGTTTCCGTAAGTTTACTCGTTTGGATAACATTGCTTAGAGTGGTGCTAATATTATTCAATCTACAGACCCTTGTGGTACCGCACGTCTCTCCAAGAACATCCAGCAAGGTGTTGTTGACAACAAGCTCCGAGTTCACGGAATCCGCAACCTCAGAATTGCCGACGCCTCAGTAATTCCTGTCATCCCTGACTGCCGTATCCAGAACTCCGTCTACATGATTGGTGAGAAGGGTGCCGATATCATCAAGTCTGAGCACAAGGACCTCTACGAGCAACAAAACATCCCGTACTTCCTCCCCAGCAGACTGTGATTTAGACTCTCGGCATGGAGACGAAGAAGATGATGATCATTGATCATCCCCGGACAAACATCCACCAGTTTTCCCGCTAGAATGGCACTATTGGGGCTGGTAGTTGCCTCAAACGTTTATTACTCATGCATTTACGATTTTGTACTTTATAATTCGATTGTTTTATTTCCTAGGAGCTTTTAGAAAATGCACCTCGTCTAATTTCTTCGTCCGTCTCACCCTGTCCTTCCCAGAGACTGGTTCTCTCAATTTCCAGCCATATGTCTAGTCTAGACTCAAGAGACCAAATAGACCCTAAACGCCAACTAAAGTCTCGAAAAGTCGATGCACAAAGTAAAGGAACTGGTACGGCAGGCTTTGCGTTGGTACCGTCCCACCGGATTCCCCACTGACATTCGACTTCGAAAAGTTCCAGATCAGCAGGGGCGAAACGGCTGTGTTCTCCGCAAGACCGCAACAACTTAGTCTCTCTTTCTGACTCCGTCTTCCTTACAAGGCTCGTCCAGACTTGGTTCGTTCCTGGTAACGCATAAGGTTTCCTCTTCCTCTGCAACCCCTCCATCGTCAACTGTAACACACATACATAGCCCAATCATGTCTGCGGTCTGCGGTCTGCGACAGGAAATCGCCCCCTCGCCATCCTTAGACTGTTAGTTGGTGCCGATGTCAGTGCCACCCACCTTAACGCAGTGTAACATATGCTCGATGGTCGCGTATGCTGTTCGACTAATGATATATCTTGGTTTAATCTTCAGTGCAAGCCACCATCGTCATACAGGTACAAGGTGGGCTCCGATTAGACTCCGAATGCAGGGGCTGGATGCGGGTTCGCAGGCCGATTGGCAGCCCGGCGGGGGCGCGTGCAAAAAGACGAAACAATCAGTTCCTCCTGGGGCGAACGGTTTTAGAAACTTGAAACGAAATTAAATGTGGTACCGGGTGTGGGGGGTGCGTGTGCGTGGCTTTTGGTCTGTAATCTGTGGCACTTGCAGTTCATACTTCGCTTGTTGCTGGGTTCTTCTTACCTAATTTTTGCTGGAAACGGTCCTTGACCCATGAGGCAAAAAATTGGACCATCGTGAAGGATCAAAAAGGAAAAAGACACTGCTCACACTCGGATTCGAACCGAGGATCTCATGATTACTAGTCATGCGCTTTACCAACTAAGCCATGCGAGCGGATTGGTTAATTAACACGTAAATTGACTACATCAGCGGAGGCCACGATCCCGACACTGGATATCAAAAAGGGACCATCAAAAATTCTAATTTCTCGATAGAACCTAACAAAATAGGTATCAAAAGGGGCAAAAATGCTCACACTCGGATTCGAACCGAGGATCTCGTGATTACTAGTCACGCGCTTTACCAACTAAGCCATGCGAGCAAGATTAAAGGCCAATTTGGGCGGTGGTGCCTGGTCTTGCTGTGTGATACAGAGATGCGATTTTATAGACTTGCGGTCCAATCACCTGCCATTGGCGCGCTACCAAGGGCCAAATACTACCAAAAATATAATAGCACAAGGGTGAGTGTTCAGCAAACTATGGAACAGCGTGTCTAGGTGTATAAATAGTAAACCACGAGCAAACGTGGCATTCCCGAGTCACCACGCAGGGCTACCCACTACGGCGCCCAGACCACAAGGCCAGGCAGGGATACCGTATATTAGGATGACTTTGACTAGGGATGATAGATGTCGGTGTTTCTGAGCTCTTCATGTTTGTTCCTGGAACACCTGCAAAAACCAATATAATTCCTTCAAACTGGGTGCTCCCCAGAGAGGGGAGCAGTCGCAATACCTTGGCTCGAAGCCTGACTAAGTTCGCCATGGTGAAAAAAAAAAAAAAGCTAAGTACGGTTACCACTATCCCACCGTATATATTCTTGTACATCAGAAGTTAAAATATGAAAAGGCAAGGAGACGTCCATACCGCGTCCGCAGTATACCAAGGGAGTATGTAGAGATCTGCGTTATAACGGGCCTGCATATGACCAGCGAATAACAATTGCATTGAGCGGTCTTTTTGATCATCCAGCTCATGACGTCAAATCCTGCGGAAATTGATCCAATCAGCTCGCATGGCTTAGTTGGTAAAGCGCATGACTAGTAATCATGAGATCCTCGGTTCGAATCCGAGTGTGAGCAAATTCTTTTTATGTTTTTGCAATTGCTCACCTGCAACCACAATTGGTATCGCCAATTCTTCCCTTCTGAAAATAAAATATATATACCGACGACGTAGACTAATCCGATAATACAAATCTTCTATTTCTACTACTCATTACTTTACAGTGGTGTTCTCGATCATTTACGGGTGGACGTGGATATATATTTTCCATACATGCAAATAAAAACAATATCATTCAATAACTAATACACTTAAGCTGATATTTACAGCTAACTGGCATTTACAATTTGATCGCATGGCAACATCCGCTTGCTAAGCCTACTGGTACCATCACGAAAGGTTTTATTCCTCAGGGCCGGTCCTGTACCTATAGTCGGGATGGGCCAGAGTATCCGCGGTAAACGAGTAGCTCGTTCGGCGGTGATCCACGCCCGCATTGGTGCTGTCAATGCTGGTCTGGGCCTCGGTAGCTCTCTTTAAAGATGTCAGTACCATAAATCCAACATATCATGGATGCCGGTACAGGGAAGTGAGACGGTAGTAGGAAGCAAGTGAAACAGCCCAGCCCAATGGTCAACCTAGGACGGACCAGGGCAAGGCAGATGAGTGGATGATCCTATCGGGTAGATAGATGCTAAAGATCATCAATCAAGAGAAATGACCAACCTGGTTATCCGTAGTGTTCATGCCACTGCCGGTCTGGGCTTGAGCATCGGCTTGGGTCTGGGCTAGGTTCTGGCCTCTCTGGCTTTGGCCCTGGCCCATGTCCATGCCCATGTCTTCAGATGTAGCCTGGGCCTTGTCTCGGGTGTAATCGACATTTTCATTGAAATGTTCGGTGAAGCTTTCCGACTCGTTGAGGTTGACGTTTGGGTTCATTCTGGATGTCATATTGGCGATGGTAGTTTGGACTCGATAAGCTCCTTTGCGTTGATTGTGGCGTTAATATGGTCAGAGCATGTAAAGTTTGTCTGAAGATAGGACGGTGTGAGAAGTGAAGTCTAGTTCTCCCCTTATATAAATCCGTATGACGGAGATGAGGTCATGAGTATGCGGAGAGGGACATATTGGTGGAGAGATTTGAAAAGCCATGGTTGGGCGAACCTACGCACTGTCCTCGACGAATCCGAAATTCTAGAGGAGTATACAATGAGTTATTGGTCTCTGAGATGGTGTACATATCATTTCCCCGCATGCGGTGAAGCGGTCCTTGGGTGATGCTGAAGTCATAACTATGGGGATGTTGGCGCGATTGGATCGCGGGGGTTGGGTGACCGGGGAGTGGCGAGGATGACAAACGGCCAGTAACAGGAGTGGTCGGACAATAAAGTCGGCCACTCAGATACAGCAGTTCTTTTCTATAAATGGTGAAGCCGTGGGAATAACTGGAATGTAAATTGTATGTGCATAATTGTTGTATAAGAGGGTATAGTTATATGTCTCGACTCTAGGCAAAGCAATGCGGTGCATGGCTAAACAAAATATTCAAATATTCAAGATTGTTCCAACATAATTTCATAATTCTTGTCATGTTTCATTCATATTGTGTCCCATATTACCGCAACGCGCGACGGCTAATAGAGCGGGACCGGCGCGGTGTTCTCATAATCAATATTATCATCCACTGATTCGATCCGATCGTGACAGGTACCGAAGATACGGTCCCAGAGGCGTGTCTGCTTGCCATAGTTGTGGCTCTTCCTGTAGCCCTTGCGGTGGTGCAAATCATGGTCTTCAATGACAATATCCACGTTGAGCCAAGTTAGCAACCAGCCCATTGTCGAGGCCGATAAACCATGAACACGGAGACCACTGTGTCCCAATACTTCGGTGAAGGCGACATAAGCATGGCAGATCCACCACTCGTAGAAGCCCATGGGCAGTCCGAGTGCCTTGAGAGTTATGTAGGTGAAGAACGGGACTCCGACCATATCGAAGAACTCCTGTTCGTGGTCTGCGTAGGCCGAGAGCAAGGGGTTGGGGTGCTTGGTGAGGTGGTGCGTACGGTGGAACTTCCACAGGAAGCTGACGTCGTGCATCGCCCGGTGGTACCAGTAGAACCAAAAGTCAAGAACGATGCCATAGAGGCCAATCTCGAGAGGGAGCCATGCCCAGTTCGTGTCACCGGGCAACCGGTTTGGTTTGTACGTGAGGTAAATGGACATGATAAGACGCGAGCCGGTCGTTTTGTAAAGAGATGCTACAATCTTTTGGATGCCCACATCGGGAATACCGTCACGCTCGTGCTTGTCGCCGTCAAGGAAGCCGTATATATGACCCAGCCTGCGAAGAAGTTTTGCCTCGTAGATGACAAACAGGTTGAACGCAAGGAAATAGAAGTTGAATGCGGCAAAGGGGCCAAGGTTATAGCCGGTATAAGACGAAAACACTTGGTGAGCGATGAGAGGGAGAACCGAGTAGGTGAGAATATAGCGGTGTTGCGACCACTGCGGCACATATGGGATCTTTTCATCCTTCGAGTGTACTGGAACCTCCTTTTCACGTTGGATGGGATGCAAATCTAGGAAGTCGATGAGGTGGTGGTAGTATGACCATTCGCTCTTATCGGCATCGGGCCATGTGGACTTCATGGAGTCCTTTGGATTGACGTTTGTAGCCATGACGATAAAGATAATCTCGCTCGTCTGTCGATATCTGATGCGCCTGCATCATGAGACGGACACCCTCCAGAGATTCTTATACTATCATAGTGGGTGAAGTCTGAGGCTCGCAAGGAATCACCGATTAGGAAAGTGAGCTTGTCATAGTCGCTTTCATGTGATGGAATTTCCCCAGGCTGCGACAACCAAATCTGTTGGACTCTTTTGCAGATCCCTCGTCCCAACAAAACCAAATCTCAGGTCCCGATAGAAGGTTCCAAATTTCCATTACGCCGTCTAACTCCAGATTGGGCAGCTCAGAAGACCCATACTCTAAAGAGCACGATTAGTGGGGTGAAGTACCCCGTAATTGTACGTTGTACCATAAAGAATAGGCAGTTTGTTCAACCCCGCACAAAGCATGCCTCGGGTCTGCCGGTAACGCTCGTGTAGAATATCATACCTTGCAATGGGTCACTACAATGCTTAGATTAGTAGGCATAAACAGAGAGGAGAGTGGACCAGTTGGAGCATTTGACACCACATCTAATCATCAACATGGTCTTTCAAGACCCGTGGCGGGCAATAGAGCAGCCAAAAATGTTCCGTCATTGTGGGCCCCAGAAGTTGGGTCCATATGTCAATATTACCTTGAGACCCCGGTATTGCGACTATGCATGAGACGGTTGGCATGAGTATTGTCGAAGCGCTCATGGCAAAGATGGCAGCCAAGTGGTTATGGGTTCGTGAAAAGTGACCACAGAGGTAGACAGCAAAGGCTAGTTTAGAAAGTTTAGATGGCCCGAAAAGAAAGAAACCAAGTGATTGATACGCTATAGTTAGTTATATGTTGTTCGCTGACAATGGTCTTGTTCCTGTGCAACCAAGCACGGTCCCCCATCGCCATCACAGACCACTGCTTCTTCATTTCGGGTGTCGAGGTATGGCCATTGAACTAAACCTAGGAAATCGGGATAATCTTGACCCAAGAATATTTGCAAGGCTAGTTGAGTAGATGCATGTTTTTGATGGCGTATTTTTGAGGAAGTGGTGCTGACTGGTGAACCTTCAACCAGCGTGTTCGATACCACCAAATAAATCGATTCCTCAGGCCACGATCATTTAAGCTATTCCTCTTTGGGACCCCGCTGCTCGCATTTGAGTCAAAGGGTCGTCACGTCTTTTTAAACGAAGTCAGGGAGAACGGCGGAGATACCGTTCTTGATGGATGGTTTCATCAGTAATGGATACTATTACTCATAGTTGAATCTGTGTGGGAAGATTCTTAATATTAATAACTCCTTGTTTGATAGATAAATACTTCCCTCATTGCTAGCGCACATATACTCTTGGATCAAATTCATTTTTAGCTCGAGTGCTTGACGCCTGGCCATGGCACCGTCAATTATAGCTACCTGCAAACAGACCCGGTTTCATCTGCTTGATGATCAACCGTCGAGAGAGGTGGGTTTACCGTTCCTCCTTTACCCAGCCAGTATAACTCAGTCTTTTAGATTGATGTGGACGGCCTTACCATCGCAGTCAAATCTCCTATAGACACCACAGAAGACCCTTCAAAACAAAAGGGAAAAGGAAAATCCAAAGCCAAAGCAGACGCAAGAGAACTCATTGCCGACGCGCACTTGCGCCTTAAGGCGGGGGTACATTATGGATTGATAGGTCGAAATGGAACCGGGAAGTCGAGTGAGTGACCGTGGACGCAGATTTCAAGGATATTTCCTAGGGATTCGATTGACAGGTTATGGTCATAGCACTTCTGCGGGCCGTGGCAGACAAGTTGGTGCCGGGGATAACGCATTCCACTCGAATAGCCATCCTGCAGCAGACAGATGCCGACTCCCGGGAAGGCCAGGGGTCTTTCGATGTTGGAAACCAGCAACAGGATGAGGCGGAGAACAAATCGGTTCTGGAATACGTTATGGGCAGTGACCACCACCGAAACTATGTTACAGCAAGGATGAACTGTAAGGATACTGGCTACTCTTCAGAAGATCCTCTCTCACAGCGGTTTTATTAGTTCTGTCAAAGAGTTTTGAGACAGAGGACCCGTTACAGCCCGTAAAGGGAATTCGGAAACTCCGTCACGATGACATCGAGAAGCAGCTGTTCCTAGCCCAGAAAAACGCCAGTTTGAAGAGTGGCGCAAGAGGATTGCAGGCGCGCAAGGAGTTGAAATCCGTGGAGACGAAACTACAAACCTCTAAAGAGATGTGAGTTTGTTTCGCAATTGATAACTTTTCAAACAACTAATTTGTCAAAGTCTTGAGCAAGCGAAAGAGGATATCGATGTCGAGGCCATAAAACAGGAGACTCAGGCTGCTGCGGAAACGCTGCAAGATCTACAATCACAGTTCGAAGCAGTGAGTATTTCATGAACGACCTATAACTCGGACATTCTGACGTCTGTGTGTTAGATGAAAATTGTCGATATAGAGCAGCAAGCCCGTCAGATCCTTATCGGATTGGGCTTCAAAGAGGACACTTTGAGCAAACCGTTTTCAACATTGTCTGGCGGTTGGCGTATGCGCTGCATGCTAGCAAGCGTCTTGATCCAGAATCCCGATATCATGATCCTGGACGAACCAACCAATTTCCTTGACCTTCTAGGAGTGGTCTGGCTGGAAGAATACCTGAAGCAGCTGCGCGATTCGTCACAAACAACGATTGTCCTTGTTTCACACGACAGAGATTTCGTGAATGCTGTCTGCGAAGAAATTGTTATAATCCGAGATCAGAAGCTCACATACTTCAAGGGGAACCTTTCCGCATATGAACAGGACTTTGAGGAGCAGAAGTTGTACTGGGGCCGCATGAAAGAAGCCCAGGAACGCCAGATTGCCCACATGGAAGCAACAGTTCGTGAGGGTATCAAGGTCGGGAAGAAAACGAACGACGACAATAAGCTCCGAATGGCAAAATCGCGGCAGAAGAAACTCGACGATAGAATGGGTGTCCAGGTAAACGCTCGCGGAGGGCGGTTCAAGTTGAACCGAGATTTGCCTGGTTATCATCTGAGTGCCCGTGATGAAATCGAAGTTCCACAGGATGAAAAGGGCGTCTTAATAGCCTTACCTGACCCTTCTGAGCTGCGATTCCCGGGGCCATTGATTTCGCTAGAAGGGATCGTTTTCAAGTACAAAACAGGTGCAGCGCCGGTACTAAAGGGTATTGACCTCGTGATGCACTTAGGGGACCGCGTGGGAATTATGGGCCTTAACGGGTGTGGGAAATCAACACTAATTCGCCTTGTAGCTGGTATTACGATTCCAACTCAGGGGAAGGTTTCCTCGCACTCGCGGTTAAAGATGGGCTACTATGCTCAACACTCTATCGAGGAGCTTCAAAAGCTGGGCCAGGAAGACCCCAGTCTGACTGCGTTAGGTTTAATGACAAAAGAAGTGGAAGGGTCACTCAACGAGGGACAACTACGAGGATTGCTATCATCCCTGGGTCTTCAGGGCAGAATAGTCTCTGATGTTCCGATTCTCCGACTCTCAGGAGGCCAACTCGTAAGCAACGAGACTCCGATTCTCAAACGAAACTATTTCTGACAATTTAAATTAGGTTCGCCTGGCACTGGCAAGAGTTATCTGGAACGCACCACACCTCCTCGTCCTCGATGAAATCACGACCCACCTTGATTTCCATACGGTGACGGCTCTCGCATCAGCACTGTCCACTTTCAACGGGGCTATATTGCTGGTTTCACACGATCGATTCATGGTACGAGCAGTGATTGAAGGCAAGAAAGACATTGACCACAAGATGGACGAAGATTTTGAGGGCGTCGAAGAGGAGTCGGACGAATCGCAACCTCGGCGGCGTGCTGTATACGTTATGAAATCCGGCACTATGAAGGTCCAAGATAACGGCGTAGAGCAGTTTGAACAAAGTTTAGTGAAGAGGGTGCGAAAGATGCTTCCCGCACAAGGATAGTGCCAGGAGACAGTATGGGCAATTTGCAAACTTTCCGAATATAGACAATCGCAGCCAATGGCTATACTCCAGTAAGCCCCCCCTGAGCAAACCCGACCATATAGACAATAGTCCCTGCGTGAGAGATAAAGAAAGTAATCTCCACGGCCCTCCACAGAAGGGTCTGATAGCCAGTCGTGATACAGCGTAACTGAATTTAACCTCTGGGTACCTAAAGGTAGTTATCGGTAATCGCGAATAAAAGCACTCGTATCTACTAAACACAATTTCCCAAACCGCATTGATGGATTTGATTCCTACCGCTTTGCAGGCTGAGATCCTGTATGCTGGAATATTAAATGAGCACAACTCGTGCTGCGCCATGGCTCGAACTCTGGATTGTGGCAGTCTGTGGGATTGGTCAAACTACGTGGAATATTAACTTGGCCGTGCTCGACGCTTACCCAACCTGGGCCGACATTGCGCGTGGCCAGGCAGAAGGAAGCGTATATCACACTGCAATCTATGGCAGCGTCCATCGGTGGAGATTGACGTGTCTCACTAGCTCGTGCCCGAGCTCGAGGCAGTGCCGACGGACAGAAGTTGGGGAAGAAGAGGATTGAAGAGGTGAGCCAAGATCGTCTGCTCGCAAGGAGCAAGGCTGAGTCTGAGCCAGCCTATGATGGTGGCAGTTCGCAGAGAAAGCAGTTGGAACGGGCTGTGAGTGGACGGCTCGAGAAGTTGTTATGAAGACGGTTGGGAGAGGAACGATGTGGCGATGATTTCCGTTCTTAGCTCGATGTTGCGCTCTTTGGTCTCTCACTCACCTCCCACACTGATTCCGCCGCCCCTTGGCATGACTGACGCAGCAAGAGATCTGCGGTTTTCTTTGGCTCGTCAATTGCGAGCCGCAGGAAGCTGCTCTCAGATCACTGCCGATGAACTCGTTGGATTTGATGCTGACAGATCTTCATGATGATCTGCTCTCGTGCTTCCGTTTCAGGCTCTACAGAGCGACAGCCCAGGCTGGTCCGACATCATCGCCCTATTCTTAGTTCCAGACACTGATATTGTGATATAGAAACAAGCGTCGTGTATGGAGTAGCTAGCTATATAACCCCCTGGGTTGCCTAAGTCAAGATGACTATCATATCTCCAGAACTCAAGGGACTCCTTACCTTGAAGCAACAATATGATTTTGTTTCGCACTCTTCTTTCCACCTTCGCAATACTTGCGACTGCAGAATGCAGTATCAATTGGAAACCCTGCAACCCGCGTGAATTCGATTCAAGCGCTCTGCCCGTACCGTTTCAATGCGGAACACTAGACGTGCCTTTTGATTACACCTCTCGCAACGGCACTGAGAAGCTTAAGCTCAAGCTGTTGAAGGCCCCTGCGCCGTTGAAATCAAAGGGGACAATCTTGTTCAACATGGGCGGTCCAGGGGTCAATAATCGAGTGGACTTCTCCGGGCTTGCTCCTACCTTCATCCCGTATGCTTCTTCCTGCGTTTACAGAATGGGTTGTTTTGTATGCTGATTATCTAGATTGACTGGTGGCCAATACGACTTGGTTATCTTTGATACACGCGGAACTGCCGACACTATCCCATTTTCGTGCTACGATGATCCAGCTGAAGAGTTTCAGTCTTTTCTCAACATGGTGCCCTCCAATGAATCAGATACTTCTGTGGGAGAACTCTGGGCTCGTGCAGCGGCCGATGCGGAGGCCTGTTTGGAACACTCGGCCAAAAATGGGAGCGTTCTAACAACTGCCTTTGTGGCAAGGGATTTGATGTCTGTCGTTGATGCACTGGGAGAAGACGGCCTTCTCAGATACTGGGGTGAGTACTTCTGTCTATAAGCACAGGAAGCTACATGCTAACGCTGTGGGATACTGGCAGGTCTCTCATATGGCACAACTCTCGGTGCGACTGTGGCTGCAATGTTCCCTGATCGTCTCGATAAGGTTATCCTCGACGCTGTACAGAATGTTCACGAATACTATCATGCAAAGGCGTAAGTATTAGTATCCACCGAACTTGGGGCCGGAATAATACTGACGTTGAACTTTTATAGAAACTTTGAAGAATGGGAAGTGTCTGATGAAAGTTTCTTTGACATCTTTGCCGAATGTGTCAAAGCTGGACCCGAGCGCTGTCCATTGGCCGCACAAAATAAAACGGCCGAGGAGTACGAAGCTGCCGCCTATGAACTCTTGGAAATGGTCAAGTACCAGCCAATTCCTGTGGGCAAACTGGTATTAGATTATTCAACAGCCAAGAACATCTACGCCTCATCCCTCTACTCACCGCGTTCCTGGGCTCTCACGACAACCCTCGTTGATATCGTCATGTTTGGCGCGGACACCCCACTTGATGCTGTTATAGGAACATCGCCGGCGAATATTACTATCGAAAATGCCCCAGGCTTGATAGCTGGTGACATTAGCCTGACGGGAATTTACTGCTCAGACAACCAAAGGCGCACGGAGAGTCTTGACGACTTTACGCCCGTAATCGATCAGCTTTACGATACTAGCAGAATCATGGGAGATCTTGGCGTGTGCTCATACATGCGATGCCAGAGGTGGAAGATCAAGCCCAAGGAGACCTACACGGGTAGCTTTGAGCATATACAAACCAGAAAGCCTCTGCTAGTCATTGGAAACACCCTTGATGGACACACACCGCTCAAATCTGCGTACAACACCAGTTCGATCTTCGAAGGAAGTTCGGTCCTGGAATTGGACGGCAATGGCCATGGCTCTACCGCTGTTCCCTCTGAATGTGGGCTGAAGGCCATTTCTGCTTACTGGGTCAATGGCACGCTACCTGAGAATGGCACAAGATGCCCCAGGGATGTCGAACCGTTTACGAAAGATTGGTGGCCCGAGGTTTTCAAGGCTGCCGGTGTCAATAAAACATGGATCAAGGAGAGTGGATCAGCTTGATCTGATGGTTATCGGACCAGCTGCCACGGAGGGGTTTATATGATGGATAGATGTATAATACTCGATACTCTTTGACTTCTACAAATTATGACCAAATGTGATACCAATATGATATCAATTATTTGTCTTTTGATATTCAATCTTTGCTTCGTCCATCTATGTACGGAGTACTCCGTCCTCCGTAGGATCAAAACAATTGCAAAGGTTAAACCCCCCACTTTTGATAAAATGACATAATACCATTAGTAATTACAAAACTCGTGACGGTCTGTGGCCTCAAGAGTGGGCCTGAAACTCGATAAAGAATTGAAGTCATTGGATGATGGCTAATTCAATGCCTGAGGCCTAAATACTCCAACATCACTTATCGTTGCAACGAAAGTGACATAGCGCGAGCAAGGCGATGTCGTCCACGAACAGTGATTACCTGATGATATGAACTTGCTTTATGTGATCTCTTTCATCCCTTCATTTTGGATGTAAAATTTCTTCCCCTCAGGTGATGCTCAAGCCAGCATCGGAAACCTGATCGCAGTCGAGTAGAATCCCCGCAGAGAATGACCGAGTCCGTGCTATTCAGACGGGGGGTAGTTGGTGCAACTTCGTCCCTCTCTCGGGCTCCCCGCGTTCGCACTCAGAATCCGGCCTGGCGTCGACCAACTCCTCCGTACTCGCGACATGTCACAACAGATCTGAACTCGGGAGCTGCGGGTCAAGATGCGCCGAATTCTACTACCTCTCCGACGCAGTCGACCCGCTGGAATGCCTTGAAGACCGCAAAGCCTTTCTCGGATTTCTTGACGGACACCTTCAATCGCCAGCATGATTATCTCAGAATAAGCGTCACGGAGCGCTGCAACCTCCGTTGCTTATACTGTATGCCTGAGGAAGGGGTGCCGCTCTCCCCGCCCGCGCACCTTCTGACTTCACCGGAAATTGTGTACCTCTCATCGTTATTCGTCTCTCAAGGCGTGAAGAAGATCCGCCTGACCGGCGGCGAGCCAACCGTTAGGAAGGATATCGTTCCTCTCATGCAGTCGATCGGAGAACTCCGGCGGGACGGACTCCGGGAGCTATGCTTGACTACAAATGGGATCTCGCTACACCGGAAACTTGAACCCATGGTAGAGGCTGGGTTGACTGGTGTAAATCTCAGCCTGGATACCCTGGATCCGTTCCAGTTCCAGATTATGACGAGGAGGAAGGGCTTTGACGCCGTTATGAAGAGCATTGACCGGATTCTGGAGTTGAATAAAATGGGAGCTGGAATTAAGCTCAAGATCAATTGTGTCGTGATGCGAGGACTGAATGAACGGGAGATCCTCCCGTTTGTTGAATTGGGGCGTGATCGTCCCATTGAAGTGCGCTTTATCGAGTATATGCCTTTCGATGGCAATAAGTGGAGTGAAGGGAAGATGGTCTCGTACCAAGAGATGCTGGATATTATCCGGGAAAAATATCCAACAGTGGAGAAGGTGACAGACCACAAGAACGATACGAGCAAGACTTATCGGATCCCCGGATTCCAGGGAAAACTCGGGTTTATTACAAGTATGACCCATAATTTCTGCGGGACATGCAACCGCCTTCGCATTACGGGTGATGGAAACCTCAAAGTGTGCCTATTTGGAAATTCAGAGGTATCATTGCGAGACATTATCCGACAGCAGAACAATGGTGAGCCTATCGACGCCACTGTATTGGAGGATTTGGGACTCCTTGAGGCAGCACGAACCGCAGCACGCATCCATGATGAGGGCGGTCTTGTCGATCAAAGAGAGAGGGAAGTCCTCGACATTATTGGCATGGCAGTGAAACGAAAGAAGGCGAAGCATGCTGGCATGGGTGAATTGGAAAACATGAAGAACCGGCCAATGATCCTTATTGGTGGGTAGGCACTATCCCACCCCGACATAACCCTACGAAGAGAAGCCATGGTCTTTTAAGAAATATATGTACCTGCGGTTCGCTCATGTTTTCTTTGAGATGAGGGCGTTCACCTATACATCGGGTGTAGAACCGCTTTTTGCATTGCAGTTGAGAGTTGCTGATAGGCAGGCCTTAGATAACTTGAGGGAAGCTCAGAAAAACGCAAGGCATTCACTTTGTAGGTCACCACTTGTGGCTATGGGCAAGTGGACAAACATACCGACGCATGTACTCGGTGCTAGAGCGCCAACAGCCTCGCAAATCCGACTATTTCACCCAAAACCTACCAATGCCGGGAAATGGGGTCAATTCCCCCGAAAAGGCAACAGCTCAAAGCCTACTCCCCTTCCAACAGCTTCCGACCCCGACCTACCACACCTCAACCGCTCACAGAATGTGCACATGACGCTTATTGACGAGAAACCGGAGACAAAACGACTCGCGACGGCCACCTGCATGGTCCATTTCTCCAACCGACGGCCCTGGGACTTACTCCGGGAAGGTAAAGGCACCCATAAGGGAGACGTCTTCAGCATTGCGCGCATCGCCGGTATTACCGCCGCAAAGAAGACCCCCGATATTGTCCCTCTCTGTCACCCTGGGCTCGGTTTGACTGGAGTCGAGGTGGACGTTAAGTTACTGGACCCGCTTCTTTGTAACGATGAGAAGAAGGCGGAATCGACATCAAGGGAACACGGGGCAATGCATGTAACGGCGACCGTGAGCTGCTTGGGCCGAACGGGTGTGGAGATGGAAGCCATGACTGCGACAATGGGGGCTGCCCTGACGGTGTACGATATGCTGAAAGCAGTTGACAAGGGCATGGTCATTGGAGGAGTGAAGCTCTTGGAGAAGAAGGGGGGAAAGAGTGGACATTGGGTTCGGGAGGAAGCTGTCAAGGATTAGTTAATTGATATTTATGACTTCTAAATTATAACCTCTGGCCTGTTGTGAAGATGGCGGACACATGATCTTCGAATCACGCGCTCTGACGTTCTTTCCACCACTCCAGAATCCCCTTTCCATCATCACATTAACCCACCTGGTCACTTATACTACTTCCTTCTCATCCTGGAGTCGATTTTACAGCCCAGCATCGAGGTACTGTCAATCTCTGGATCGAATCTACTAGGTACCTCGATGGTTCCGTAGGGCTGAAACCAAGCTTTTGCCGTGCCACGACCCGCAACAACATTTTGGCCTCCCGATTGCTCGTTCCTTTTTTTTTTTTTTAGAGAAAGTCTGGTTGAAATAAAAATGACCCCACGCTCTTCTTCCCCCCGAGTTTCTCCTGACGACAACGCCGAACCCGCTCGAGACCGAGAATGTGGTGCTTTCAAGCGCGGCCCTCTGGTGGGTAGCGGTGTGGATTGTCCGTTGGGCCATCCATGGCGCGGCCCACGCCTAATCGATGATCCAGCTAACGCGCTGAATTTTCTCAATAGCACTGCCGTCCACTCGCTATCGCCCCATCTGGCTATTCCCTGCAGCCTGGCCGTTGTTCTCAGAATCATGTTTTTTGCCCGTCTCTTCTCCAACGTCTCTTTCAGCATTCCTCTTCCCGCTCCCGTCGCCCCTGATGACCCGTACGTAACCCCGGCTCACAATCCTGTGTAATCGCTGACTGAGTACCTGGACAGCCCGGCGTTGTCTCAGGCTTGCGTGCACGGGCATATCCGCTCAGCTGCCGCCGTTTAGCTTTCTCGCGCTTCATTATGCGTATTTTATCTTAGTTTCCTTGATCAGTAGCCTCATCTTTTGGGGGGCGTCGAATCCTCCACGGAGTGTTTCGTACACTGATTCTCTGTTCATGTGCGTCAGTGCTATTACAGGTGCTGGATTGAATAGCGTATGCATTCTCTCGCTTACCTACCGTCTTTAAATGAGCGCTAGCTTATAGTTCCCAGGTTGAGGCGTCCACATTAAGCACTTTCCAGCAGGTTATTATGTTTGTGCTTCTTTTGCTGGGACATTCCATCCTCATCTCAATAACTGTACTTCATGTTCGGAAGAGAGCTTTTCAGCATAAGTTCAAGGGGATATCCAATGCTCTCGCGCGACGGCCCGCTCAGGAAGCGCTCACGCCTAATCTGCAATCGGACGTTCCCCTTGAAGAGAGAACCGATACCAAGGGCTATCTGACAGCAAATACCATTCCTCCGGAGGGTTCAAGTCGATCTAGAATAGTGATCGAGGCGCAGATCGCGGACACTAACCATCACGGTATCTCCCACGATCGTTCAGCATCGACCTCACCCAAGAACGTCGTCGAAACACCATTGAACTTGAATTACCAAAATTATGGGGCCAGGGATAGCTGCAACTCGTTGAACAAAGCCCAATTTATGCCCTCCATAGGACTATGGCGAGGAACCCAGAAATATTTTGAGTCAAAGGGGCTCATTTCGCGAAACTCTCAGTTTCACGGTTTGACCCCGGAAGAAAGAGAGAGGCTCCAAGGGGTTGAGTACAAGGCTGTTTCGTTTTTGTCGGTCATTGTTCCACTGTACTGGCTGTTGTTCCTATGCTGTGGGATCATGGGCATGGGAATATGGCTAGAAGTCAATAAACCGCAAATTCCTCGAGACAACGGCTTGTCACCATTCTGGACGGGTGCGTTTTTTGCGGTTTCTGCGTTCGTGAATAGTGGTATGGGAATCTTGGATGCGAATATGACAGCCTTACAAACAGAGTATGCCCTCGTTACTGTGTGTTGGATTATCGGCCGTACTAATTGCTTATATAGTGCCTACCCCGTCATTACGATGGGTCTTTTGATCCTGGCAGGAAATACGCTTTATCCTTGTTTTTTGCGACTTATAATTTGGTGTATGAGACGAACGATGCCAGATCTACCAGCATGGAAATCATGGAGGATTACATTGGATTTTATTCTTGACCATCCCCGAAGGGTATGTTCAGCGCAACTTTGAAAATAATCTTCCTATCTGACAGAAGCTAGGTGTACACAAACCTTTTCCCAGCTCGCCATACATGGTACCTACTGGCAACCGTCATCGTTTTCAATGGTATTGATTGGGCCGGCTTCGAGGTTTTGGCCATCGGGAACAAAGAGATTGAAGGTTTACCAACTGGATACCGAATCCTCGATGGCCTCTTTCAGGCGCTAGGTAATTAAGCCAATTTGCCTTGTTCCAACCGCCATAACTAATATATCTGGTTTGTAGCTGTTCGCGCTGGAGGATTCTCTGTCGTCACAATTGCCGACCTACGCCAGGGATTACTTGTCTTATACGGTAAGCATAAGTCCCCCCATGTTGCAAGTTTGAATTGAGCTAATATTTTATCTAGTTCTCATGATGGTGGGGGGTTTTTTTTTTTCTATGACATAAGCGAGCTAACATGTTTGATTTAGTACGTTTCGCCTTTTCCAGTGCTGATTACGATGAGGTATGTTGTTCTTGCTCAAAATATCACCGCCCCATGGTAACTGACTTCGCAGGCATACAAACGTCTACGAAGAACGCTCTTTGGGAATATACGCCGAGGACGAAAAGTCATACGACTACGACAAACCTTCCGAAAACTCGATCATGGATATGATGCGCCGACATATTTTCACGAAAGAGGGCACACGTCGACACTTCCTTCGCGAACAATTGAAAGACCAACTTAGCCATGACCTCTGGTGGATCGCGCTGGCCGTGTTCTTCATCTCTATCATAGAATCGAGCAATTACAACAGAGATCCCGTGGGATACTCGACCTTCAACATCCTCTTTGAAGTGGTCTCCGGATACGGCTGCGTCGGCATTAGCACAGGCTACCCAGGCAGGGACCTTTCATTCTGTGGAGTCTGGCATTCCCTCAGCAAACTTATCCTGGCGGCTGTCGCGCTACGAGGTCGTCATCGCGGTCTCCCCGTTGCTATCGACAAAGCTATCATGTTGCCGAATGAGTCTCATGCGTGGGTCGAAGAAGAAGATGCTGCATTGAGGCGAGAACAATCCCGTGTTTGTGGATCTGCAGCTGTTTAATTGTTCGACTTCCCGCGAGAGTACTTCCTTGAAATCTGCGAACTTATTTACTTACGACCTTACCGACTATAGACTTAACGACATAGACTACACCTACTATTTTTAGAGTTTAATGGAAGCAACGAATAGACCTGTCGATATGATATATTCTCAGTCCTCAACTTTTAACTTGATATCTAAACAAGGGCAATGAAAACGTGACTAGATGATTACAACTAAGAGATATCATGATGAGTGCAAGTATATACTCTGCAGCATGAAAAAGCATATTCGACATAAGGATGACATTCAGTCATCATCCTCTTCTTCCTCATCCTCATCCTCGTCCTCTTCAGACACATCCACTTCCTCATCCTCATCCTCATCCTCTTCCCCATCTTCGCTTGCATCATTCTCACTTGCCACATCATCCATGGCAATATCATCATCTCCACCTTCCCTCTCCTCTTTCCTTCTCTGTTCCTCCTCTCTCCTCCCCTCCTCCAAAATAGCAGCCTTCTCCTCCCTCAACTTCCTCTGAACCTTAACAAACGCACCCATTGGCGTACTTTCCCAGTCCACATCCTTCAAAAACGCTTCAACCTCCGCCCGATTCCTCGGTGCAAAGTTCACATGCACGCGGCGCTCTTCAATCCATTTCGCGTTGGCTTCAATCTTCTGCACAAGCAGCAGGATCATCTGGTTCATCTTCTGATTGCGGTTTCCGTTACTCCGCGACGAAACCTGTTTAAGCCAACGCTTGAGCGCAACGACAATGGGGACGCTGAGTTCCGGGAACGCAACGTGTTTGCTCCATAGGACGAAGAACTCAGAGAGCAGCTCGGCGACTTGTTCGCCGACACCATCTTGGTAAACGCGCGTCCGGAGATATGATTTCGGCGCACGGATTGACGTTGTGAAGTCAAGAGGGCGGAGGGTCGCTTGTCTGGGGGGCTTGCGGAGCTCGGAGAGGTTGAGGGGTTCGAGGAGGGAGGAGGCGAGAGGGATGTATGTGCCCGAGGCGCGGGAGAGGCGGAGAAGCGACCGAGTGATCTGGAAGCGGAGCGGGAGGTATTGGGCCGTTGGGATCAGGCGCATGGCGCCGATGCTGATCTGGACGACAGGGTAAATGAGGGGTCGGAGGGCCGATTGCTTGCCGAGTTTGGCCTCGACAAGGCCGTCGCAGTGCTGAGAGAGGACACGGGACCAGAAGTCAAGACTGTGGACGTATTGCCAGTTGTAGATCGTCTTGTAGCTTTCCTTGGAGGTGTTTGTGATGCTGCTCCGGAGGTGCATTGCGAGTTGGCGGATGAAGCTGAAGCCTGTTGTGTAGGAGACGTTTTGATCGATACCCCAGAGTTCCGCGGCGGAGTTCTTCATGAGGTTGACGCCGGGGAGTGTGTGCACGGTGGTGTTTCGGCTGCCCTTGACAACACCCTCATAAGAGGCTTTAAGGACAGTTTCCTTGAGGCCTGCATCGCCAATGACCATCAAGCGACGGAGGAGGAGGAAGCCGACAATTCGGGTGGCTTCGGTGGTGGATGCATCAGCCCAGATGCCGACGATTGTTTTGATGAGGACCTTTAGAAGTTTTCTGAACTGGAGAAGATAGGGAAGCATGGGTTCAATAGAAGAGAGGGTCAGCTTCAGAGTCCGTTCATCTGACAGGTTCGCAAGCATCCTTTGAACCGAAGAGGTATGCGATTTGATGAGGGGTGTCATGGTTTTGAACTTCTTCGAGTCTAGGGATACTCGGACTTTCCCAGATGCACTCTCCTTGACGGGGAGATGATGATTGAGAACCTTGGGAACATTGCCGAGGGCTGTAACGAGGACCTGATGATAGACGTTGGAGTCTGAAATCGAATATTTTTGCTCCTGAGCATCTGGGTCGTCAAGATACGCTGCGGCACGGAAAGCGAGCACTGTTTGTCGCATTGCACGGATAGAGTGCTGCTCGTCCATCAGATTCTGCCATTTCTTCACAGTTGCGATAGTGAGGTCTGAAGCCGGCTCTTCCTCCTTAGCTGCCTTCTTCTTTTTCTTCTTGGCCGGCTCATCCTGGTCCTCCTCTCCTTCGCTCAGTGCATCGACTTCAGAAAGGTCGCCGAACTCGAGCAACTCAGCATCATTTTCTTGCAAGTACTTGTAGAATTCCGGATCCTTCTGTTTCAGAGCCTCCAGATCCCCCTTATGGGTTTCGGCATCATCAGAATCACTAGCTTGTGAAGCGTCATCCTCCTCTCCACCGCTTGACGCTGCAGATTCCTCATCATCTTCTTGGGCTTCTGATCGCTTGCGCTTTCCGATTTTCGCGGGAACATCCTTCTTCTTCGCCTTCTTCTTGTCGGCCATAGGGTCTGCGATATCGAATCCTCCAGCGAAGAAGTCATCAACATTCATTTCCGCAAAGGCATCCTGCTTCTTTGCCTCATCATCTCTCTCCTCCGAATCCCCTTCTATTTCGGCTCGCGATTTCACATTGTCCGACTTGCGCTTTTCCTTCAAATGGTTTCGCTGCTTGATTTTTGCTGTCGCCTTTCGTCGTTCGAGAACATCCTTAAGATGCTTCTTTTCGAACTTCTTGGTGGATTTCTTCTGGCTACCAGCCATTGTGACAAAGTTCTCCTACCGGCCGGTAGGATTGAATTGTTAGTGAAAGATTGGGTGTTACAAGTAACAAAAATCCCAAGTATCTGGGACCTGGGCTAGGAAACTAAAATCGTCCAAAAAAAAAATCTCGGGCGGCAGAAAATAGTCATGGGCGGCCGCTCGACCAAACGTGGTCACCGCCTTCCACCCCCTCTCCATCGGCTAAGGTAGCTCCGCAGTTTAACGATAGTGACCTTGCCTCAAGCGCAGACACGAGATGTACGCCCAGCGGCCTCTGGCGTATGCTCCAACGCCTTACAGCTATACACCAAATACAGCCAGATCGGCCTCTATTAATCTAGATGAGGTACACCGATGCTAGGTCTGTTCGAGCGGGGTCAGGCAACTAACCGTACTGCCAGGAAGTGAAACTCGCCTCGAGCTCAGCGGAACGTGATCTCTACGAATCGCTTGCTGAGATCTACAGCATAATAGTGACGCTGGATGGGCTAGAGAAGGCCTATATAAAGGATGTGGTCACAGAGGCGGAGTACACAGAAACATGCTCTCGACTTCTGAAGCAGTACAAGTCCAGTTTAGGTGACGACACTGTTGCGAGGGAATTCGTCGACTTGGACACATTCAGACAGACATGGGGGGTATGTTTTCACCATTGGCTGAATTTCAGATTTCTTATACTAATGACTTATCTTTCCAATAGCTTGAATGTCCGCGTGCCACCGAGCGGCTTCGTATCGGACTCCCCGCGACGGTCGAGCAGGCATCGCACACTGGCCCGTCGGCCAATAAATCTTCGGGGGCAGCAGGCCCTCCTGCTGGAGCATCTGGTAGTTTGATTTTGACTGCTACGGAGAACTTCATCACCTTCCTCGATGCGCTCAAGTTAAACATGGTCTCGAAGGACGCCCTTCATCCGCTACTCTCCGAAGTTATCCAATCAGTTAATAAGGTGACGGATGCGGACTTTGAGAACCGAGGAAAGATCATTCAATGGCTGATCACATTGAATCAGATGCGTGCGACGGAAGAACTGGGTGAAGAACAAGCCCGAGAGCTGGCGTTTGACATCGAACAAGCATACCAGGGGTTTAAGTCCACGCTGGAGTAACGAATATTACCGTGTAATGCATATAGATGGCGTTTGGAGTCCGATACCATAGTGATCTTCTTGATCGTATATTGATACAGTTTTGGTTGTCTTATCTCTTTGGCCGGAGCGGAGCCGATCCGCGGAACACGCAAAACCAACCTTTCCTTTTTAGGCGATTACGCCTATTTTTTCTGCAGTTTTCTTGCGTGCCTGAGTTTGCGATGGCCATTCGCCACAGGCACGGCCTGTATAAGAAGATTGATAGACCCCGCTCCCCATGTTGCCGTAAATTTACCCCGTTTGAACCTGTCGGCCTCACTCGGTGCCTCCCAACATGATCACCGCAGAGCCCGATGAGCCTCTCCATGGTTTGACCGCCATTCCGACCTCCCCCAGGCAGATTTTTGTGGGCCAAACGAACTGATAAGCGTCTCGCAGTGTTGGACCTTCCCCAGATCTATACGAAGCCATCCGGCACCGAACTTCTCCAAACCCTAGCTCTCTTGACCATAAAGCCCCGGAGCTTCGGGACCAATGCTCATGAACCGGTCAAAAGCCGAACAGTCGAATCCACCGGACTGACTCATTATCTGACATCCATCGTAGCAAGCCCCCTGTCCTGGCTGGATACGGATGAATTGCGGGAAGCCATTTGGGATGCCGCGGCTGCTCGCCTCAGTGAGAGGTCGGGTCGAACCGGTGTGTATACCTCCAGAAAACTGCCATTAAAGTCAAGCGACTATCCGAAGACTGACTTGTTCCCTACCAGCAATGCCGGCAATGTCTCGTGTCTTTGCGGTTCCCACACCTTATGGTCAAGAGTACACGTTGACCCTCCACGAACCCTCATTGACGTCCGACAACCTGGGCATGAAGACCTGGGTTTCATCGTATCTCCTCTCCCAGAGACTTAACTCCCTCCTCGAATCCACCCCGCAACTCGTCCCATCGACAGCAGACACTCCCACACCAAGCCTAGACTCTGACCGCACGCTTCGAGCTCTGGAACTAGGCGCAGGCACTGGCCTTGTCGGTCTTTCTTTCGCTGCGCTGCGCGGTAAATCGGCAAATATCCATCTTACAGACCTGCCAGAAATCGTGCCGAACCTATCCCATAATGCCGCTTTAAACGTAGAGCTTCTCAATAAGACAGCTGCGACGGTCACAACAGGGGTCCTAGATTGGTCTGCCTCACCTGAGACACCTCCAACTGCGGAACAACAGTACGACCTGATCCTGGCTGCGGATCCTCTTTATTCTCCCGAACATCCGCGACTGTTGGTTGATACTATCGCCGTTTGGCTGAGTCGCGGTCTCGATGCCCGTGTTGTGCTTGAGATGCCTCTGCGAGATGCATATCTACCGCAGGTGCAGGATCTTCGGCAGCGGATGGACAAACTAGGGTTGGCGGTAGTTGAAGAGGGTGAGGAGACGGGGTATGACGACTGGGAGACTGCAGACGGAGGCGCAGTCGTGGTGCGATGCTGGTGGTCTGTTTGGGGTTGGAGCGAAAGGCTCTAACCGTTTTGGAGCGTCATATTCCAAAATATGATGCTGGGTTCTTCAAGCCATCATATACGACGTCACGAAGTAAAGATAAACGAGAGACGATAGATCTTAGATCAAGAGAAGATCGATAGAACTAGACTAGAACTAGACAATGTCTTAGATTGATAATCTCGAGTCGAGTTATTCATAGCGCACTTCGTAGATGTCAGTTCATTTTTGGAACATAATAACATTGAATTTGAGAAAGAATGAGTGATCGTATAATGCTCCCTACAGTGTCAACAAAGATACGACTTTGTTTCCCCAACCTCCGCTCACGTGCAGCCCCCTCTAGATACCACTACCAGTATGACGTAAAGTGAACATGGGTCAGGCACTATCTCGAACTTGAGCGCCACGAGGAGAAATCATTTTTCGCAGGTCCTCGCATTTCAGGAAATAAATCATTCAACTTCAACATCGTGTTGTATTTTTTTCTATTACGCACTGCACTCCAATTTATACCAGCAACGACATACCTTCGTACCCCCATAATCTCACTGTTTATACGAACACGCCACAGCCACAAAGGCAGGTACATAATCACCGACCAGAAAAATGGTCATCGGACTATTAACAATAACGGCAATTCCAACTGTCACCGCAATTTCCCTCGGATGCAGCGAACAACGCAAACAGAATCAACGACAAGATGACGATAAGCGCATGGCGAAGTTCTATACAGATGTGGAGTGTACAGAAGACGTCGAGGAGGCTAGTGAAATTGACGGGAAAAGGGTTGTATTAAGAAATAATAAAGTGAGTGCATCACTAAACCCATGTCAATCTTTAGACCTACGCTGATACATTGATTTAATCCAGGTCTACATTGACGATCCCGACCCCACGAATCGCAAAGTCGAAGCCCACGCTGGGCAAGCATTTTATATTGACTACCCAGAGCCAGATCATATGAAAGACCTCAAGCGCGGCCTGGGCCTAGTATCGTCGATACAGGATAATCCACCGATGTTAAATTGGATATATGCGGATAAAGATACCTTGGAATTGAAGTATGGGAATAGGACGCAGAGCTGTGAACATGTTCCCGGGCCGTGGGATTGGAGAGATGAGGAGACGACAGTAGTGTTGGAAAAAAGAAGAGGGTTTTTCGCCGTGAAGGAGGAGGATGGAAGTTGGGCACTTTATTTTGATAGGCATGAGGATGAGTTACTAGGCGTTTTGGGTGATCAGGCTATTGTGGTTCCTGTGCGGTTAAACCGATCTTTGGTTGAGCCGGCTCAGCCTGATAATGATAAGAAGGAAGGGTCGTAGCGTAATATAAAAATATATTGACCTGCTGGATGGGGAATCTTGATGTATATTGTACAGAAACTTTTCGGCTCGACTAATCATCTAGGCCGTTCCAACCGTCACCATCATCACTTGCGCTGTCTGCCTCGTTCTCTTGGATTTGAGATCTCTTCCGGCTGGCCTCAATGGCGCCCTTTCTCTTGTTTTCCTGCCGCCGCTCAAAACCGCTCTTTGTGCTGATTCTTGTCCGGCGCTGTTCCTTGTCATCTGTCTTAAGACTAGTTTGCCGGGCCTTGACACCGTGCTTCTTCAATTCCTTCTTGTTTTTCTTGCTGAGGTCCGGTAAGGCATCTAATAGCCATTTCTGTACCGACCTTTCGCCAGACTCCCCCCGTAACTTTTCACTGACATCGATGATGTTTGCGATGCTCTTCACGTAAGGAATGTCTTCTTTCGTGTAGTAAGTTACCGCAACACCACCCTCACGTCCAGCTCGTCCAGTTCGTCCGACTCTGTGAACGTAGACTGCCGGCGTGTTGGGAATATCGTAGTTCACAACCCCGTTGATGCCACGAAAATCAACACCACGGGCGAGCAAATCCGTTGTAACTAGGATCCAGATTTCGCCCTTGCGAAATCCTTTCATGATTTCTGATCTCTGCGTATCTGATAAGTCGGAATGGAGTACAGCAATTCGCGCAGAGCCACCGGCTTCGGGAGGGATGTCGTAAAGCAGTTCGGAATGAAGAGCTATGGCTCGAGGAATTGTTTGTGTGAATACGAGAAACGGGGGTCGAAGACGGACATCTGAGGCTGTCGCTGCTGTTGGATGGAGTAACTGTCTGAGACCAAGGAGCTTTCCTTGCTCTGTTGCGGCGTAGATTAGTTTGTGTTTAATGTTCGGAATGGCGGAATCCTTTAGGCCAACGACAAGTCGGATTAAGGGGTATGACTTGGTTTTGGTTAGGGACAGCTTCCGCTCTTTGATAGTTGTTTTCGCCATATCCTCAATGCTTGAGCCCATGGTGGCAGACCAGAGGCTGGCACGGAGTTCTGGGTGGGTACAGGAACGCCAGATGTCGAGTGTCTGATCGCGGAACAACGGATCTAGGAGGACATCTGCTTCATCCATGACTAGATTCCTCACTAACGGTAAGGTTCCAAGAGGTCTCGTTTTGTTATCGGAGAGTGCATTGACCAGAAGTAGGGGGGTCGACACAAGAATATCGCTTTTGGTAATGGGAATAGCCCCCTTGTTCTTGTTATCGGCAGTCTTTTCGTCGCTTTCTGATTCTGACGGTTCAGAATCGCTTTCATTCAGAACGTCACTCTCATCCTCGCCATCACGCTCCACCACTCGCATGCCCTTCTTCATCAACGTAATCTTCACACCTGTTCCAAGTGCTAGCTTCCTTCCCTCGTTAACAATCTGGCTGGCGAGTTCTTTCGTCGGAGCGACAACAACGGCAAAAATACCGCGCTCTTCTGATTGTTCATGGTGATGTCGAACAATTTTGTTGATAACCGGGATCATAAACGACAATGTCTTCCCACTCCCAGTCGGCGCAACTACCAGAAGATCTGGCTCAGTAGTGTTCGTAGAATCCGATATCTCAGACACTGATCCATCGCCAAGGAGCAAAGGCAGACTTCCGAGCTGGACCTCAGTAGGAACAGTAAACCCCTGCTCGGCAACATTTTCCGCAAGACGCCTTGAAATTTTGTATTTCGTGCGGAGCTCTTTGAAGGAAAGCAGAGGCTGCGGATATAATCGACGCGCTTTCTTTTGTTCCTTTTTACTAAGAGACTGAGCTTGTTGCTTCTCCTCCTGCTTGCGCTTCTTCTTCTTCTTCTTCTTTGGCTCCTCACTCTGAACACTGGCAGGGCTGATTTCCTCAAAGTCACGCATATCATCGACCTTGATCTTATGCGCATTTAGAATCGTCCGGCGCTGCACTTCATCCATAGAATTGTCTTCTTCCGAATCAGACAGCTCGTCCTGGACTGCAGCGGCGTCATTCCCGTTCCGAGTCGCGGCATCCGAGGCCCTCGTAGTAGAGCCTTTATTTTGGCTAAAAAAGTCCAAATTCAAGGCATCCTCATCGATAGTGCCTGTATCATTTTCATCCACCCCGTGAGCCCTCTTCCTCTTCTTCCCACCTTTACCATCCTCGAGCTTCTCCGCCGCAGACGAGCGGAAAAGTTGCGGGTTCTCTGCCTTCCCTTTAGATGGAAGCGTTGAAGCCTGGGAGGTTGCGGGCTTTAACTTGGTTGACCTTGTCAACAGTTTGAAAGCGTCCATATTCACGAATAGAGAGTATTCATCTATTCAGGTCTCAATATTTACTGGATATATGAGACCTGTGTGTAAAATGGGCAATCCGCTTTGCTCTCAGCTGACTTGGGAAGTTGATGCTTGAACAATTAAAAAAAATCGGGATGCCGCAGAATTCTTCCCCGCACGGACCAATCAGAGTGCGGGAAGGCCAACTCGCCGCAATCCACTGCATTGACCTTTAAGAGGTCCGGTATACGGAGGGTTCCGTCCTTTTTGGTTGGAACTTTTGGAGATTTTAATGATTAAGTGTCCCGATTAATGTACCTGGGTTATTATGGGGCGTTGGTTAATTTCCAGGCACAACAGGTTATTTTTGTGTACTTCGTTCTTCAACTCCTCCCATTCAGTTGTTCGAAAGGCATCACCCTAGGTACTATATTTACTGTAGGATTTCCGGTACATGGAATACAGGCAAAAGATCTTTATTTAGTATTGTCAAAATTTAACCCAGACAACAGTTTAATTCCATCGTCTATCATACATAGTACAGTTAACAAAGGAAAGATATAGCGGAAATAAGGACAGGTCAGATATATTTGCGAGCGCTTGGTCTAGTGGTGTCCGTGGGCAGGCTCTCCCCTGTAGCCAACAACGTTGAAACGACCGATGATTTCACCGACTGTGAAAAATCCGATAACCTCCGCAGCGGTAACGCCGGCAAGGGCGATCTCCTTCTTGTTGGCGTTGCGGACACGGGCCAAAATACTTTGAGGGGAAACGATGTTGGCGTTCTGGAGGGAAGCAGGGTTGCGGAGAGAGTTGAGCAGAGGCTGGAAGTAGGATTGGAAAGTGGCCGAGCTCCTGATATCGAATTAGTCGACGTTGAAAGTTATGATGGAGACGACCTTGAAGAGGCCACTTACGGGGGAGTCATGTTCTGTCCACGGAACACGAGCTTGCCGAGTTCGAGACCAACTCTCGAGTAGTAGATAGTAGGGGGTATCAAGGCTATTTCATAAGAATGATGGGTTAGCAATGCCTTTCTAAGCAGATGGATGGATACCCCAAACACCCGCCCCTTCAATGACCAGAGGGGGCCTGGACAACGACCGTAAAGCCATCATAACCAGCCCAAAACAACAAGAATTCGAAGCTGGCGGTATGATAAGAGATATCCCAAAGTATCACTCACATTCAACGAAGGAGACAACTTTTCCGGTTCTTCCACCAACATTCTTCAGGGTGTTGCCGAGGCCTTTAGCAGCGTTCGAGATGGCAGGGCCGGCAGATGAGGTAACACGAGAGAGACCCTCTTGAGCCTTAGAGGCAGTGGAGGAGGCACTCTCAGTTGCCTTGGAAGCAGCCTGAGATGTGGACGAGGAGTGTCTGACCGCGGTTCTCCGGGTCAGGAACTGCGATTGCCGCAGCACGGCACGGGACGCCGTGGCAGGCATCTTGATAACCACCGGAAGAGGAATAAGGTAGAAAAGAGGGTGTAGACCTGGAGAGAGTCGCAGGTGAAGGTCGGAGTGGTCCAATGGCGGGTTGGTCAAGAGCCGTCGCGCAATTGCAAGACCAGAATCTGAGATTTGAAGCTCGGGAAGTTCAGGGAAATTCATCGCCCACATCCGCGTCACGTGACCTCCGTCCTTGGAACGGTTGGTCAGCCTCTTGTTTTTCTCTTTTTAAACCTCGAAATTCAAGATTACATTTTGATATTTTATTGATAAACCGAAGCATCCATGATGCAGATGTATCACACTGACAGAAGCTTAATCCAGTATGACAGACAGTGGGATATTACTGACAATATTAATTGCCACCTGCACCATCCCTTGATCAGGCCATGCTTATGCTGCCACATATTTCAATATGTATCTTGATTCTTGGTTTAAATTATGCTACTTCATGCAACTCCAATTAAGCGAGGGTTATTCTTATTACCGGAGACTTGTGGCTGTCAGGCTGATCTTTATTTCCCCGCAAAATGGCTGCTATCAGTGTACTTGCTGCCTCTGTTTAACCTCACAACGAAGCAATCGAATTATCCTCAATACCTTTTATTCTATATTCCCAGCAGATTTAATGTTAAGGCGTGATTTATTCGAGCTTATCTCTGTGTTTCGCGTTCACTGCGAGACTTGTATCTAGACAGGTGGGTCTTTTATGGAGGAATATACTAAGTAGTTACCTCCTGTATGATGGATTGATATGTTTGATGTGCTTGTCTTCTAGGACATGGGCTGAAGAATAACTTGGCGTCCACTGCCATCTACAGAGCTCAGCGACTACGCCATTATGCAGCGCAATCTTCGAGACTCCTTGCGCAATCGCTAACGCATGCAATTCATTTTGTGCATCGGGCAGGACAGCAGGGCATAAGCCTTGAACGTTCACCCTACGGTATAGAAACGGACCAATTTCCAGCTAAGATAAGCTTAATATTAGCAAGCTTTGGAAACACCGGTTCAGGGATGCAATAGGCTGGCTTCCAACGTCGATCTAGAGGAGCTTCTATACCGTAAGCTTGCGAGACATTAGAGTTGGCTGATCGATTCCGACGGCGTTGGCACTTTATAATGATATTTCATAGACCAAATACTCGCGGAATTTTATAAGTTATTTATATTTAGAACAGGCATGCCTAAAAACAAAACAATTTTCCAATGGAGATAGTTATTGGGGTTCTACGAACCGCCTAAAAATTTTAGCGAGCATGGGTTTGAGCCAGCCGCGGTCTTATAGACGCGAAGAATAGATAAGGAATTCTCCACCAAAGAAGTCGAAGGTGAGATGTCCTCAAAGTGCCGCCGGAAATTTGCCGATCTCGGCAAGGAAAGATTTCACAAGCTCTGGCAAGCCGTCTTGATGCCGCTTATCCAAAGCAATAGTAATGGAGTGGGGAGTTTGGGCCTTTTATGCCTGGAGTAAAACGGGAAACTTGACGATAAAGAGGCTAAAATAACCTACAGTTCGAATTTAACCGAGGACGCTTCTAGATCCTGAACCGTTCACCATCCTCCCACTACTGCCCACTGCAAGTATGGTACACCGTAGTGCCTCTAGAGGCTGCAGTCCCATGCAACCTTGGCGAATCTGTTATTCCACTCAGAATTCCTAATTCTCAACCGAAACTGCCTTATTGGAGCTTTCTTTAATCGATCCTCCCCGAGGTTGTTATCTGCCGACGTATGGATGAATTTCTCCGACGTCGAGGACAGGTCGACTCTTGAAACAGCGTACAAGGAAGGGACCCCGGGTTGAAACGCAATGGAAAAATTCCTTGGATTGAGAGAAGCCGTCTTTTTTATATGCAACAGTTGTGCTCTTCAGTGAAGATCCGACTGGGATAACGGCCAATATTGGAGTCCAGGAACCGACGAGGGGACCCCGCATCGACCGTCCGGATAAAAGGCCATAGTGGCGGGCCCCTCTGGATGCCGCAATAGCCTCCTCCACCCAATGCTATCGCAGCCGGATGGAAGGATGGGTCGGATCCTGTCTGGATAATGCTTGCCTCTGGAGCATCTTTGTCCGCATGATCTGCCCTTCACTGTTATTGGTGTCGCAAAGGGGGAAAAAAATTACACCCGTGTATAACATGGAGGGGCAACTATTAAAGCTGGTTGCGTCCCAGCTTTCACTGCTGCTCTTCCCTCTCGCTCTTTCACCCTCTTCTGCCTCTTCCTTTCTAGCTCCTTTGACCGTGAACACCACCAGTTGAAACATCATGGCTTCTGCAACCGTCCTTGACAAGCCTAACATTGGTGTTTTCACCAACCCAAAGCACGACCTGTGGGTGGCTGAGTCCACGCCCACTCTCAAAGAAGTGCAGAGTGGTGAGAGTCTCAACCCTGGACAGGTGACAGTCGAAGTGCGCAGTACCGGAATTTGCGGGTAAGTTGACGATTCCCGCCCCGCGTCGTGTCTCCCCGCATTGGCTTGACTGACGACTGGTTTCTCAATACAGTTCCGACGTGCACTTCTGGCATGCAGGATGCATTGGTCCCATGATCGTTACGGGAGACCATATTCTGGGTCACGAGTCAGCCGGAGACGTTATTGCAGTCGCGCCGGATGTCACTTCGCTTAAAGTTGGAGACCGAGTTGCGATTGAGCCTAACATTATCTGCAATGCCTGCGAACCCTGCCTTACTGGCCGCTACAACGGTTGTGAAAGGGTTGCATTCCTTTCTACCCCGCCTGTGGATGGCCTTCTACGGCGCTATGTCAACCATCCCGCTGTTTGGTGCCACAAGATTGGTGACATGGGCTACGAGGATGGTGCTATGTTGGAGCCTTTGAGTGTATCTCTGGCTGCAATCGAGCGCAGCGGTCTCCGTCTTGGTGACCCTTGTTTAATCACTGGTGCGGGACCCATCGGTCTCATCACTCTTCTCAGTGCCCGCGCTGCCGGTGCAACTCCCATCGTCATCACCGATATCGATGAAGGTCGCCTGAAGTTCGCGAAGGAACTTGTACCTGACGTCCGCACCTACAAGGTGCAGATCGGCCTTTCTGCAGAAGAGAGTGCAGATGGTATCATCAATGCATTCAACGATGGGCAGGGTGCGGGTCCCGACGCTTTGAGGCCTCGCCTTGCGCTGGAGTGCACTGGAGTTGAGAGCAGTGTTGCGTCAGCTATTTGGAGTGTCAAGTTCGGGGGTAAAGTCTTCGTGATCGGTGTAGGAAAGAACGAGATGAAGATCCCGTTTATGCGCTTGAGCACTCAAGAGATTGACCTACAGTACCAGTACCGGTACTCCAACACCTGGCCTCGCGCTATCCGTCTCGTTAAGAACGGCGTGATCGACCTGAAGAAGCTGGTTACCCACCGCTATGCACTGGAAGACGCACTCAAGGCTTTTGAGACGGCGTCAGACCCTAAGACAGGAGCGATCAAGGTCCAAATCATGAGCTCGGCTGCTGATGTTGAGGCTGCTTCCGCTGGTCAGAAGGCCCAAATCTCATCGGTCCTATGATGGAGCAACATAGGTCGGCGTTTCAAGGGCGGTTCGTCACCTTTAGTATCATTGTTTTTGTTGTTTTCGTTTTGCTTGAAGGCGTATGAATTCGGGTTTCTTTCCTGCATTGTGACGAAGTTTGTACTGTTTTATGACCATTTTGCTAGAGATGTGTGCAGGTTGAAACAATAGAGATTTGGTAGAAATTCATTCATATTCTTCCCCAATCATGTGTGGAATGGGGGGTCTAAAGAGTAACTGCTGACTGGGATCCATTCGTGTCCCTAAGATCCCGCCATAGAATAAGTAGAACTTACCTTAGACTGCTGACACTGCCCTGCAGGGAAGGGCATATCCGCATACCTACCAGGAACAGCATTCCACTTCAGCTGCACTTCAATTTCCTTGCTGCAACTTGTCTTGTCTGCTCCATCTTAGGCACATCTCTCTTTTCAGCAATAAAATAAAATAAAAATAAAAATCGTCTCTTGAATCGCTGCTAGGTATGGATGCTCTGCCACAATGCATACGACAGAAAAGTACGTTAAGGCGCCTATTGCTAATCTCCACCTAAAACACTCTTTGATTTCCCATCTCTCGTACGCATGGCATGAGACCTATTCATCAGCTTTGCTTTATTGGAAGGTGCATAATGGATGGAATGATATTTTAGTTACTAATTGATACCCGAATACAAAAATCATGACCATTCTTGTCGGCTCCAGGGTTCTCCAGTGTTCTCCAGCACCCAACCGTGGCTCGGAAGCTCGAGTTCCCCTCAGCGCGTCGAGGAACCCAGCCCTTTGAGCCTGGTTTTGGAAAATGTCGATGGTTCGCGTCCTTAAATTGGCTGCATGTTGCAGCAGTAGGGATGAGTATCTGCACGCCATCAAATTGACAGGAAAGCACACCACATGCCTATTCCTGGCATGATCGTCGAATAACCAACTGAAATCCAGTCTCCAAAATTCACTTTTGGTTGGGGAGATAATATTCGTCACAAAATAATGACGATGCCCATTGCAACGCTGCGAGAGTCTACAACCATGGTCCATGAAGTGTTATCCGGATGGGTCCGGACCCCGGATCCCTTACATTTCGTGTCCGATCAATACATCAGCCATGCGAGCCTCTCCCCATTCTTGTCTATCCTGGCATTGTCAGCCCGAGCTGCGATGCATATCGACTGTATTTTGACACACCCTGAACCATCAGGTTAAAAATATATAAACTGTGACAATCTCTGGTTGGTCGGTTCTTTCACCAAAGAGATTCGATTTACTTGCGACTTCCAACATGTTCAGGGCCCTGCTTGCCCTTCCTCTTGTCGGGGCTGCAGTAATCAGGGCCAGACAAAGCAGTCAAATATGTCCCGGATATAAAGCATCGAATATTCAGGAAGGTGACGATACTCTGTCAGCGGACTTGACACTCGCTGGGACACCGTGCAACATATATGGCACCGATTTGAGAGATTTGAAGCTGTTGGTTGAGTACCAAACCGGTCAGTATCTGTGATCTTTAGCGAGCTTTGTGTTTGTGCTTATATAACCCCAGACGAGCGTCTCCATGTCATGATTTATGATGCGGATGAGCAGGTCTACCAGGTCCCCGAGTCGGTTCTACCACGGCCAGAGAGCGGCAATAGCAACCGAGAAAGCTCCGACCTGAAGTTCGATTACGTAGAAGAGCCTTTTTCGTTCACAGTATCTAGAGAAGACGAAGTACTCTTTGATACTTCCGCGTCGAATCTCGTTTTCCAATCGCAGTATTTAAATCTGCGCACTTGGCTACCAGATGAACCTAATCTATATGGCCTTGGAGAACACACGGACTCTCTTCGATTGGAGACGACGAACTACACCCGCACTTTGTGGAATCGCGATGCTTACGGAATTGATCCGGGAACCAATTTGTACAGCAGTCACCCTGTGTACTACGACCATCGAGGTAGTAATGGTACCCATGGCGTTTTTCTAGCCAACTCTAACGGTATGGACATCAAAATCAACAAGACTCAGGATGACAAGCAATATCTTGAGTATAACATCCTCGGGGGTATTTTTGATCTTTACTTCTTTACCGGCTCTACTCCTAAGGAAGCCAGTATGGAGTACGCGGGGGTTGTTGGACGCCCTGCCATGCAGAGCTACTGGACATTTGGTGTACGTTTTTCTCATTCCTCGATTCGTAGTGCAAATACCACAAAAATCGGGTTAGGGAAACTAAACAGTTACTAATTGCTCCAGTTCCATCAATGCCGATACGGCTATAGTGATGTTTATGAGGTGGCTGAGGTGGTATATAATTACAGCAAGGCTAGAATTCCGCTAGAAACTATGTGGACCGACATCGACTATATGGAGTTGAGAAGAGTGTTTACTCTTGACAACGAAAGATTCCCCCTCAAGGACATGCAAGAGCTCGTCGATTATCTCCACGACCATGATCAACATTACATAGTTATGGTTGATCCCGCGGTGAGCGTTTCCGGTAAGCTTCCTAGACTATTTATGTTTAAAGAATACCACTGACGAGTACTAGACAATCCCGGATATCACCGAGGTGTTGAGCAGGATATCTTCCTGAAGACGCAGAATGGCAGTTTATACCAGGGTAATATATGGCCAGTTTAAAACATTAATTTATACTGGTATAGGATAAGCTAATCCACGTCTAGGTGCTGTGTGGCCTGGGGTAACCGTCTACCCCGATTGGTTCCATCCGGAGATTCAGGAATACTGGAATGGGGAGTTCAACAAATTCTTTGATTCTGATACCGGCTTCGACATTGATGGTCTGTGGATTGATATGAACGAAGCCTCAAACTTCTGCCCCTTCCCCTGCACTGACCCAAAGACATACTCGATTGAGAACGACCTCCCGCCCGATCCACCTGATATCAGGCACAGTAACCCTCGTCCGTTGCCTGGCTTTCCCGATAGCTTTCAGCCCAACTCCTCGAAGCGAGCTCTGGAGGGATCGCAAGGAAACAAAATCGGACTACCTGGACGTAACCTTCTCTACCCAACGTACGAGATTCAGAATGATGCCGGTCTCATAAGCAACAAAACCATCCAAATGGACATTATCCACGCGGGAGAAGGGTATTCTGAATACGACACTCACAATATCTACGGAACTAGTAAGTGGGACGCCAAAAGCTATATCACTCACCGTAAAGCCTGACCAAATACCCAGTGATGAGCTCCGCTTCCCGCATTGCAATGCAGCAACGTCGGCCTGACGTTAGGCCTTTTATTATCACTCGTAGTACGTATGCAGGTGCCGGGGCACATGTTGGGCACTGGTATGTAGATTTTTGGATGTTGCGTCGTGCTAAGCCTAATTCTTCACAGGTCCGCCGACAGTCTCAGCACATGGGAGCAGTACCGCATCTCGATTGCCCAGCTCACAGCCTTCGCGTCAATGTTCCAAATCCCTATGATGGGGGCGGACGTCTGCGGATTTGGTTCAGACACCACCGAGGAGCTGTGTGCTCGGTGGGCGTCGCTCGGAGCCTTCTATACTTTCTACCGCAACCACAACGAGTTTGGCTCGACTCCCCAGGAGTTCTATCGCTGGGAAACGGTGGCCGATGCTGCAACCAAAGCAATCACTATCCGATATAGATTACTTGACTATATCTACACTGCTTTCCAGCGACAGAGCGACACTGGCGAGCCCTTCCTACAGCCACTATTCTACTTGTATCCCGAGGACGAAAACACCTTTGACAATGACTTACAGTTCTTCTATGGCGATGCTCTGCTTATCAGTCCCGTCACCGAGGAAAACTCAACTTCCGTCGATGCGTACTTCCCCGATGACATTTTTTACGATCTGTATACCGGCACCCAAATCCAAGGACAAGGTGCACCGATCACGCTCACCGACATTGATATCACCGATATCCCCATCCACATCCGCGGCGGGAGCATCATCCCACTCCGGTCATCCAGTGCGATGACAACTACCGAGCTGCGCAAGAAACCCTTCCAACTCATAATCGCCCTCGGGTCGGACGGGACGGCCTCTGGTAGCCTCTACGTTGACGACGGAGACTCTCTTGAGCAGAGCAACACCACTAACATCGAGTTCGAGTATCGCAATGACTCCCTGTCCATAAATGGACAATTTTCGCGTAGCTTCCCCGTTAACATTGAGAGCGTCACTTTGCTCGGTCAGACACCAGCCAACTCTACTCGGAACCAGAAGCAAGTGGTAAACAAGAGGTTGATGCTTACGAAGCCCACAAGGGTGAAATTAGCTTAAGGGCCAAAGTATATCCCATCTGTTTTGACTTTCTGCCTCTGTGTATGCAAATCTTTTGGAAACTCAAAACAAAACAAACCGTACTATAACGTGTCCCCAGAATGGGCTCTTTAGCGACTTGAAACGCGCATTCATAACATGTCGTGCACTCAACGCGTCATCCACACGTTTCTCTCTAGAGTCTAAACATAACTAGAATGCAAGGGGTGGTGCCCATGAAGAGAACTGCAGCCAGGGACTAAGAAAAATAAACGCATCTTGCATCCCTTCGTAGCAAGGTCCCAATGGCCGCGTTGCCCCTTTGTAAATAAGAGGCCGTGGTTTACATTCCGATACCCAACCACCTCACCTCAAATCGACACTGACTGTACAGATACTCTCGGTCCTCGCACTCTTTGTTATACATACACTCGTCTACTGGATACGCAATCTCAACCTCTTTCAACGGCCACAAAAAGAAAGAAACTACGACAATGCATTTCTCTATATCAGCAACCAGCCTTCTTGTGGCTCTTTCCCTAACCGCCCCAACCATGGCGGGCCGACCCTGGTTTTGTGAACTATCTAAAGACGTATCCAACATCCAAACCCCATTTTGTTGTGATGGGTTTATACCGGCCAAGGATTCCAAGGTCTCCTTTGAGGGAGTTAACTGTACGTCCCTTCTGAGTAGTTTGCCATTGTGGTATATGTCTTGTGCGACGGAAGCAGATGCTCATGCGTGCTTGGCCTGGTTCATGATGCTAATGAGGTGTTTTGGTGTATAGGCGAGGATGTTTCGAAGCAGAATCCTTTCAGTTTTGAATGCCCGAAGGGTGGGGAGCCGAGGTGTTGTTATTCTATTGTAAGTACCCCGCCTTGTTATTCTCATGTTGTGCTTCGATTGTTGGGATTGAACTAACTGTTGTTTGCGTAGGGGCCCAAGCAAATCTGTACCTCGACTGTGAAGGAGGGCGAGACTGACTAGATTATCACTGTGGATCGCCGAGGTGAATGGGAGGCGGCGTTGCGATATCTTGGGTGTATATTGACGAAATCTCGAGTTTGAACGTTTTGGAGGCGCCTAAACGTCAAGGCTGGAATCCATCAGTTCCTCGGCATTCAATCGAAATACTCTCTCGGCAGAACTCTGCGAGCCGCATATACGTAAACATTGTTCTGTAAACGGTTCGACATTGATACCAGAGAATCTAGTGTGTGGCCAATCCGTAGCATAGAGTATCTGGTTAGGCGCCTCTCGTAGGAACTCCCGAATTATAATTTCCAGGTCTCGGAACTCTTCGTCCTGGCTAAGGCGATATGGTGCAGAGATCTTCACATATGTCCTCCCAGCCTTGAGCAAAGCAATTAACGATTGGAACCCCGGAAGAGAGTAAGGGTCGAAAGATCCTCCTTTGTCCCAGTCCACCTGGGATAGATCGGGTCCCCCGAAATGATCGATACAGACCTTGACCCCGAGCTGTGGGATAATCTCCTCCAATAGTGGGATCATGCTCATGGCCGTGTGGACTTGGATCATCCATCCCAGCGGGCGGATGAGTTCTGCGTGTTCAAAAAGAGTCTGTCTTAGCTCCCCACGAGTCGGCTCCTTCCCTGATGATTTAAAATTAATTCTAACACCGCGCACGCCTAATTTGTGCCATGCTCCCAACCTGGCGGGTTCTGTATGAGCCGGATCTATAACAACGATGCCTCGCCCGCGCGAAGGCCCAATGCGCCGGAGGGCGTCGAGAAGACATGAGTTGTCAAACCCGTAGATGGATGGTTGAACAAGGACAACGTTCTCAATCCCAAGGGATGATTCGAAGGTCATCGCGTCCTCGATCGTGTGAGGCATGGGCTTGTATGCTGCGTTCGCGACGAGTGGATATCGGGGTTCCGTGACATGCATGTGACTGTCCCACGATCTGGGAGGGACTCGGCTCTTCACTGGCTTGTGGTTTCCGAGCTTGGTCGACGGAATACTTAGAAACGCCTTGGAGTGCCTAAAAAGGTCTAATCTCGGTCTGATAGCAGCGGTCCTGAGGGTAGGCAACGCCGTGAGCAAGCAGGGCTGAGCGGTAATTGCTGACAGTGCCGACATTCTGTATGTTTGTGCTCAGTCCTCAATATGTCTCTTCAAGCGCTGTATCAAGGCTAGACACCGGATTCTCAGCCAGTTATTGATGCTCTGGGGAATCCATGGAAAACGAGCAGTGGAAGGAGATACAGAAGAGAAGGGATAAGGCTGAGCGTTCAAGGACTAAGGGGGGGGAACCCGGAGCTTAGCACAAGAGGGCCAATTATTGTTCGTCGCCATAGTGCAGGACTTTGCACAGTTCACACTGGAGGATCGCCCAGCGCTCGGCATCTTCCTTGATATAGACCCGGCTTGTCGGCTGTTTGTTGGCTAAAAATGGGCCCGGCCCGCCTATAACAACCGTGGGTGCTGTGGATCTGTTAGGAGACGCTCAATCGACCTTGAAGCTCAGTTGGCTTACCCCAAACTCGATGCCAGGATACAGGTGAGATCACGGAGTTCTGCCCGTCGCTGCGCACTCCGAACACCGCTCGCTGTTGGAGACAGCCTGGTTGCAGATGACAAATTGTTGCAGGGATTGCAGAGAGCGAAAGCGTGACTATCAGCGAAGTTCGGAAGTTGGCCGAGCTTGAGATCCTCCACCTTCCCATGCACGCCAGGAGACCTCATTGCCTCCGATCCCTCTGCCGAATTTCGAATGTCGAATCACGGAGTGGGCTTGACGGATTCACACCGAGCACCGTTCCTTGGACCGCCCCGCCCAGTTGCCGGCCATGAGGCGGTTGAAGGTGGACAGGTCGCGGTGGACCGCTCCTCCATTTTACGTCTTTGTTATTATCACCATTGCTTGCGGCAGTATCCCGAAAGGTGCAGTCTTTCTCCTTTCCTCTTCTTCTCGCTGATCTCCCACTAATACTTAACCCTCCTAGGCTACGATGAGGGTGGATACAGCGCATCGGTGCGCTTGGATTCCTTCATGACCGATTTCAACCTTCTCCCTTCGAACTGGACAAATGACCAAACTGGACTAGCGAACCGCACCGCGAATATAACATCATTCAACATCCTTGGAGCGGCGCTTGGGGCCTTGATATCCTTGGACTTAAACGATCGGTTGGGCAGGCTACAGTCATGGCGATTAAGTTGTGTCGTCTGGGCACTGGGCACGCTCATTCAGGTGTTCTCCTCTGGGATTTACGGACTGTTGCTGTTTGCTAGGATATTTGGCGGTCTCGGTGCCGGGGCATTGACCGTCGTGACGCCATTGTATTTATCTGAAATTGGTTGGTCAAGCCATGCTTGGAAGACTTGAACGCTGCTGACCGAGCCTTTAGCCCCTGCACGCACAAGAGGGTTGGTTGTTAGTATTTACATGGTTGTTTTGCTGGCAGTCTTGTCCCTGGGTAAGACAGTTTTCATCGCATTGGATTCCAAACAGGTCTAACCTATAATTAGGTTTCTTCATCAACTATGCTGCCCAAATCCATATGGCCGCCACTCCACGGCAATATCGCCTGGTGCAAGCTATCCCCTTAATTCCCGTTGGCATCGCGTTCAAAGCCTCGCTCATCCTTCCCGAGACCCCTCGTCATCTCATCTCCCGATGTCGCCTCGAGGAAGCCCGTAAAGTCCTTGCCCGTCTCCGCGGAAAGGATATATCTTCTCCTGAACTAGATGATGAATTCCGCCTCATAACCACGCAAACACGCCTCAGAGCGCACACCTTGTCTTCTACTACCAACTGGACTGCATTCAGGGAAACTCAATCGAATCCCAATTACCGCCAACGCTTCTGGCTCCTAATGGCAATGCAGACAATATCGCAATGGACGGGAGGCAATGGTATTACATACTATGTTTCAAGCATCTTCGAAACCGCAGGTGTCACGGGAGACGCCATCTCCCTCGTCTCCTCAGGTGCTTACGGAATCGTCAAACTGATTTTCACTATGGCCTTTACATGGGGGTTGATCGACTATCTAGGTCGCCGCCGCTGCACTCTGCTCGGGGTATCCCTTCAAATGGCCGCGCATATCTACCTAGCCTGTTACATAGGTGTCCTCCGTCCCACAGGTACAGAACCTATAAATAAGCCCGCCTCCGATGCAGCAATAGCATCCATCTTCGTCTACGCCGTCGGCTGGTCCGTCGGACTATGTACGATCCCCTACCTCTACGGGACGGAGATCTTCCCCACGCGCATTCGCAACATTTGCTATGCCGTGAGTATGTCTCTGCACTGGTTCTTTCAGTTTGCGGTTGTCCGGGTGACGCCGAACATGTTTGTGTCGTTGCATGACTGGGGTGCGTATCTCTTTTGGGCGCTCATTTGTTTCGTCGGATTGATTGTTCTCGGGGTCTGGATGCCTGAGACCAAAGGAGTTGATATTGAGCGGATGGGTGAGCTTTTTGAGGGGCCCTGGTATCTCAGGTGGCGTGCAAGCGTCAAACCTGAAGAGAAAGCCGAAGGCCAGGAATAGGATGCTTTACGAACATTTCTTTGGATTTGGTGTTTCACAGTTTTTTTTTTTTGATTTCATGCATTATATATACCCTTTTTTGATGATTAAAATATGTACAGTAATGAACTCGCTATATACCCCATTGCTTTACAACCAAGTTATACGATGTTTACATAACCGGATTGTGCAATCATTTTTTTCATCCTTCAAATGGCTGTCGTCAAGGCCGACTAACCCATCCGTACCCCTCAGCAGGCGTCACATTGGTCGTGATAGGTTCCGCATATGAAAACGCTTCGAAAACCTCTGGCGTTATCTCGTAGGAAGCGGGGTTGTCCAAGGACATCAACGCTTCCGGTAATCCACTGCCAACGTCGTGCATCACTGCTAATCGAGGGAGGCCCTGGGGGGGTGCTCCGAACTCGGGTGCTTGCATGGGTTGCTGGTAGGGGTAATATTGGCTTGTGGATGTATTGATATGGGCACCCCCGGGGGAGATTGAAGGTGAAGTACTGTGGTGCGTAGAAACGTGATGAGAGGTTGTTTGTAAATTTAGAGGAGGTTGTGTGGAGGGAGAGTCGGTATGCGATGTTGAGGGGTGTGGTGCATCTGGTAGTGAGATGGATAAAGCAATGTTGTGATCAACTTGGAGGCGTTGGATTTCCTGGTATACGAGGTTTAAAGCCGTGGTAATCACTGTGTAGCGTGGAAATAGTTAGTCAATCAAATGCTTGAACAGGCGGATTCTGAGTGCATACCAGGACTGGATACTCGAACTCGGTCCAAGGCCAGGATGCAGATTTTCAACTTATCCAAGGTCCCTGGAGCAGCATATTTCAACGCCTGGATCTCGAGGAGGAAAATGGATGCGGCCGTATATACGCTGTAGGCCATTGATAGAACGACACGGCCATCTCCGAAAGTCCGCTCGTACATTCCAAATATGGAAAGAATAGCAGTTGCAGATGTCATACAATGGACCAAGTGGCTTTTGTCGTAAGCTTCTCGGGTCCATTTTGAGCAAAGGATTGGCCGATGAATGAGGATATTGATAGTGTGGTAGACACAGCTGCGGCAAAAAGTCAGTAATGTCAACATGATTTAGTCTCTAGGGAGACATACTTCAAAGTCACAATGTGACTGGGAGGAGAGTACGGAGGTAGAGCTGTCGGTATAAGCTTCAGATGTTCGGGTAAATCATCCCACCATCCACCTAGGTTGCGGGACTGTTCACGAACACAAGTGTGAAACTCTGCCTCGGAAATCTGACGGTTGTGGTCGTAAATATGAATCAAGATCTGGTTGAGAATCTCCATTAATCCACACATCTCTATAAAACAGGAGGTCGAGTGAGCCGCGGTTGGGGGATATTGAGCGCCGTCCGCAAAAACAAGACCATGAGGGATCCAAGGCTCAAGCTCAGAGGTATCGTCCAGGATAGTCCTCGGAGGGCAGCCCTGTGAGCTTTGTAATGTCGGGGATCTGCCAAAGTATAGAGACACGATCTTATCCCAAAAGTAGCAACTCCAAAACAGGCGGTTCCGAATCTCGATATCCTCATCACTCAGCTGGGCTGAATCTGAATATTTGCGGCTGTCAATTGTGATTCCCAGATCATCTAACATGCGAAATGCCATTCCGCTATACAGCCATGCCTGAGTTCTATGGCCCTGTCCACATTCACGTGCACTAAGGAGCAGGAGCGTTTGGATTGTAGGTATACCCACATGGCCATCTTTGAGCGAGTCGTGGAGCCCTGTCACCGCACGATTCCAAAAAACGGCACCGCCATCGTATGGTTCTAAAATAGAGTGCATCCTAGGCTCAGTTTTACACCACCGCACAGAATGTGAAAGGATAGCGTTAAGTAGGGCATCAGAATAGTAAGGACCATTGAGTTTCATATCGCCTTGTGGTTTATAGGTTAGCAATAATACAAAAACAGAGTTTATAATAGTGGGAATTTCGTACGAGTAAATGTAGGTCTGTAAACAAAGTTGAAGAGCGGCTGGATCCAGCACCAGTGTGAGTCAAGTAGGAATTGAAAGGGTTCCTAGAAGCACATAATCGGTCAGCTGCCAATTGTCATTACCCCCAAACACAAAGGAGAATGTAAGAACATACAGGCATAGAAGCCATCTGCTCAATCGCTCTCTCGCGCCACGCATTATTGACAAGTCTTTCCTTCCGCTCCCCTACCTGCGCAGCAAGCTGGGAGCTTGAGGCTGCGGGGTTGAGTGCACCGCTCGGAAGCTGGAATAAACTTGTCGGTCCATGGAAGGAAACCCGGCCATCATGTTCAACTTTAAGCCCCTCGAAGTCTCTTGATAGATCCTGATCGTCGTCTGCATCATTCCCTTTTCGGTTAAAAATGCGAGAATTCAAGCTGGTCTCGCCCGTCGAGGTTGCAGAGGAAGGGCTCCCTTCGGTAACATCTCGGGGTTGTTCGTTGCGGTACTTTGCCAGAGTATCTTCGAGCTCTGCCACTCGGCTCTCTAGTTGTTTAGTGTAAGATAAGGTCGGTGCTCTAGAGCATGAATGGTTAGCCAGCGATAAGGAAGATCGGCGAGCATCCAAGGATAGGTTGCATGATTTATGCAAGGCTAGCCAACGAAAGCAAAGAGAAATGGACTGCCGACAAAGGATTCCGGCATTTAATTGAGACCTCGACTCACAAGCTATAGACGCACGGGGTTCCACGTGCTGCACACCGTGAACAGGTTGGGCTGGCTCCGTTGCATTTCACCTAAACGACGAATTGACTGTCAGCAAGAAGAGCTTCGGAATCTATCCGAGCTTGAGAAACAGGACGAAGGTGACAGGAAACCCACTTTGCGCTTGCGACAACCCTCACAGGAAAAGGCGCTCTTCCTCGACGGATGGGCCTTCACTGGCACGTCGGCCATAGCCGAGGACTTGGTTTCTTTGACCATGAGCAGACCGTTAAGATCGCCATGAAGACAAGAATCAAGAGAGAGGAGGGGAGAAGGTAGTCCGCCAGAACCCCTGCTCAGTTATAATCAGAGGCTCTGCTTTCCGAAAAGTCGCGACGCCACCAAAGTCACTCAAATTATGACAGTCCCAGTCTCCTCATGAGGGGCTGTGCGGCACAGCGAGTCGGCGACATCAACTGCAAGGCGGGGGGGGGACAGCTGGAGTGAGACTGCGCGCCTGAAGCTGGAGTCTGGGACTGGGAGAGTGGAGACTGGAGAGAAAGTGAGCTTCAGGTGTGATGGTGACGACTGTCTGGTTTGGGAAAGTTCAACGATCGGCAACGAATCACCGCGCCCATGATGGGCCTTCATCCTCGTTCTCGAAATTTTATCGTGGGCTAATTTGTTCATGGTTCCGCTGGCGGCACAGAAGCTTCACGCAATCCCTGGTTGCTTATTTTTGGTTGGTGTTGGACCCATTATTATTCTCTATCCGGACACGGCTCAACTATTGTACAGTACATAAATCCACCACCCTTAGGATATACAAGGTATATAAAGATACAAGACAAACTATACATAGTGCTTCTCCAATTGCGCCAATAAATCGTGAGCTTCGTCAATCGGCACCGGGATCGCGCGCGGATTCTGCAGCACTTCTTCACCAAGCCGACTAGCCAAAACGGCCCGCAGCGTCTGGGCGCTGCGGTCAGGCTTGCTTTGCAGCTGGCCCGTAATATCGACCGTAAGACGAGAGTTGGCTAAATCCTTGGGGCCAAGAATGAAAATGAGGTTGTATTTCATCTGCTTCGCCCGCTGGATCTTCTTGCCTAGTGTCTGGCTACCGGCGTCCACGTCGACCAGGAAGGTGGAGTCCACAGCTGACAGAGGTTGCGGTATCCCTTCACCTACAGCGCCCTGATCAAGAGCTTTGAAGCCTGAAATCTTCGCGGCCGCCTCATGTGCTTTCTTTACAACAGCCTCGTCCTGGTTCACGGTCAATACAATCCCCTGTCGCGGAGATAGCCAGAACGGCCAGCGGCCAGAATATTCCTCAATAAGAAGTGCGAGAAAACGCTCCAAAGAGCCAAAATTCGCGCGGTGAATCAATACGGGCGTTGCCCTTCCAGGTGTAGCGGGTTTGTAGTCTTCCTCTCCCTCCGCGACTTGGTATTCCAATTCAAACCGCTGTGGCAGGTTCATGTCCAGTTGAATAGTAGACAATTGGTGATACTTGCCAGCTTTGTCCTGAAGCTGAATATCAATCTTGGGGCCGTAGAATGCGCCGTCGCCTTCATTTATCGCCCAGTGTTTCCCAGTCTGGTCTAGAGCTTCACGCAGCTGACTCTCAGCACTATCCCACAGCTGAACGTCACCAATGAAATCTGTCTCGGGCCTTGTCGACAACACAAGTCGATATGGCCCCAGTCCAAACGTCGTCATCACCAAATCAACAAATCCAAGCGCTGATTTTATTTCCCCCTTGATCTGCTGCGGGCGACAGAAGATGTGGCCGTCATCTTGGTGGAATCGCCGGACGCGTGTGAGACCGCTCAACGAACCAGATACTTCATTTCTATGAAGCGGGCTGAAATCGGCGTAGCGGATAGGAAGTTCTCGGTAAGAGTGGTTTTGCGACTTGAACAACAAGCAATGCCCTGGACAATTCATTGGTTTCAGCCCGTAGGACTCGTTCTCCCCAGTTTCCCCGTCTGTATCTCCCATGGCTCCTCGCCCGCGCACCTCGTACATGTCATCTTTGTAATTTTGCCAATGCCCGGACACCTCCCAGAGCGATTTCTTATAGATTGTCGGTGTTAGGACTTCGCGAAATCCATATTGGAGATATTGTGTGCGGAGGAAGGAGATAAGCTTGTTGATGATATGGGCACCGTTCGGAAGGAATAGGGGTGATCCGGGACTGTATATAGATGTCGTAAAAAGGTCTTGAGCGGTCCCCAATGCGCGGTAGTCGGCCGACGACGCAGTTTGGTTTTCCGGGGGCTGTTGCTGTGCTTGTTGATCAGAGCATGAGCAAGGCCGTGGAGGTGTGGATGAAAGCCATTGAACTCTCCCTAGTGAATATCGGTGGCCAACGGGGTTTCTGAGTGGTACTGAGTGTCGTATTAAAGGAGATATCCGACGCATGTTGACTTGATGAAGAACGACGTGCTCTCCGATTGATCGCAAATTATTTGATTGATCGACGCCATTTTTGGAGAATCCCGTGATAGCCCGGTTGGGACTAGCGTTCCCGTGATGTTTTCTTCCCCGCCGCGACTTTTGGTCCAGATTAGATCGACAAAGTATGAGAGATCGCAGTTCCACCATTCTTCACGATTGACTGACTGCTTTCATTTAAAAACTCGTGCTTGCTCCTAGAATACGGACGCGTGCGTCTCTCATATTCATTGCGTTGTGGGACGATACGCGCTAAGTTCGTTCCTGATCAACACTGCCCGCGATTTGGCGGCCAAAGCTTAATATCACGAACACGAAAGCATCGCATCAACACGATGTCTACCTCAGCCCTCGGAGAATCATGGGTGGTGACTTCGGTTGATGCGGAGAGAAAAGATACGACGGCCAAGTGCTCGCCCAGGACCCCGAAACAAACTCGAACTCTCACTGAAGATGAAAGTAACCACGGGCTGGGCTCTACTACCTCGTCGGTGTCTGGACCAGAGTTAATTATGCCTTCAATATACGAGACTATTTCCGAAGCATCTTGGGTTGCGCCAGCGGTACGAGCAAAGCAGCCAAGCCCAAATATCAGGCGAAGACATCAATCCTCTGCCGAGCCCACGACAGAAAAGAAGGCTGTTTCCGAAGCCCCAAACAAGAACGCCCATTCGACTACGACATCCAAGGATCAAACACAGACCAATTTCACACTCTTTGAAACACCAATTCGATCAATTATCAACCTCATACTTCTCGCGGGAATCTCACATTTGCTCATTCTGCCTGAACTTCTGCAACAGTATCCATCTATGTGTTCCATAGATCCACTTTCGGCATTATACCCATCCCCCTGTCGCGGCCATTTTCACCAGTCTTTCAGCCCTGAGAAAAACAGCCAATCGGCGCCCATTGAAGCCGTTCTCTCATTCCAAATCCACCTGGAATCTCTCTTCAATGCGACCCTGCATGAAATCGCTCCACTCAACGGTTCGCTGAAACAAACAGAGTCTCAGCTCCGCGCAGTCGAGCGTGAGATGAAACATGCACACCCAGGCACAAAGCATGAACTGGACCTCGAATTCGAGAGTTGCTGGCGCGCCATCCGCATCGCCGGGTGGAAATTTGACACCCTCAAGGCCGACCTCCAATCGGCAGTTGACAGCCTAGTCGCAGCGGGTAATGTGAAACCGAACCCAACGTCAACCGCTTCTCGGTCTTCCATTGCCCAGGACGCACGTTTATCCACCCAGATGCTACGTCGCGAGCAGTATATTGAGCAACTAACGGCGCGGATGCGATCCAAGGCTGATTCACTTGCCGCCGATCTTGCCACCCTTGACGACCATCTCGAGTCAATCGAGAGCATCGTTGATCGGGAAAGTGAAACGGCTCCCACGTACTCGCCCAAAGACTCGGCTAGTCGACTCATAACTTTCGTAGAAGCCATTGTCCCTCCTAGCCTCTCACTTCCTTCTTTCCTTCGGGCGGCCCAACAAGGCACACCGGCTGATGATAGTGACAATACATCCTCCCCCTACCCAAAACTCACCCTATCGCAGACCTTCAGCAAAGCGGCAAGTCACCACCGGCCCGTCGCTAGTATAGCGAGGAAACTGTCTCAGAAGATACAGCAATCTCTCCAGAAGAAAGGAAACACCATTCATTAAACTCACTACAATTGGCATGTTATGACGAAAACTCGGAATGAGATATGATGATACCCACGGACACAGGGACTCTTGAGCGTTAGTGGCGTTTGGATCTGGCACAATTTTTACCCTATACTGCATCTACAAGCGCTTTACTTTTTCCTTTACGGGGTAGACAGTAACTTTGGTCTCAAGAATTTGGTATTCCTTTATTATCCAGGTAATAAGTACCTTGGTATCCTTTGTAGGTAGTAATAGCATCCAAGGATTGGTGAGTCGCATTAAGGAAAGACGGAGAAAAAAAGGTCAAAACACCAAGTCATAACACAGTGCCATTCAAGGCAGACATCAAACTAGCATCAGCCAGAACCGAGCCAGAAAACATTAGGGTAGGGTACTTGATCCCCCTAAAAATGTCAGGCCTTGATAGCGAGAAATTAAAAGGGGGAGGTCAGGGGCAGTAACAAGTTCCAACAAGGTAGCAATGGCTAACAAAGTGGAGAAAAAACGGCTACAACCTCACTGCTCGCTTGATAATGTCCAGTCAATCAAATATTTGCATTCAGTTTATGTGCACGGCCCTCAAAAAATAACACCCGAAGAGGAAAACAACAATAATAATAGTTTACAGCTGCAGCATCGCGGCCATCATGCTGAAGGCGGTTATCAATCCGCCGGCGGAGCTGGTCAGAGACGATGCGGCACCTGTGAATTCGGGTGCAGACGAGTCATCAGTAGAGCTCGCTCCCTCAGACCCTGAGGGGTTGGAAGAGCCGGAGCTGGAGTCGGAGCCAGAGCCGGAGCCAGAGCTGCTGGAGTCGGAATCAGAGTCGGAATCAGAGTCGGAGCCGCCAGTCGAGGTGGGCGAGGCAGACTCAGACTGAGATTCAGAGCTGCTGGTAGTGCCTGTTGAGGTTGAAGTTGGTTTGTCAGTCTCGCTGTCGGTTGTCGACGTCGAGGTCTCGCTAGAGGTGGAGGTCTCACTGCTGCTAGTCGAAGTGCTAGACTCGCTCGAGGTGGAGGAGGTCGACTTGGTTGAAGTATCATCGTCATCAGACGTGGAGCCGCTGAACTTGATGCTCTTCCACTCGCCTGAGTTGTCCGAGTAGGTGTACTCGCCAGCGGGGTGGGTGTTCTCGATGTGGACAGACTTCACATACATCGTGAAGGGAGCCCCGCTGTAGTCAGTCTGGCCACCAGCCCATTCAATGGTACCCTGCTCATTGCTGGGGTCACCACCGGCCCAGATGCCGAGTCTCAGGCGTGCAGGGGTCTGGGGGAAGCGGCTTCCGCCCTTGGCATCGGCGTAGTTCAGTGTACGGACAGTGTTGCCGTCAATGGCCCAAGAGATTGACTCGGGAGACCATTCAATCGTGTAGGTGTGGAAGGTCTCCTGGGGAGTGGCCACAGTTTCGAAGGTTGCACGGTCGTAACTGGAGGTGTCACCCTTTCCAAAGTAGTTGGTCTGGATCTGAGTAGTGTCGCCACCAAGAGCCTCCTGTATAACACAAACGCATTAGTTCAGGTTTCGCGTGTAGGCACATGCAGTCAGGAATCAAATGTTCTTGTCGTGGTGGAGACAAAGACAAAGAAAAAGCAATTACGATACTTACCCAGTCAATCTCATCAAGAACGTCCGACTCGAGGACAATGCTGCTCACGATACCAGTACCGGGAGCAGCTTTCAACTCCACTTCAGCTTTACCAAAGAGGAAGTAGAAATCAGTGTCAATGGTGGGCGCATCTCCCTTCTTCGCAACGGTGAACTCGGCACCATCATCACCGAATTCAACATTGCCACTGACAGTGAGCCAGCCGTCCAAGGCGGATTTACCCTTGGTGAAGTCAGAACTGAAAGTCTTGCTGTTCAAGCCTGGGTTAGGCTTGCAGGTCTCTGTTACATCGCGTTAGTATTGGATTGACCACAAAAAGTGATTCAACAAGCAGCCGTACTCTTCAGAGGGTTGCAGTCAGAGAATGTCTGAGCCAAAGTGAGGGGAAGCACTGATGCCAGTGCGAGGGCGTATTTGAGATACATGGCGAACTGTTGCTTGAGCAAGTTCTCGAGCGAGAGAAATGGACAAATGCACAACCGGGAGGACCCAGTCTATTTATGTAAGGATCTTAAAAGTAAGCTTTTGTCTGGCGTGATCGCAACGAAAGTGTGCCCCAGAAAAAAAAAAAGTGAGATTGCGATTCCGCCAATGGAAAAAGCAAAGAAAAGAGAGATAAAGCGAAGGACAGACAAGAGCGTTGCTATGGCAAGAGGAGGTGGAGGGTTGGGGTAAATCTACGTATCCGAAGGCCTTTGAGCCGCCGGAAGGATTAGGCAGCTATTAATACTTTCCCCTGAGCAACAGAGTCAAAGAGGCCCAGTGAATGATACGTCCAACCACCAACAAGGGCGCTCCTGTGGGAGGAAGTCCTGGGCCCGAGGGGGCCAATCTCGAGGGCCACAAACATCATTGGAAGCGAGGCAGCTGTACCCCTGGTTGCAACTTGGGGTGTGAATGAACTCATGCAGCGCAGTAACGACAAAGTGGCCCCAGGGATGTGGCTGAAAGCTGAGCGACCACTGGTCTCAAAGTCTGAGTCGAACTGACAATGTGATTGACTGAGCAGCAAGGTGATGGGGCAAGTGACCATCGATCTGCCGTACCCACACCAATGAAGTGACCCAGTCTAAGACATCATAGTGTCCATGCAGTTAGGCGACGGCCACGATGGTTCGTCTGCAAGTGGATTCAAGTGAGTGGAAACAAGTGTAAGTCGGGAGGATCACTGGTCCAACCCAGCCCGGGGAAGCGCTAAAAATCTTGGTTCTCATGCATTCGCTTATGCCGAGCAAAAAGAGATAGTTAGTTCCACGAGCCCGGAAAATAAGGGCAGGAGCTCGCGCTCGGGAGCTGGCGTGTCTCTCCTGTGGCAACATTATTCTCCTTATTGTCCTTACCGCATTCGACGACTCGACAACCAGCTCAACAATGGAGTCAGACCCAAGGTTGCATTCTGGCCGCTTAATTCTGTCCGCAGTCTGCACTCTGTCCAATCAGTACACTGCCTAGTTTCAGGTGAGGCCGCCTTCAAGAGAGCTACTGCAGCGGAGTCCCTTTTAGCGGTAGCGCTCTGTCCATGGCGTGGAGGAAAGGATTTGCTCGTGCACGGTAACAAAAGAGCTCGGCCCCATCACATGGCTCCACCACGACTCGCGTCTCTTTCTCGGACGGCCTGCCCGGGCGCCGGGAGGGAATGATGATTTACTGCTGATCTTGTCTGAGGTCTGTTACAGATGTCTTGGATCGCTGCGACTGAACCTTGAAGTTACTGTCAGTCTGTCAGTGTCAGGCTGTCAGCGTGGGCTGCCAGCCGCGCCCCTCAAAGAAAGCCAACAAAAATTCACCATCGCTTCCAGAGATTGATGTCTCACCATCACTAAAGTCAAAAATTGGGTGAACCCACAAGCGAACTGATAAGGCCGACGAAGACGGAGGAAGGGAGGAAGGAAGGAAGGAAGATGCACAGCACTAGCGCCGGCCGAACATAGTGCCGAGCCTCATCCTCGTAAGCTCTCCGACGCTGTCTCCGTGATCATGAGCAGGCCTTGGGTCATCTGAATTGTCTGTCTGTCTGCATTTGCGGCTTGTAGAATGGGGGAAGTGGCCCTATGAATAGTATCCACCAACCCTTGGTACAGAAGGTCCATGTGATGAGCCAACACATGGAAGAGGAAAACAAAGCCGACAGACAAGTGTGGGGTGAAACTGAAAACAGACGGCACGAAATCAAAACGGGCCCTCCGGGGTTCGAACCGCCGACGGCGAAGTACTTAGTACTATAGTTATACCTGATTGCTGCCTGACTTAATGGCGGTGACTAAGCCCGTCCCAAAATTGTCTTTGTTGGGGGAGTGACGAGGACAACAAGTGCGATTGGCTGGCGGGCAGGCGGTTCAACAAATCAACATCTGCCCCGACATCATGTTGCTGCGCCCGTGACCTGATTCAGGCATTGTGAAATGATTCCCCGCCTTCCACCTCCCCTCCTCCTCAACAACAACAACCCTCTCTTGTATTTCCTCGCTTTTCACACCTCAATATGCACTGATCACGCTGCTACGCTCCTTTAAAACCAGACCAACATGGCGCCGAAATCGAAATCCTCCTCCCGGTCCCATAGTACCTGCATCTCCCGCGCTCCTTCGCCCGCATCTGTCTCCCTCGCTGTTTCGTCTGCGCTTCCTATCGCAGACCCAGAACCCTCAGACCGCAAGGTCTACATTCCGATCTGTTTCTGCCTAATCTCTTTTGCCGTCATGATATTCAACTAAGTCTTCATGCGCGGGGCCTCGCCGAATACCGAGGTTCCTCACTGAGGCGGTGACTCGCGCAAAACGATGCAAAGCAGAAAGAAAGACCCCCTACCTACCGCTTTCTCTCTCCCTCTCGAACACGCGGCTGCGATGCAACCATCAGACGTCTCATCGAGATAGGGTGCGTGACATGCGACCAGAATCTCTCTATCTACCTACCCCGCAACGCATCTCAGCCCTCTATCATACCATCTATACAACTATATAAGACCATGATTGCTGGGCTATCCCCACGCCGCATTTCATAAAGCCACAACCTATCAGAGCACGCCCGCTCAATGCCGAATTCAACTAGCCATGCATAATGGTTACACGAACACATCTCACAAGCGTTCCGGGGGGTGCATTCTAAGAGCGAGACAGACAGACTGTCAGATGTGCTCACGAGTACATATATGCGCCTTTTTGGTTGCACAAAGACGGAAGACACATGCAGCAAAGACACATGCAGCAAGATGAGAAGCACTAGTATGTTCCACAGATTCTCGCTTCGTGCTGTCATATGTTGCACTAAATGGTGATCCGGTCACCATGTTATTCCGTACTTAACCATTTATCTGGGACAAGCAATACCCTGGTGGTATGTGACTTATCCCTTCATCCCGATTTTTCGGATGCAAGGAGGATACGTATGCAGTGTGACATCTTGGGAGGAATATGCCATGTACTGCTGCTTTATCGTCTACACTATTTCGATGTCTTACGACACAAGTACATTCCTTCACCTAGTCCTTTTTTCTTATATATGTCTACAAGCAGGAATCAAAGATACCCAATTATTTATTTTGAAATACCACAACACTTCACATAGCCTCTAACAAGACATTATTACTCCACCGTCTATATCAAAAGTAGGAAGTTATCCCATTTACCGCAGGGTAACCAACTCCTCTGCACTTGTAGGGTGGATAGCAACACAGCTATCAAAGTCCTTCTTCGTGGCACCCATCTTCACGGCAACACCGAAACCCTGCAGCATCTCTCCAACGCCCAGGCCGAGAATATGCAAACCCACCACCTTCTCTTCAGGTCCAGCGACCACAAGTTTAAACTCGGTGGGGTTCTTCTTTTTCTCCTCGGGGGGGAAGACATCGTAGTACATCGCAGCGAAGCGGGTGTGATAGACCTTGACATTGGCATCGCCGAAGCGCTCACGGGCTTCGGGCTCGGTGAGACCGACAGTGCCGACTTCGGGGTGGGAGAAGACAACAGTAGGGATGTTCTCGTACGAGAGATGGGCGTTTTGGAATTCAGCACCGCCGAAGAGGCGGCTGCCGAGCTGACGGCCGGCGGCAATTGCGACTGTTATTGCAGATTGTTAGAAAAAGTTTTCTACAGTTGTAAATTAGGGAATTTTGGGTGGGGAGGGNGGGGCATACCAGGCGTTAGCTCAGCCTGTCCAGTGACATCACCAAGGGCGTAGATACCATCAACGTTGCTGTTCTGGTACTGGTCGACAACGATATGTCCTCTCTGGTCACGCTTGACGCCGGGAACGTCAAGGTGCAAGTCCTCTACTTCAGGAACACGGCCAATGGCCCACAAAAGCTCGTTGACTTCCATCTCGGAGCCGTCGTTCATGATCAGCTTCAGAAGCTTGTCCTTGCCCTTGCCGTCGCGAAGGAGCTGGACCTCCTTAATACCTGGGTGCTTCTTGTGGACCTTGATTCCGGCGGCTTCATATCGCTCGGTCATAGTCTTCTGGATCATAGGGTCAAACTTGCGCAGGAAGGTCTCGCCGCGAATAAGCAAGTTGGTGTCAACACCAACGGTGCCCATGACACCCGCCAACTCGATGGCAATGTATCCGGCACCAACAACAGCAACCTTCGGGGGAAGCTCTTCGATCTCGAAGAATCCATCACTCGTGATGCCGTGCTCAGCACCCTTGATGTCCGGGATGCTAGGTCGGCCACCAGTCGCGATCAGAATATGGGGCGCAGTATACCGCGTGGTCGTACCATCCTTGGAGGCAACCTCGATGGTCTTTGACTCAACAAAACGGGCACGGCCGTGCACAAGGTCAATGCCTTCCTTGCCCCAGTTTCTTTCGTAAACCCCGTTCAAGCGCTCGACAGTCGCGTCACGGAGCTTCTTGAAATGATTGTAGTTGACGTCGATGTCATGGGGAATATCATAACCGTAATGGCGACCCGCCTCGACGGCTTCAGTGATGGAGGCAAAGTTCCAGGTCATCTTCTTGGGGACACAGCTAGAGCAGACCTCAGTTAGCAATTGCGATAGTTCACCAATTGGATACGGGTTACACCTTACCCAACGTTCACGCAGGTACCACCAGAGCGTCCACTTTCCACAATCAACGTCTTTGCCCCATACCAGCCAGCGGCCCTCCGTCCGCTACCACTACCACCGCTTCCACCACCTAGCACAATATAATCATACTGCTGGGTCTGCACAGGAGGCATGTTGCTCGAGTCCGCGACTGTGGGGGTTGATGAGAAGTGTCTTGTGAGCGACGCGAGACGAGACCCTGTAGAAAGCGAGATAGCCGATGAGGATTGAGAATCCAGGGTGTTTCTCTTAATATTCCTGTTGATAGTGTTTCGATGGACGGTTGCGGCAGTGCCGTAACCTCCGTATGCGCGAGAAGATTGACGGATCGGAGAGACCAAAGACGGACGAATAAGCCGAGTCTTCGACGGTTGGGCAGTGAGAGGCCGAAGGGAGGAGCGAGAAAGCATGGAGGGAGTCTAACGACGCACACCGGCGGAATAAAAGAGGGGAGGGAGGGGGATAATGTAGGCAGGCAGATTGGAGGAAAAGTTGGCGGGGAACCGAACTCGCGAGCTTCGGCGATTGAAATGACGCTATTGTTGCACTGGCCACTACTACTGCAGAAACGAAGAAATACGCCTCTACACCAAACAAAAAAGATCAATTTCAATCTAAACAGTCTGACATACACCGTGCGAACCAATTGCGTGATCTCCCACTCTTTTTTTTTTCCCGCTTTCTCGGTGTTTGCTCTGCAGGTGATTCCAGGGTTACGTCATTACTCAGCATCACTCACTCTTCTCACTGATTGATAAGCAGTGTGGAATCTGGAGTCTAGAATCTAGTGATGGGATTAATAACAAAAGGCCGCCATGGTAATGCGGAAAGGGTTGCGAAGACATCGTTTATATAATATTGAAATTTGATAGTTGAGTATGGTATATGGAAACTCTTCATACTAGAGTGTACATCGTGTTATTGGGTGAGAACACCGCGCATATCACTCAGAGGGCAAGTTCGAAACAGACCACAACAAACAGCTAGGACAGCTTGAACTTGAATTTCCCTCAATACATGTAGCAATATAACGCTAACCCAAATCTGACAACATGGTTTCCAAAAAAAAAAAGATACACTGCCTGTTGCCTGGGTGGCGCCAGCGCCAGTAATTCTCAGTTCATTGGTAGCAAAAATGGGGTATGGCAATAGAAAGAAACAAAGCAAGTGTATAGATGGTGCTATGTGTCTTGATATCATTCCGAAATCGAAAGACTGGATATCGAGGGTTCGTCAAGGAGTGGGCTTCCGGGTACAGCATCCAATGCAACTGCGTGCAACGCTGGTCTATCGGCGTCTTTTGAAATCCCATTTTGGCGTTTCTCCAGCCTATCTCTGACCCAGTCCGCAACTTCTTGGTCGTCGGTAAGAGGGGGCGTATTTTCGCCCGAGGTTCCATCGGCGAGAGATATTGAGGGTATATCGGTGTTGCTTGGTTCGGAGGGGGGTTGCATAAGAGAGGAAAGCCAGGGATGGCGGAGGAGCATATTGTATGACGGGCGGTTTTGAGGGTTCTTATCGAGGCAGGCGTTGACAAAGGAGTGTGCGTCATCAGAGTAATCGGATCCCGGAAGACAAGGGGCATCGCCGTGTACAATAGCCTAGATGGCGTCAGTCATATTCGGGGCAAGATCAGGGAAGATCAGGGAAGAAAAATACTCACATGCAGCTGGCTGAAAATGTTGTTGAATGTTTCCGGGGGGTACGGGTACCGGCCGATGGCACATTCAACGATAGATAATCCCAAGCTCCAGATGTCACTTTGGACACTATAAGTTCCTCCACTGGTGGTCCCTGATTGCTGCATTCCACCTCCTGCAATACGCTCAGGCGCCATGTAACTTTGACAACCAATGTTCGTCTTAGCGATACTAGCGACCAGATTTCCGCTAACTCCAAAGTCGCAAATTTTGATCTGGCCCCGTGAATTAACCAGGATGTTTGTGGGTTTCACGTCTCTGTGGATAATGTTATGGTCATCCTTGAGGGTCTTTAGACCCATGACAGTAGAAAGGGCCACTTTGCGGAGAATATTTTCAGGTATTCCTCCACCATAAATCTTGTCGATAGAGCCACCGTCCATGAACTCGACGCAGATGTACACAGCACCTTCTTGGAAAAAGGCGCCGTAGAAGTCAATGATGAACGGCGAAACGCATCGGTGGAGAATATCCAGCTCCATAATAATCTGTGCAAACTTATTTTCGTCCAATTCCAGCCGGATCTCTTTCATAGCCATAACAGCACCGGTCAAGGGATCTTGTGCCTTCAATGTCGGGGTACCATCCGTATCTGATTCTTCTCCGGAGGGTCGGCTAACTATTCCACTCAAGCCTTGTCCCGGTTTCCGCATATGCGGGCGGCTATGTCGGACCTTGTACACAGTCCCGTAATTCCCCTTGCCCAGCTCGTCCAGGCGATCCACCTCGTCTAACGAAATGTTAAAACTTTGGCCAGACGAGAACTCAATGCCGCCTCCATGGAGGACAGCTTTGTTCTTGAACCTCAGTGTTCCTGACTTTGTGTCGATGTACTCCGAATACTTGCTAAAGGCCGTCTCTCCGCTCCCAGCCGCACCACTGGCAGGAGACTGGCCCCCAGGGGTCGCACCATTCGACCCGCCGGCATCTGAAAGCTTAAGTCCAGGCTTCATGCGTTTCGCCGCGAGACCACCCTTGGGGGACGGAGTCCCAGGAGGCCCACCAGCTACAGAAGGTGCAGATGCCCAATTCTTGGGTGCCGGTCGCTGGGATGGTGGGAGTCGCCCTGCAATGGCACCTGCCAACGGGCCGTTCATGACTGACGGGCTATTTCCGGCTAGCGGGCCAGACGGGCTTGGTGCGCTCGGTGCGCCTGGTTGAGACGCACTCGTTGGGACGGCCCCCGTTGAGGTGGCCTGGCTTAAACTGGGAGGTGGTGCACCCTGCCTTGAAAGTTGAAAGGCCTTCATCTTCGCCATAATATCCTGATTCGCACTGCTCATAGATGCCTGCGGACGCGGGGTGACCCCGCCGCCATGTCGAGCCGCATTGACCTGACCTAGATGTGTGGAGGACGGGGTGATCCCGGCGGTATTATCGGAGGTCGGTCGGAGGACCGGTATGGTCTTGTTGGCAGACGGTGCAACTTCGTCCTCAGGGGTAATTGGAATGTTGTCGGCGTCGAAATGGGGAGAAGAAACCGGAGGATTCTCCGTAGCGAAATCGTGTTCAGAGGTCATTGTCGGCGGAATCGCGTTGTCGCAAGAGATTCGAGACCGGGAGGCGGCAAGGCCGGAGCACGTTCTCCAGCACCTTCGGATCGTCTCACAGCACTGAGCGGCTCGGGAACATGAAGGTGGGCAAAACCAACAGAGGATGGATATCGGCTCGGTCGGAAAGCAAGGCAAGCGACAGCAGCGATAAAGACGAGTTGGCAAACGAAATCCAAGGAAAGGAAGGCAGAAGTGTCGACCGGTAGAAATGTTCTTGCCGGGGGAGTCTCAACTTTCGACGCGGGGCAGAACCTTGGGTCAGCTCTTGGTCCAGAAGCGAAGACTCTCAGCGCCGAAGATAATGCTTTCTCCGAGAGAGACCAGAGATTGAGAAGCGAAAGTTGGGCCTTGGAGCTCCTTTTTTTTTTTTTTTTTCTTCCTTCCTTCCGCTTGCAATTTCCTTGTTTTCTGGGAGGAAAGACACCTTGTGGGGGACGGCGGGGAATAACTAACAGTCACAGGCGGATTAGTATTGAGTGTTGGACACACAAAGCTGGCGCAGCACCGGGTTAGCAGGCAATATGGATATATTAATCTCGCGCACAACGACCAATACCACAGAGCTCCTCTTTTTGTGCTCAGGCTGTTATCAAAACCTAGCTAGTTAACTAGTCAATCACCTACTAAGAAGGGAGTCTGTGTCGCGGCTGCTCACACCGGCCAATCACCAGCTTTGCCACACCAGGAAATCCCGGTGCGTTTCAGCTTCCCAACGGCCAGCAGCCTGACGATCCAACACAGTCAATCGTCAATCTCGAGAGCTTGCATAGTTCCTGTCACAGCAGGATCCAAGTTTGCACCTCCTTCCGTCCGGAGTTGCTCAATATGGGATATGCAATGGCAATGGACTGATCCTCAATGCGGCCCAACTTTTCTCATGGGTAGACAGAGCAGCCCGACCTCTCGCCTTCCCCCCGAACCGAAACTTGAATCGATCCCAAGTGCTCTCGGCCTATTGGATTTTGGGGAAGATAAGCTGCGGCGGGATCCCGCTCTCGTCAAGTTGATTTTATCTTGATGCCTGATGGCCGTCATGAAACGTGAAATCGGGTATGCATCAACCAAGGAGGTGTGGCAAAAGAGCCTAAACCGATGCCATCTTCAAGCCACACCTTTCATCGGCATCCTTTCCATCTCGTCCACCCTGCTATCTGAGTCTCTGACTGGCCCCTTTTAACGTGGCGATCAAGCCACACCAGGCTGATCTCTCCTCCGGGTTCCCTGGGCAGTCCTTGCAGTGCCTGACTTTCTCGGTCCATACGATGAAACTGGTTTGTTACAGTGATGGTATTCCCGGAGGTAAGGGACTTCTTGGTTGGCTGGTACTCACGTTGTTCTGGTATTCATGTGCTTGCTTGTGGTGTGCTGGCCTATGCCTTCAATTGAATGAGTTAGTCGAAGATATATACTTCCGTACTGTAGTAAGTAGAACTACATGGATTAGTAGGTAGCCACCGATTTGGCTACATTTATTTCTGTTCTGAGATATCGCTAGTTGCTAAAGTTGGTCGTTTAATAATGAAATATGCATTTCCTTTTCCGTACTCACCCTATTGTTTATTTCGTTCCTTACGGTGTAGCGATGATGCTGGGGGTGAAACCACGGAAGGGGCTGTGCACAGGTGTGTTGATCATGACATCTTCAGTGTTCGGACCGCGCGGGCAAGCAGTAACTTGGCTGATCGGAAATACGGGTGGTCAATCAGTGGCGAGTGTTTGTTGAGTTGCAAAAGTACCCAGTCAATATGTTAATGTTGCCCTGATAATGATGAATAGTTAACTCAGAAGCTATATTAGGCGTCTGGTATGGACTGGGATGAGCTCATAAGCCCCTTTTCTTGTGCCTCTGAAAGTCTGAATCAAGCCTGGTCAATCAGGTACACTCGACAATTGGCCGGAAGGATTCTGTCCAACCAAAAACTCCGACCATAAAGTTTTACCTGTATGCCCCGATGCCTTCGACTGCACCACGTCAACGCAGATGGTGATTGAGAGATGGTGGCGTGATGGCTGCCAAGAGCGCCGCCAACTTGAAGTTCTCTCTGGAGATTCCATCAAATCCTAAGCCATAACAAGTACTTTGAGTAACAACAACTGGTTAAATTATTAAATAAAGCACCCTGTTGTCTGGAGATGCGTTCCTTATCGATTCCTGATCGCGTGGCTGAAGCCCCCACTCGGACAATGGACAAGAAACAAAAGCAGGCTAAGGGCCAAGCACCAAGCTCTTGGCTCCTGACTAGCGCAGCGGCTAATCCTATCAGCAGCTCTAGCTCGAGCATGAGATCATGGCAGCCCCCCGGTTGGAACCTGGAATGATGTGAACTCTGCGTGAGCATCACATCTCGCCCAACACCAGGGCCTTTTTTATCTCCTTCCTCTTCGTAGTTGAGATCCTGGAGACCCCAATTCGTCCCCGCCTGCTGAATCAAGACTCCTTTTATCTTCGAGAAACCATTGTCCCGCTAGCCCTCTGGTAGGTTCCACTTTCCTTCATTGTCAACACAACTTTATTGCTGTCCAGTTCCTTGGGTATTTATCCCAGCATCTCCGTCATCCTTCACCATCTTGCCACTTTACTGCCGTCCTTCTGCTAACATCACCATCTCAATAGGGACAATATAACTCCCCTCCCGCCGTTGATGGCCCTTTTTACGCCTCCTCGATCCTTTCAGAATGCCCAGTCGTTGACTACGCGCCAGTTCGTGGCTCAGACTCCGGTGGGCGTGCTTCAAGATGTCGTCGGTCCCCATGCGAGCCACCCTCCGTTCATGCACTTAGTGCTCCTCGTCTTCGAAGCTGTTCTTGAAGTCGTCTGTGTCAGCCTTCCCGGTTACATTGCCGCCAGGGTTGGCATGTTCGATGCCGATGCGCAAAAATTCGTTGCCAATCTCAATGTCGCTTTGTTCACACCGTGCCTTAGTATGTGGCCTAGCAATCGTTTGTAGTATTACTCTCCTGACCTAATCCTCTTCGAAATAGTATTTACGAAGCTCGGCTCGCAACTCACAGCTGAAAAATTGACCGACCTCGCTATCATTCCCCTTATCTTCGTCGTCCAGACCGCCGTCTCCTATTTTTGCGGGTTTGTGGTTTCACGGTTCTTTCGATTCAACAAACGACAATCGAATTTTGTGGCGGCTATGGCGGTAAGGTGTTTTGAGAAATATAGTCAAGTGACAGGTGTCTGACTTGTTCTCCGTCTAGGTTTTCGGAAACTCAAATTCACTTCCCATATCGCTTGTCGTGTCTCTCTCGCAAACATTGAGTGGCCTCCATTGGGATCGAATCCCTAATGATAATGATGACGAAGTTGCAGCGCGCGGTATCCTTTATCTGCTTATTTTCCAACAGCTCGGCCAGCTTGTACGTTGGAGTTGGGGATATCGCGTTCTTCTTGCACCACGCGAGAGGTATATTGAGGAAGCGGAAGGAGACAATGGGGAGACCCCGATTGCACAGGGTCAGGAACGATACACCGACAATCCAGAGCAGGCATATCCGGATGAGCCTTTGATAAGGACAAGGGATTCCTCCGATGGCGATGCCGAGCCGGGAACTAGCTCGAATGATGATTCCGACGAATTTCATTCTGGGGAGGCAACACCTGTAAATACGCGAACATACTCATACGCGAAGCTGTCACACCATGAACAAGAACACGCCCAAGACCAGACTCCACAGCTTGGGCCGCCGCCCAGTGGTCCATTTCTACCTCGTCAAGACTCTCGCGGCGACATCTTGTACTTTCCGAACGTGGAAGTGAATCCCGAGGACAACACCGCTGAAGAAGGACCTGTGCCACGATTCAAGGCTTCCATGGGCCGTTTTAGGTCTCGCATTGCGGGCGGCTGGGCGAGAGGAACGGGCGCCTTGTATAATCGACTGCCAACAGGGCTCCAAAAGGCGCTGTCGAGGACCTCAAATGGCATGCGCAGATTTATTGCAGGTGTGTGGGATTTTATGAACCCGCCGCTTTGGGCGATGCTGGTTGCAATAATAGTGGCTTCTGTGCCTTCACTCCAACGATTGTTCTTCAATGAGGGAACATTCATTAGCAACTCTGTGACGCGCGCAATCAACCAGAACGGCCAGGTTGCTGTTCCTTTGATTCTTGTGGTTCTTGGGGCAAACCTAGAACGCAACACAATCCCCCAAGAAGCACAGGAAGATATGGATGATGCCGGGGAAGAGAAAAGATTGATAATCGCCTCACTGGTAGGGCGTATGCTGCTTCCAACTATAATCATGGCACCACTTCTTGCGCTGCTAGCCAAATATGTCCCAGTCAGCATTGTGGACGATCCGATCTTCATCATAGTCTGCTTCCTGCTCACGGGTGCACCATCAGCCCTACAGTTGGCGCAGATTTGCCAAATCAACAATACTTATGTTGGCGCCATGTCGAAGTTGTTGTTCCAAAGCTACGTTGTTTGGTAAGTTTTTGACTAGCCTAGTATTTCGAGCAAGACACTAACATATGTAGGATTCTCCCATCTACCCTTGTTCTTGTGATGTGTGCTTTGGAAGTTGTTGAGTGGGCGGCTGCCTAGAGCGGCCTGCCTGGGGTTTCTATTCTAGGTATTGCTACTTTTATATAATTAGGTATTCTTATTGTGGTTCAGGTATGTCGGCGTTTCGGGAAGGTGGGAACGGGGTTTTTCGTGGAAATAGCCACGTTATAGATTGTGATCCATACTTCTATGTATGACGGTCGAATATTATATGAGTAATGAAGATATAACAAGATTAACAAAACATAATCTACTGGAGCAAAAACCCGACTCCGGTGCGGCTCGAACGCACGCCATCTGGCGCAATCACTGACATACGGAGCCGAATTTGGATGTCGGTTTTCGAGGCGGGTGTAAATGAGGCTGCGGTGCTATACACGAAATTGTGGCCTCAGGCTGAAATCACGCCATCACAGCTTCCCCTCTTCTGCCGTGGAGTCCCATCTTCCCCATCCAAACTTCAAGCTTCGACCACAACTACCAAGTACATAACAACACGTCTCATGACGATTACTATGCCCTTTGCAACCCTGAACCGGAGTATGAGGCACAATGTGCTTATCCCTTGCGACTATACTCAGTACTCGCGTCTGTCCGAAATCGACTCAAGCGCGTTCACGCATCCAGCATCCAGCAACGGTAGAAGACTGGAGTGCGGGGAAACGAGGAGGACAGTACTACTTATCCACACAGTAACCCCAATTTAAACTCTTGCGGATGTTATTCTAAGCTTCAGGGTAGCTCCATCTAATGATCTAAATGATCTCTCCCATGCGACTGATCGTATGGCCCCTGGTCTACTGCAAATTCCAGTCGCCAACCCGGGGAGTCTCCCAAGCCCAACCCGGCACGATAAGAGACCCTCAAAGGGCGCGGCTTATAATTGCATCGCAGCAATCTCGAGGCTGCGGTTGATAAGTTGCTGTGTCGCGTGAGCAGTTGGATGATAGACTACTCTGGGCCAGGATGACATCTCATACTGCGTTTTTTCTCAAGCGGCCTTCATGGCCTAGAAAACCGACGATGCAAGATGTCAGCAGCTTATCGTACATGCAGCAAAAAAGCTGGTCGGCTAGATGAATACTACATCTTTTACAAATCGGCCGCATCCCGTGGATGCAACGATCAAAAACGTCCCATGAAGTTGCTCTGTTCCCATACTTGCTGCCTACAGAGTCCAATGTCACCTGAGATGCCGATAAGCCATTGCGCCTATTCTTCGCCACCAGGTTTGATCGCCGAACACCGACTTTTTGCCTTATGCGATAGTGAGATTGTTAATTCCCTGCGCAACGTCCAGCCCTTATCTATGCTGCCTGCTACTTGGACCCCTGTATGCCCCAGTCACTTCAAAGTTCACGGCTCCTTTCAAGTTTTTGTTTCTGGAACCACTGCGGTTCAGGGTCTCGCTCGTTAAGGCCCACCCAAATCCGACCGCTGCCTTCGCAATCCCACACACCTTTCTGGCCCGATTGCGACCCCCCACCCGGGTACCCCCAGTCTTCGTCCTTTTTCTTCTTCTCTCTTCAGCTTTTTTAAAAGCTCCATACGCACCGTCCTTTTTCTCTTCTTTTTGAGATTTCTCTTGTCTCGGTCTACCATTGAGCGAGCCAAGGTACCTATACGCCGCAGCCGATAATCCCTGCGATAGCCAGCTTTGAAAACGTGACCGATTTCCTTCCCCGGATGCGCCTTTCCCTGGGTTGGACCGTACTTAATCTTGGTTAATCCTGGTTCTGGAGTGCTTGGAGATGCCGTCCTTCACCGACCACATCACGGACCCGGGCTATGGCCATGATGGTAGGTGTCCTGTTCCAGATGTTGCTCTCGTCCCTGGATCGTTTTTCCCCCTTTGTTTTCTTGGCCCTGGCGGCCAATGGCCCAATAGTAGTTGTAGTCTCTCCGCGGCTCTTGCGCTGGCGTTAGTTTTATGATCTCATCACCCACTTTTCCTGTCGACCCCTCGAAAATCCTTGCGCATTTTCCTGTCCTGATCCCGCCTACCCCTCATCCCTCAATGGCATATCTCTCGATGTATCTATGGATTCTAACAAGCCTTTAAAAGGACCCCCCACAGGCCTCGAGGCTAATCTGCCCTCTCCCGCGCAACGACCCGGCGGGGACCCCGCGCCAACCTCCGATGGAAATGCCACCAGGCAACGTCGCGTTTCCGCAAGTAAGCCCGCAGTGCGCCAAAGCTTGTACCATACGCCCTCCGCCAGCTCCCTAAACAACCAGGCATCCAACGATCAAGTGACCAGAGAGGATTTCGAGCGGTGGCTGAAGCAGAGCGAGGAGGAATCGCGGAATAACCTCTTCAGCCAGGTGTACGAGTGGCTGTCGCGCGAAAAATCGAAACGCAAACAGTCCTCGAAGAAGCCTAACGGCTCGGTAAACGGCTCTGCGATTGCTGGTGATAACGAGGGAGACGAAAATAACAATAATGATAATGGTGGCGGTGCTCCGTTGACCAGAACCGTCTCCCAGGGCTCCGACACCGCCCTGGCTCTGGACGGACTGGAAAAGATCCTCCTGCATTATGCTTCTCGCTATGATAGCCGTGCTACATCTACTTGCTCCTCTCGCCGATCCACGCGCCGGCGCCCGCCGTTGAAGGGACTGCGGAGGGGATCCGCTTCAGAGTCGGATTATGAACTCGACTCCGGTACTCCTGGTGTAGATGCAGTTTTGGACAACTCCAAGACTCTGTCTTATACCGGTGGAAGCGCTGAAAGTGAAGATGGAGATGGAGATGCTGCAAGGGTTAGGCGAGCCAAAGATCGAGAAGCTTGGATTATTTTCAAGAGTGAACTTCTTCGCTTGACACACACGCTGGAGTTGAAGGGATGGCGAAAGCTCCCAATGGAATCGGCCGCTGAGATCGATGTCGTTCGACTTAGCGGTGCCTTGACCAACGCTGTCTACAAAGTCACACCTCCGCAAAACATTCCTCCGCCTAAAGCTGAGGACGGATCATACACCTTGGTGCCTAGAAGGCCCCCTCCGTAAGTTCTGGCTTCTTCTTCTTCTTCTTCTTTTTTTCTCTGTTCCTAATCTGTCTATAGGAAACTCTTGCTACGTATCTATGGTCCACAGGTGGACCATCTCATTGATCGAGAGAAGGAGCTCCAGATTCTACGACGGTTGTGTCGGAAGAATATTGGACCTAAGGTGCTAGGGACATTCAATAACGGCCGATTCGAGGAATATCTGGATGCCCGCCCGCTCACACCAGGGGAGCTCCGTGAACCGTCAACAATGAAGCAGATCGCGAAGCGCATGCGCGAACTCCATGAAGGCATTGAACTGCAAGAAGAGGAGAGAGAAAACGGTCCGAGGGTCTTCCACAACTGGGACAAGTGGGTTGATCGCTGTGAGCAGGTGATTAACTGGCTGGACAAAGAGATCGAGTCTGCGCAGAATGAGAGCAAAGCGGCGTGCGAACCCTGGCGTCGGCGCGGTTATGTCTGTGGTGTGCCGTGGCCCAAGTTCCGGAAGGCTGTTGATGACTACCGTAAATGGCTGGTTACCAGCAGTGGTGGCTCACAGGAGATCAAACGACAGCTTGTGTTTGCCCATAACGACGTAGGTTTCGAAACGAGCTGTAGCTTACCACCAACTTTTGCTAACACAACCCCTGTAGACGCAATACGGTAACCTGCTGCGTATGGAGCCTAGTCAGCAGTCTCCGCTTCTCCTCCCGGAAAACGAACATAAGCAACTAGTTGTCATCGACTTCGAGTATGCCTCAGCGAACACACCTGGACTAGAGTTCGCCAACCACTTCGTGAGTACCCAAGGCGCAACATAATCTGATCTCAGGGGAAACAACCTACTGATTCCTGTATCTGCCGCAGACTGAATGGTGCTATGACTACCTCAATGCCGAAAGGTCCTGGGCCTGCGATAACTTGAGCTACCCTACCCCCGAACAACAACACCAGTTCATCACCGCATACCTCACCCATAGGCCCGGGCTAGGCAGCGGCCGCTTCTCCCCCTCAATCACCCCTCTCATGCGCCCAGCCTCATGCCCTCTCACAATGACTCCCCTCGACCTCAACGCAAGCCCTGAGCTCGCCCCCCAGCGCCTTATGGACAACATCGAACGCACACAACAAGACACCCTCGAGGCCGACACCCAGTTCCTCATGCGCCAGACGCGCCTTTGGCGTGTCCTCAACTCCGCTCAGTGGGTGGCCTGGGGCATCGTCCAGGCCAAGGTACCTGGAATGGACGAGGACAACGACAACGACAACGAGGACGAAGACATCCCGACTCCTACGTCTGCGACGACGCCCACGCCCCCAACCCCGGTCGACAGCAACATCGACGAGTCCGATGAATTCGATTACCTCGCATACGCGCAGGACCGGGCTCTATTCTTCTGGGCAGACCTGGTGGCTTTGGGAATTGTCCAGAGGGACCAGCTCCCGCAGTCATTGCTGGAGGGGATCGAAGGAAGGATGATTGACTATTAACTGGATTGAAAGAGCGTTAACGACTGTCTTTGTTCTTTCTTGATTGCCTTTTCTTTCCCCCTTCTCTTTCATTCCGGAGGTTACTACCTACCTACCTACCTACATACTTAGCATTCATATTTATCGTTATGTTGCGATACCACACTTGACATGCCATGATTGATGAGCGATGATATCATGTACGTACTCGTGAAGAATGGAAATACTCAGCATTTGAAGCCTGCGCGTTCATCGTTGTCGAATATACTACGGTGGACCAGTGTACTTTGATGTCGGCGTAGCGTATATTACCACACCCTGGCAAGACATACATACCGTAGCTGGTCTATTCGAGATCTCGACAAGGGGACTCGGGACAACCTTCCGCTCGACCTTGGGGGAGAGAAGCCCACTCGACGGCTAAACTGCGGTGCATTGAAAGGTTTGACAGTGTCCAGACCAGGAAAGAATAACCCCCAACAAACCTTGGAAGCTCCCGAAGGCGCAGGTGTCCATGCCTTGGTTCCTTCCCTTCGAAGGAAGATGGACATTGGGCTTCGGGGAAGGAGCGACGAGGTGCCCCCGGCCAGATGTGGTATTTGTCTCCTTCGGCTTCTCCAAGGTTGTACCTAGTATCTCTTTGTCCCTACCTTACCTGACTCAGTACGGTCTGGAAGGTGCCATCCACTCCTCCAACGTTACATGGAAGGAAGGGGAAACTACGTATTCATTTCCAAGATTCCAAGATCGAAGGTAGGCAGGATCACTACTCGGGACGTAATGGACTTTCCTTGCAGCAACCGTCGTTCCTCCCCTGGGAACCTGCATTAGAGGTTCTTGGGACTCGGATTCCTGATGTTGATCGCGCTTTCTATATTTGGATCATACCTG